CGGAAGCCTTCTGCGCAGGGAGGGTGTGGGCAGCGGAGGACCCGTACTCTCTCCGCTGGTCTCCGGCGAGGAGTCTTGGAGCCTCCTCGCCCCCTTCTCCACTGGTGTTACGCTGATTTCCTTCCCCAGCAGATGGGCTGCCTCTCTCCCTACTGGGACCCTCTCCGGCATCCCTCTGGAGCCTTCCCTCCGCCTCTAGCTCCGATGGCAGTTCCCTGACATCCATCTCCCCCCCAGGACCCCCTCCACCCCCGGCCCGACCTTCTGATCCAACCTCGTCCCTTTCCTCGGCCGACGATGTGGGGAATCCCCTGAAGGAGCTGTCGCCATCCTCTGAGGATTCAAAACCCGCTTCCCACCCGCTCCGAACTCTTGCCGCGGGGTGGGCCTCCCAGTCTGATTCTTCTCCCTCTGACACCTCCCCTCCCTCCTCTTCGGAGGCAGGAAAACCCACAAAGTCCTCTTCGTCGTCTGTGGTTCCAAATTCTTCCTCTCAGAATCTCGCTAGTGGTTTTGGTTTATTTGGGAACAGGCTGTGGAATTCTTCCACTAGATACCCGTCATTGATCGCCTCAGCGGGGACCCACGTGTTTTCTGACCCGGGTTCTCCTTCCCAAGCCACCAAGTACTCCACCTGGCGCCCTCGCCACCTTGAATCAAGTATTTCCGTGGCTTGGTTGTAGTGTTCCCTCTCCTCTACCCGCGGGTGGGTGGTGACTCCTCCCTCCCGCCCCGGAAATTCCCGCCCCTCCCTGTACGGTGAGAGTAGGGACCTATGGAACACCGGATGTATCTCCATGAGATAATATGCATGACACTCCCTAGCCAAGAAACACCTCAGAAACAAACAGCCAACACTTGCCTTGAGGGGCAACAATACATTTGTCTCTGACTGTTGAATTGCTCTGGCACACATCTCATTCAAAGTCCCTAAGCAGAACACGCATAGATCCAAATCTGGAGAGGTATCTGACTGACGTTTGGGGTTACCAAACAAGGAAAGTTTTGATGGGATTTAGAAACTCTGGGAAGGAAGATGGCTGGATCCTAAGCCCTGGCTCTCAACAGGTGATAAGACAGCTGAAAGGGATGTTGCTGCCCCAGCCGCCCTGGCCAGTTCAACCCTAGATTTGCAGACCTTCCATGTCCCTATTTTCGGGACAGTCCCGGATTTACATGCAGCCATCCTGGATTCTGATTGATCCTGGAAATGTCCTGGTCTAGTTGTTGTTGTTTAGTTGTTTAGTCGTGTCCGACTCTTCGCGACCCCATGGACCAGAGCACGCCAGGCACTCCTGTCCTCCACCGCTCCCGCAGCTCTGCTCAAACTCATGCCAGAAGCCAGAACACTGTCCAACCATCCGTCCTCTGTCGTCCCTCCTCAGGCCCTCCATCTTTCCCAACATCAGGTCTTTTTCCAGGGCGTCTCTTTTTCTCAAAGTATTGAGCCTCAGTCACGATCTGTCCTTCCAGTGAGCTCTCAGGGTTGGATTTCTTCAGAATGGATGATAAATGGTTCTAAATGGATAAGAAAAACGGTTTTCAAATGAAAAATCCAAACTGGAAACGAATTATTAGATACAAAAACAAAAAACCTATCTAAGATGTACAGTTTATTGCTGGAACGGCATACGAAAGATGAACAAGTGAAATCTGTAATGATTGAATGGGCCAGGCACAATATCATGATGGTGGATTGGGAGAAATTACGGAAAAAAGGAATTAAATTTACAGCTTGTAATGTATTAAGAGAGAATTTGATGAAAATGATGTATAGATGGTATTTAACACCAGTGAAGTTAGCAAAAATGTAGGCAGCCCTGTATAGGGAAGTTGTATTTTTTAAATGCTGAATGTTTTATTATGTTTTTTATGTATGTTGGAAGCTGCCGAGAGTGGCTTGGGTAACCCAATCAGATGGCTGGCGTATAAAAATTCACAGATTGTTTTCCAGTCTTCTCCAATACGCTTCTGGTTCACTCTGGAACTCCTACCCATAGAGAGAATGCCTGTATTTGCCACTGCTATCAATCCATGACACATTACAGGAAGGTCTGCAGGAAGCTGAATCAATGAGAGACCTTTCTGAGCATGACAAATGATTTTATTGCCATCTAACTGGGCCCGGATTTGGGGATTCATGTTTGGAAGCATGACAAAGATCTGAATCATTAACCCAGACTGCATAGGAAACTCCACATTGTTGTGATACGTTTCCTTGTATTACTGATCTCCTTTGAATCAGAGAGAGAATTCCACCCAGCCACACACATCTCATGTTTACTCACTGGTGACTTCATGCAGACATTTCTGGATTTCCATTGGTTATCCTGCCATATGATCATTTCTTGTGTGTTGTTGTGCGTCAGGGCATAACATGGCACTACCATGTTGGCTACCTCAAGCAGGAGATTTGGGGTAGCAAGTAATGGCTTAATTTATTATTGTTGTACTTTGGCTACCAGAGAACGGAAGGGGGGAGTGTCAATTTGCGTTTTTTAGTACAGAAAGTATCGATCTGATGTGTAGATATTGTTCTTATTCTACTTAATTCTGGAAGCTTCTAGAAGCTTCTCTGTGTGAAAGAAACTTCATGATGTTTGGGTTATTCCTTCTGGAAAGCTGAGTACAGCTGGCTTAAACTGCTTCTGTTATCTCTTTCAGTCAAGGTCATGCTGACTATAATAGTAGGGCCAGAAGGAGCCTGTTTTTCACTTACTTTCTTTTTCTATCTCTTTTCCGTCTGGTGTGGTGTTCTGTATGCTTAGTGTTAAGTTTTAGTCTTGTTACAGTGGTACCTCAGGTTAAGAACTTAATTCGTTTATATTTTAGGTAGACATTTGTTTTCCCTCTGCAATCATCATTGGAACAAGTTAAGAAACCCCAGTTTGGTCCAAGGTGCAAAGGGCATAATTCTCATGAACATGGTGAGCAATGTGTTGGCGTGCCAGGCAGTGTCTCCTTGTTATTCAGGTGGACAGCAGTTGTGGGCTGGTACACTGGCCAGTTTCTCTCTCCTTCAGCATCAGCATGACATCACAATGGCCTTTGTCTCTCCTTCTGGTTGGACACATCCGTGTGAGAACACAGTGGCCAGTCTGTCCAGGGGTCCTTTACCTTACCTTTACCTCTCTTTCCACCCCACCCCCATCTTATCTCGAGGTACAACTGGGAGAAAGGCCTGCATGAATCCCTTGAATGCTGGCAGTTAATGTAGATCATACTGAGCCAGATGGCTCAATGGTTTGGCTCAGGATAGGGAAAGCCTATGTGTCGCAATAAACCTACTGGGCTTTTAAGCTGCCACAAAACTATTTGTTTTTGTTGCAACAACCAGAACTTAGGAATTTGTACTTATCACTGTATACACCTGAGCTTCCCATAGACCTATCGCCGGAACTCTTTCATTTTTTTAATAGTGAATATGAATACTTTTTATAATGTGAATATGAAGTCATTAGCTAAGCATCTTGGACCATTATTATCGTAAATTAGAAGGGAACCAACTCTCGTCAAATTAGTGTGCCTCTTGTTTGATCAGGATTCATTTAGAACACCAAAAACTTGTGGCAGAACACATTTGAAATGATAGGTTCTAAGTAAAGCTATGTTTATATTCTAGGTAGACATTTGTTTTCCCTCTGCAATCATCATTAGAACAAGCAAATTTACTTAGTATCCTTACGGGAAATGCTATTTCCTCAGTTTGGAATGTATGGTTTTAGTCTGGTAGGAAACATTTTGAAAGTTCTGAATGTATTGAAATTGCACAGCGGCTCATTGCTTAGAATGCAGTAACACAGCTCTTGAACTTCATAGAAGGATATATTTATTTTCTGTACTGTTTAGCCGAAAATAATAACAACAATACAGAAGAATAACTTGTTAATAATTCTATATATGTGTTTGGGACATAGGAACCAACTCCTAGATACAGAGCTCCTTTCAGGACCCCCAATAAAATCTGAGGGGGCCAGCCCGCCCCCCACGTTGATGGGCATTGTCATTGATGGTATGTGTGCCCAACATCTTGTGACTGATTATGCAGAGAGGGGCTTACCTGCCGCCCCACATATTTTATTCAAGTTTGCACCCCTGCTTTGGGGGTTTCCCTCTGCTAGTTTGTCATTTTTGAGATGGGAAACTGAACCAGACGAGCGATTGACCCGATCCACAGAGGGGCTCTTCCTGCGTACAACACGTGCATATGGGGAAGTGGAGACCACGACGCTTCCACCATGCGCATCCTTTGTTGTTGTTTAGTCGTTTAGTTGTGTCCGACTCTTCGTGACCCCATGGACCAGAGCATGCCAGGCACTCCTCTCTCCCACTGCCTCCTGCAGTTTGGTCAAACTCATGCTAGTAGCTTCGAGAACACTGTCCAACCATCTCGTCCTCTGTTGTCCCCTTCTCCTTGTGCCCTCCATCTTTCCCAGCATCAGGGTCCTTTCCAGGGAGTCTTCTCTTCTCATGAGGTGGCCAAAGTATTGGAGCCTCAGCTTCAGGATCTGTCCTTCCAGTGAGCATTCAGGGTTGATTTCCTTAAGAATGGACAGGTTTGATCTTCTTGCAGTCCATGGGACTCTCAAAAGTCTCCTCCACCACCATAATTCAAAAGCACCAATTCTTTGGCGATCAGCTCTCACTTCCATACATCACTACTGGGAAAACCAGAGCTTTAACTATATGGACCTTTGTTGGCAAGGTGATGTCTCTGCTTTTTAAGATGATGTGCGTCCTTACCGGGGAACAACAAGCCTACTCCTTGACCCCAGCGCAGTTTCCTTCGGAGTCAGCGCGCACGGAACTGCAGGAGGCGCATTCCTTGGCTTCGACGATGTTCCTCTTCGCTCCAGCCAGACGCTGGGAAAGACCCGCGCGCCTTTCGCCGAGGCGTCTGCAAGAAGCTCCGCCCGGCGCGCTCGCTTGTTCTTACCTGCCTGCCTGCCGGTGCCAGACAGGGAGGAGACTGTGGAATCTCGCGTCCGGGCCAGGCGTGCGTCTTTGCGCACGGGGCCCGACGAGAGCGCAGGTCATCGGCGCATCTGCGCCGGCTCCTCGGGGCCCCGCCGCCTCGGAGGGTGGGGCTGGCGGGGAAGGAGGGAGGCACCTCCTGGGCTGGCGCTGTCGGGACCTGCACCCAGCGGCTCCTCCGGGACGGGAAGAGGTGGCGGCGGCGGCGGCGGCAGCAGCAGAGACGGCGCCCGGCTTGAGAAGGAGCGAGTGAGTAGCGCGTGGATTTGGGCACCATCAAAGACTTATCGGGTGGGGATCTGGGGCAGCCCGGGTGGCCGGGGCTGGTGCCAGCGCGCTCGCGATTTCCCAGGCTGCTTGCGGAAGGGAAGCGCGCGATTCGGAGCAGCTCAGTCAGTGGGAACACCTGCGCCGTTGCTATGCTATGGGGAGTGGGGAGCGCGCGGGTTACTTCCAGAGGGCGGGAAGCGTGCGACTCGAGAGTTGCAGCCGTACGTCTCCCAGTTCTTGGGAAGGCACTAGAGGAGGCCGTGCACACGTACTGCTGTTTAGATTATTATTAAAGCTTTTTTCGTGATCTAGAAAACTTAATGTAAACAAAAACAAATACAAAAAGTATCTGAATGGAGTCCTCTCTAAAAGATAGTTCTTAACACTTACCGCCCACAGAAGTTAGTAGACCCTCCCAGCTCTCATATATATATATATGAAATATCAATTTATGTACCGCCTTTATCGAACAATCCCAGGACAGTGTACAACATTAAGAGCACACAAACACATATATAGGTAGATGCTTGTAAACTGCTGGGAGAGCTTTTTCTTTCCTTTTCAAAAGAATAAATCTTCTAAGTAGATCAAATAATATGGATAGCATATCAGAGCGGTACCTATTTATCTACTTGCACTTTGAGGTACTTTCGAACTGCTAGGTTGGCAGGAGCTGGGACTGAGCAATGGGAGCTCACCCCATCGCGGGGATTCAAACCACCGACCTTCTGATCAGCAAGTCCTAGGCTCTGTGGTTTAACCCACAGCGCCACCCGCATCCCATGATAGATAGATAGATAGATAAATAGATAGATATAATTGCTTGTGCACTGCCTGAAGAGCTTTTTCTTCTTTTCTTCACGGTTTGAGCTTATTGCACTGATCCTGGTCTGACTGCACTGGCTGCCAGTTAGCTTCTGGTCCCAATTCAAAGTGCTGGTTTTGACCTATAAAGCCCTAAATGGCCCAGGACCACAATACCTCAAGGACTGCCTCTCCTCATATGAACCAACCGGACCCTGAGATCAATCTCTGAGGCCGTTCTTTGTGTGTCTCCTCCACAACACAAGAATGGGCCTTTCCTGTGGTGGCTCCCTGCTTGTGGTGACTCACCTGGTGCCAATCATTACATATCTTTAGGTGCCAGGTGAAAGTGCTTCTCCTCCACCAGGTGTTCAGCTGATTAACATTCTATGGCTTTTTAAATGTGTTTGTGGGAAGGAGGTTGTAAGTTTTTGTTTTATTCTGTATTTTGTGTTCTCAATTTGTATTTTTCTGTTGTCAGCCTCTCTAGGATGTTCAGATGAGGGGTAGTATACAAATATAATAGATGATGATGATGAATGAATGAATCTTCTAAGCAGATTAAATAATATGTAGAGCCATAAGGGTGATTGCTCTAACAAACATGGTTTCCAGCACCCAAATTTCCTTCCACAGGAGCACCTTAAAAGATTGCAGATTTAATGGACTTTCAAGTCTTGAATAAACTATTGGGAGGGGAGTGGTGTGTGTGTGTGTGTGTGTGTGTGTGTGTGTTTGGGGGGAGGGGAGTGTTAAAGAAAAAGACATGACCTTGAAAACAAGAGACATCTGGTATATTTATTGAGTTTGATGGATAGCAGAGGATTTTCTTTTGTTGTTGCTGGGTCACAGAGTTCAGGAAAATAATAGTTCATAGAAGCTCCTTGGAATTTAATTAGTGGTTCTTCCTGTTTATTGGTGGGGGGAAGATTCCAAGGATTGAGTTGAATGGGATGTATCCACAGAATCTCTCCAGAAAAGGCATCCCCATTGAAAACTATGGAATGCACTTCAGGATATAATATCATATAATAATAATAATAATAATAATTTTTATTTATATCCCACCCTCCCCAGCCGAAGCCGGGCTCAGGGCAGCTAACAACAATAAAATAATACAACATTCTAAAATTATTTAATTATAAAATTAATTCAAATCAAATTGATGGCAACCACGTTTTTGGTTGTAACCAGTAATTATTTAGAAATAATTACTGTTATTTATTAAATTTGCATGCCGCCCTATACCCACAGGTTTCAGGGCAGTTCACAACATAAAATCACAATATAAAAACAAAAAATGCATAATCAAAACAGAAACAAAAGCAACCCAAGAACCCACACACCTATCACATTTTAAAAGGGCATTGGACGTCAATCAGCCAAAGGCCTGGTTAAAGAGGAATGTTTTTGCCTGGAGCCTAAAGGTATATAATGAAGGCACCAGCCGAACATTCATGGGAATATCTCCAGTTGGCTTCAGTCATCCTGGTCCTAAACCAGGTGAAGTGGCCTCACAGCTGGGTAACTGTGCAAGAAAAAAAAAGTCTCTCTTTTTCCCCTTCGCCTCCTTTCTTTCTGAACAGATGTTGACTTTTCTTCCATTCTTGAGCCTCTGGGATTTTCAGTAGCAATATGACTTCGTCGAATGAATATGGTTCCAGTTCCTGGGAGCTCATTGTTGCTATCGATCACCAGTGCGGAGGGGAGCAAAAGGAAAGCATCCTCCAAGTATCAGGAGATCTTCACATTGGAGGAGTGATGCTTAAGCTTGTGGAACAAATCAGTGAGTTCAAAGATATATACTTTTCTGTATATGCACCAAGGCAGAACATTTTGGTTAATATCCTTATATGGGCAGTTTCTTCAAGTGTCACTATACAACAACTCTTCATTGGTGCTCATGGTTTTTTTTTGGGGGGGTAGGATGTGTCCTGTTTAAGCTATTGCAGGATGAACCCTTTTTGGTAATAAAGGGCTGGATTCAACAACTAAGTAGTTGCACTAGTGGGAGTTAGTGCAAGAAGTCCCATTAGTGCAACAGGGCTCCCGCTACCCCCAAAATTGGCTGTGGGGGGGTCAGGAGAACCCCCAGAATGGTGTGCATGGGGAGAAGAGGGGAGATTATTCTGTGTGACAAGCAGAAATGTTTGCACTGACAGAATGACTCAGTAGTGCAAGACTTCAGTGCCTCCCAATGCTTTTAATCTTTGGCTGCATTCTAATTTTATATTGTACGTTTTGTTTTGCTTTTAAATTGTAAGCTACTAGAGAGAGAGAGAGAGAGAGAGAGAGAGAGAAATATTTGTAGCAAGCGACAATTATAATTAATAGTAATGCTTGGATGACTTGCAGTAGACCAGTGATGGCCAAACTTGGCCCTCCAGCTGTTTTGGGACTACAGTTCCCATCATCCCTGACCACTGGTCCTGTTAGCTAGGGATGATGGGAGTTGTAGTCCAAAAACAGCTGGAGGGGCAAGTTTGGCCGTCACTGCAGTAGACAGTCAAGAGATTCCGGCTTTCGTTGATTAACAAGAGCAACAACCAAAGGCTTGTTCTTCCTTCTTTCAAATTAGGCTTTCAGCTGATTGTCGGGGCTTCCAAGTGTCGTGCCCCACATGTGGCGAAAAGAGGTCACTTGAGGTCATGGTGACATCATGGGATAGACAGATAGGCAGCCGCACCTACCTATCAAACTTGGGGAACTGGGAAAAATAAGGATCCGGCTCACCCGCCTAAGTGCAAAGTAGAGCAAGGTGGATTGATTCGTGTTTACATAAGAAGGCTTATAGTGGTACCTGTTCTTTGAACTCAGGGATGGGAAACCCGCAGCCCTAAAAATGTTGTCCCACTACAACTCCCATCATCCCTGACCAATCACCTTTAGCAGGTTGTTAACACTTGTGCTTGGTTTTGTTGTTTTCCCCAGGAGTGTCGCAGGACTGGTCAGACTATGCCCTTTGGTGGGAGCAGAAGCAGTGCTGGCTTCTCAAAACTCACTGGACGCTGGATAAGTATGGGGTGCAAGCAGATGCCAAGCTGTTGTTCACTGTTCAGCACAAAATGTTGCGCCTCCGTCTGCCGAGCATGAAGACGGTGAGGCTGAACGTCAGCTTCTCGTCTGTGGTCTTCAAGGTAGTTGGAGACATCTGCAGGACCCTTGGTAAGTGTGGACTCTCCAAGACTCTGGGCAGTTATATTTGGTGACCTGAATATGTGTTGCTAACACAATTGTTGTTGTTGTTTAGTCGTGTCCGACTCTTTGTGACCCCATGGACCAGAGCACGCCAGGCACTCCTGTCTTCCACTGCCTCCCGCAGTTTGGTCAAACTCATGTTTCTAGCTTCAAGAACACTGTTCAACCATCTTGTCCTCTGTCGTCCCCTTCTCCTTGTGCCCTCCATCTTTCCCAGCATCAGGGTCTTTTCCAGGGAGTCTTCTCTTTTCATGAGGTGGCCAAAGTATTGGAGCCTCAGCTTCAAGATCTGTCCTTCCAGTGAGAAGGCGCCGGGACCGGACGGCCTTCCGGCTAAATATTATAAAACATTAATTAACCAAATATCACCAGTGCTGGGAGAGGTTATGAACAATATATTGAGAGAAGGAAAGATACCTAATACCTGGAAGGAAGCCTATGTTATATTGATCCCTAAAAAAGAGGTGGACACTATGGAAGTAAAGAACTATAGGCCAATCTCATTATTAAATAATGATTATAAGCTATTTGCAGACATAATGGCGGAAAGATTAAAGAAGGTCTTGATTAATAAAATTCATGGTGATCAAACAGGATTTCTCCCAGGGAGACAATTACGGGATAATGTAAGGAATTTGATTGACATTATTGAATACCTGGACATGAAAATAGACAGAAAAGCCGCACTGGTTTTCATAGACGCCGAAAAGGCATTTGATAATGTTTCCTGGAACTTCCTAAAGAAGGCTTTGGAAAGGATGGGAATTGGCGAAAAATTTAGAAGAGGCATAGAAGCAATATACAAAGAACAGAAAGCAAAGCTGGTGATAAATAACAATACAACAGAATATTTTAACATTTATAAAGGGACCAGACAAGGTTGCCCCTGTCCCCCTTATTATTTATTGTAATTTTGGAAGTACTTAATAAGAGACTGAGGGGGCAACAGAAGTGAAAGGAATTAGAGTAGGAAAGAAGGAATTCAAAATTAAAGCCTTTGCCGACGATATTGTTTTGACTTTGGAAGATCCACAAGATAGTGTAAAAGAAGCATTACAAAAAATTGAGGAATTTGGAGAGGTGGCAGGTTTTAAGGTAAACAAGAATAAAACTAAAATGCTGGTTAAAAATCTAACTAAGGAAGAAACGAAAGATCTAGAACAAAAAGTGGAAATCATGGTGGTGAAAAAAGTGAAATATTTGGGAGTGTGGATTACGGCAAAAACATAAACCTATATAAAGATAATTATGAAGTTACATGGAAAAAAATAAAGAAAGATCTGGAAATATGGGTGAGGATGAAATTTTCCTTTTTAGGGAAGATAGCAGTGGTTAAAATGAATGTTTTGCCGAGGATGTTGTTTTTATTTCAAACTCTTCCAGTTATTAAAGGTCTAAAACAATGTAAAGAATGGCAGAGAACCCTGATGAAATTCATCTGGCAGGGGAAAAGACCAAGGATTAAAATGAAAATACTAATTGATAAAAAGGAAAGAGGAGGTTTTGCCCTCCCAGATTTGAGCCTATATTATGAAGCAGCGTGCCTACTTTGGCTAAAAGATTGGATAAAATTGGAGAACAGAGACCTACTGGATTTAGAAGGTTTCAATAACCGGTATGGGTGGCACGCATATCTCTGGTACGAGAAGGTGAAAGTCCACAGGGCTTTCTTAAACCATATTTTCAGGGGACCAATATATCAGGTCTGGGAAAGAAATAAGAACCTTCTCGAAAGAAAAACACCATGGTGGATTTCACCAGTAGAGGTCTTAACAATACAAAAAACCAACATGGAAGGGAAGACAGCCACCTACGAAGATTTGCTAAGAAAATCAGAACAAGGGCCTAAACTTAAACCGTATGAGGAAATAAAGGATCAATTCACCGGCTGGCTACAATATCATCAGGTGAATGATATGTTAAAACAAGATAAAAGAAAAATGGGCTTTGAGGACAAGAAATCAAAATTCAATATAGAAATAATAGAAGGCAAAAACAAAACATTGTCTAAATTATATGACATATTACTGGAATGGCATACAAAAGACGAGGAAGTCAAAGAGGCAATGATTAAATGGGCAATTGACTCGGTTATAACATCGAGTTTGAAAAGTGGTTGAAATTGTGGAATAGAGACATTAAATTTACGGCCTGTACGAGTTTGAGAGAAAATGTTTGGAAAATGCTCTATAGATGGTATCTTACGCCGGCAAAATTGGCTAAAATCTATAGATCAGAAAATAAGACATGCTGGAAATGTGGTGAAGTGGAGGGAGACCTCTACCATATGTGGTGGCAATGCAGCAAGGTGAAGGTTTTTTGGGAAGCAATTTATAATGAACTTAAAAAGTTTTTAAATACACTTTTCCCAAGAGACCTGAGGCCTTTTTGCTGGGAATAATGGGTAAGGAAATAAAAATGAAGATAAAAAATATTTCTCTATGCCACCACAGCCGCAAGAATTATGCTGGCACAAAACTGGAAAATAGAAACTATTTCTAACATAAGTGACTGGCAGGTCAAAATGATCAACTATGCCGAGCTAGATAGATTAACAGGCAGAATACGAGACCAAGACGACCAGAAATTTCAAAAAAATTGGAGTAAGTTTTGGAAATATATTGGAACGGATATATAGGAGGAACTGGCGGTATTAGAAAAACTTTATCAGCTAATAACTATAAACTTTAATAAACTAATTACGCAACCGGGACTTATTTGATACTTACCAAAAGGGTGAAGGGAAGTCAAAGGCTAAGGAGAGCCTAATGGTTATATTATTATTTTTGTATGAACGTATGCTTTCTTTTTGTATAGTATGAAAATAGGATGAATAATTTATGTTAAAATGTTTATTTTTGTATTTGTTAGTTCTTTTTTCTTTTCTTTATACAAATTCTGAATAAAAATTTACTTGCAAAAAAAAAAAAAAAAAAAGATCTGTCCTTCCAGTGAGCACTCAGGGCTGATTTCCTTCAGAATGGATAGGTTTGATCTTCTTGCAGTCCATGGGACTCTCAAGAGTCTCCTCCAGCACCATAATTCAAAAGCATCAATTCTTTATGGTTCAGCTCTCACTTCCATACATCACTACTGGGAAAACCATGGCTATAACTATACGGACCTTTGTTGGCAAGGTGATGTCTCTGCTTTTTAAGATGCTGTCTAGGTTTGCCATCGCCTTTCTCCCAAGGAGCAGGCGTCTTTTAATTTCGTGACTGCTCTTTGCTAACACAATTAGTAGTATACAAAGATGCATTATATACTGAGTCAGACAATTGTTCCTTCTAACTTAGTACTACCTGCACTGACTAGTAGCTGTTCTTTATAGACATATATATATATATATATATATATATATATATATATATATATTATTGATTTTAACATATAAATTATAAAATGTACCACAAAACTTATCACTTACACAGTCTTTTTAGACTTCCATCAGCACCTCTGATGATCCACCGTTTTAACCACTCCTTATGCATTTCTTATTTGTTTCGCCAATTAAATCCAGATTTTTTAGTGTTTAGGAGTCCACCGCTATGCCGAACAAGCTTGAGGCTGAGCTTCTCGAGGGTAGAAAATGGCGTCCCACGCCGGCGTCTCAATCTCGCTGCTCTTTTTGCTCCTTAAAGGAGCATTTTTTGGCAGCGGAGAGATCGCTCTATGGCTTGCAGGGATCCTGTCCTCAGGATCTTCCTCCTGTGGCTTTTGGGGGGCTTGCAGCGCCCTTGCAAAAACCCCGTTTCCCCCCAAAAGCTGGATTCTCCCCAGAGGGCTGAATCCCGCTTGCAAATCAGCTCCGCGGTAAACCAGAAGTGTGACTAGCAGCAGTTCTGCAGGTTTTCAGACAAGGCTGCCTCCCAATGCCTGTGTTCTGCCATTGACCTATGTCCCTTCCCACAATTGCAATCCCTTCCATATCTTTTGCCTTGTGGTTGGCTTCCCACGAAACCACTCTGTGCAAAGGATGGAAACAGAACAACATCTGGCTTTGGTAAATTTCGCTCTATGTTGTTCGGTGCGGGTTATAATTCCTAAGGCTTGTTTGATGATCTAAGAATGAGCTTTCTGCTTCTGTGATTAAAGGAAAGAGTTTCTTCTTCAGTTATCTGTGTTACCCATATATAGATATTCTATACAGTGGTACCTTGGTACCCAAACGGCTTGCCTCGTGAACGCCGCAAACCCAGAAGTGAGTGTTCTGGTTTGCGAACATTTTTCAGAAGCCAAACATCCGACGCGACTTCCTTGGCTTCCAACTGAGTGCAGGTGTCTGGAGTCGAACGGACTCCCAGAAAAAATAAAGTTTGACAACCAAGGCACCACTGTACTGTTTGTTTCAGTGGGTTAATCCCAAGCTAATTGGATGAAAGCCCAATACAGTGGTACCTCGGGTTACATACGCGTCAGGTTACAGACGCTTCAGGTTACACACTCCACTAAGCCAGAAATAGTGCTTCAGGTTAAGAACTTTGCTTCAGGATGAGAACAGAAATCGTGCTCCGGCGGCGCGGCAGCAGCAGGAGGCCCCATTTGCTAAAGTGGTGCTTCAGGTTAAGAACAGTTTCAGGTTAAGAACGGACCTCCGGAACGAATTAAGTACTTAACCCGAGGTACCACTGTACTAGTCAGAGTTGCTACCATCATTCATTGTCTCCTCTGCATTCTACAAGGCTTTTCATCCATGCACCTTTCAGTTGCAACTCTCATTGCTCCAGAAAAACCTTTTCCAAGTTGCCAGGGTCAGGGGGAAGTTTACAGAGCAACACCCCATGTGGAGCTGTCACAGGAAGGAAATATGGTCCTCCTCACCCAGGGTGGATAAAAATCATAGATTTTTTTTAAAAAATCAAATAAAAAAATTGGATTTTAAAAATGTAAATCAATTTTTTTTAAAAAAAATCGGATTTTTAAAATAAAATGCTTTTGGAGGAAAAATCTTTCTAAAGATACTTTTCTATTTAAGTTGCGTTATAGTCCAAAGGCTATATCATCAGGAAATAAGGATTTGTTTTAAGTTTTTCATGTGTGCTAAAACTCAGTCTAAGGGGTTTTTTTTAAAAAAAAAAAGTTTAACCACATCAGTTAACAAAAATGGATACATATGCTATAATGTTTTATTGTTTTAATTAAATAAATTGTTTAAATTGTTATTAAGGAAATGGTTATTTTTCTCCTTCCGATAAAGTACAGCGGAAAAGTTGTCCAAATGTAAAGAGTTAACCTCCCAATCATTTCATAATTTTATGTCAATGTATTTCTAAGAGTATAACCAAATAAGTCATTTTTTTATATAACTGTAAAAACTACTCTGAAAATTTATTATTCCAAAAATGAAACCTTCATCTGATTGCAAATATTAAGATTATACCAGCAAGAATGACTCTTTCTGTAAAAAAAATGATTTAAATCAAGTCTTACTGACTAGTGATTTAAATTGTGATTGATTTAAATCTAATCGATTGATTTAAATCAAATCCCCCCTGTCCTCACCTGTGCGTTATTATTATTATTATTTGAATCTAAATAAGCACTTTCTGCCCATATACCGTATTTTTTTGCTCTGTAGGACTCACTTTTTCCCTCCTTAGAAGGAAGGGAAAATGTGTGTGCGTCTTATGGAGCAAATGCAGACTGCGCAGCTATCCCAGAAGCCAGAACAGCAAGAGGGGTTGCTGCTTTCGCTGCGCAGTGATCCCTCTTGCTGTTCTGGCTTCTGAGATTCAGAATATTTTTTTTCTTGTTTTCCTCCTCCGAAAACTAAGTGCGTCTTGTGGTCTTGTGTGTCTTATAGAGCGAAAAATACGGTATGTAAGGTTGGTTGTGATCTACAATCAGCTTTTCAAACAGCCCAGGAACCTCTTTACTTTTCTGAACAGTGTTCCTCTTTTCTCCACCCGACGCTGCATTGCAGACGGCTTTGGGTGGTATTTCAATTATGGTTTATGTTGTGGAGCAGTTATCCTTTGTTGCATGGAAGGAGCTGCTGTATGCACTTCTTTAGATCAGAGGTTCTATCTGTAGAAAAGGGACGCGGGTGGCGCTGTGGGTTAAACCACAGAGCCTAGGACTTGCCGATCAGAAGGTCGGCGGTTCGAATCCCCATGATGGAGTAAGCTCCCGTTGCTCGGTCCCAGCTCCTGCCAACCTAGTAGTTCGAAAGCACGTCAATGTGCAAGTAGATAAATAGGTACCGCTCCGGCAGGAAGGTAAACGGCGTTTCCGTGCGCTACTCTGGTTCACCAGAAGCGGCTTAGTCATGCTGGCCACATGACCCGGAAGCTGTACGCCGGCTCCCTCGGCCAGTAAAGCGAGATGAGCGCTGCAACCCCAGAGCCAGCTACGACTGGACCTAATGGCCGGGGTCCCTTTACCTTTACCTTTACTATATGTAGGCTAAGCCAGACCCCACCTAGAATACTCTGGGCACGGCTGTTCAAAGAAGGCTAACGGGAGCAGGAACCACCCTGAGATCTACAGATAAAGGGCAGTATATTAAATAAATTAATAAGTAGAGAAGAGGGCAACAAAGACAGTGAGGGGCACGGGGAGCAAGTCCAAAGAGGAAACACTGAATGAATGATTTGGGTGTCTGACTCAGTTAGCTCAGTCAGTAGAGCATGGAACTTTTAATCTCAACGTTGTGGGTTCGTCAAAAGATTCCTGCATTGAAAGCAGTTTGGACAAGATAGCAGAAGAACTCTCACCTAGATTCTGGGCAGATTTATTTCCTGTTGCTCCAGAGAGTAGGACTTGAACAATTGGGTTTGAATTATAAGAAAAAAGAATATAAGGAAATGTGGCAAATTCCTCTGAGGGAAAACCTTACCTTTCAAGTTAAGGCTCAAAGAAACAGATAATTTTTATGCTATATGGTATAAATTTATTGAGCATATAACTTAAGTCCGAGGGCATTCTTCACCCTCCCACAACTCTCGGAAGATTATGGACTATATTTGGCACGGATACGGAAGCACCTTGTTGTTGATTTAACATTTGATTGTCCCACACTTGTTTGTTTCATTTGTTTTGAATATTTTTCTATGTGTTTTATTTTTATGTACCTTAAACTTGACGTAAAAACGTAATAATAATAATAATGTTATTCCAAAAAAGAAAGAAAGAATAGAAACATTTTCTCTCAGAAAAGAAAGAGGATATAGACTAAACGTTAGGGACCTATTTTATCCAGAAAAAATCTCAAATATATACCTTGGTTAATGTGAAGCAGAGATGAATATCAGACAGATAGACAGACGGAGTATACACAGACACACACTGGGGTTTCCTCCCCATCTCGCTTCGCTGCCCCACCTATTTGTCAAAACCATTGCCAACTATCCTTCCCCCATACTTAATCAACCCCCCTCACTTTACACTTCAACGCCACACCCCCCATGAGCAACTCTGGATTTGTTTTTACGAAGAAAAATGGAATGCACCATTGCAATGAAATTATTTACCGTATTTTTTGCTCTATAGAACTCACTTTTTCCCTTCTAAAAAGTAAGGGGAAATGTGTGTGTGTGTTATGGAGCGAATGCAGGCTGCGCAGCTATCCCAAAAGCCAGAATAGCAAGAGGGATTGCTGCTTTCACTGCGCAGCAATCCCTCTTGCTGTTCTGGCTACTGTGATTCAGAATAATTTTTTTCTTGTTTTCCTCCTCCAAAAACTAGGTGCGTCTTGTGGTCTGGTGCGTCTTGTAGAGCGAAAAATACGGTATCTATCTTTAGAGAGAGATGAGGAGGAGTGGTTCTGAAACTGTCAAAATGGCAGTGATAACGCACCATCTTCCTACTGGTACAAATCTCACAGAGTTAATGGCGTTTGCATCAACACGGCAGCTTGAGGTTGCTGCCTCAACCCAATAAGGCTGCTTTAAGGCCATGAATTTCGGAACGACCGCAGTGCATATCGTTCACATCTCCTGTGGCATGTGAATTAACACGCACGCTCCCCAGGGATGGAATTTGTCACCCCGAGCCATATTAACAGCTGTGCAATTCACTATCTAAATTCCTAGCGCATGATTGTAAACCTGTCTTGAGTGTCACAATTACTATGATGAAAGCCCCAGATATTGCTCAACTGGAATTTGGCTCTTCAGTCTTCCTAACCACAAATAACAGTTATGGAGCAGATAAATTAGTTCAGCCTGCGGGAGAATATGTGTGACCAAATTAACAGAATAAAAGCATTGTTTGGCTATAAGACCGTAATTAAAGAAGAAGGGAAAGTAGGAAGAGCCTAATGCAATTGATTGTGTTTTCAGAACACTGCAGTACTTCTGCTACAATATCAGCAGTTAGTTCTATTGCTTGAGTTGACTGACGAAATAAAATTGGGTCAATCATACACATCAGACCATGTTTGTTCTACATATGCAGAGATGCAGCCCTGCAGTTCTCATCCGTGCACCTTGGTCAAGCAAGCAAGGAGAATGTTCCCATACATTGGGAAAAGGAAAGAAAACAACACACAGTATTTCTTGTTTGAATTGCCAGCTCGTAGGTAGTCAGGTTCATTTTTATTTTATTTTTATTTATTTCCAAGGTTCCCCCTCCCCTAAAAATAACTTTTATTAATATAAAAATTATTAATATTAAATATTAATATAAAATATAAAAATTTGAGGAAAAGAAACATAACGTTCATGTGCTGCCCTTTGGTATAATAAATTTGTCCAGGGAGGGTTGCAAAGGAAATATTGTAAGCATAGGCAAGGCTGCAAGAGCTCAACCAAATTTGTCAAAGCTCCGGAAGCACAAATGAGGGAAGCTTTTTCAGCCTGATCTCATCAAAGATGTTTCCATTTTCATCTTCCAAAACTCCGTCCCAGGTATCAGACGTTCAGAAGAACTCTCTCTACTGAGACCATCGGAAGATGTGAAAAAGAAAAAGAGAAAAGACAAAGACAAAGAACCAGTCATAGAAGATATTTTAAATCTGAACAACTCTCCTGTGAGTTTGGGATTGCCAGGTAAATAACCCAACAGACACTACTGAGTTTATTTACTTACTTATTTGGTGCCATCAGTGTGCGTAGTGTTTCACAGAGCAGCAACAAGAAAGGAGGTCCCTGTCCTAAGGAGTTTGCGATCTTTAAATTTGTCACAAGCGACAGAGGAAAGAGAGGGAAGGAAACATGTTGAGTTGATAGGAAGGCTTGCTTTCGGTAGCAGGTGAGCATTATGGGGGTTGTACCAAAACCTGAATTAGTTTTTCAAACTGTTTTTTTAGCTTTTGAAATCATGTTTTATTTGATTTTACAAATGGAAATTAGTTACAATACCAAATACATATCCATAAAATGAGATTTCTCTGACTCTCGAGACTTCCACCCCCATCCACTCCATGGGTCCTATTGTCAACATTTCTGACTGCATATTACTTCATAATCTATGTTTTATAACTATCCATATTGTCCATAGTATTTGTGGCATTACAAGTGAGATTAAAATCCTGCTAATGTTTTCATCTGCTTACAGTGGTCTCCTAAATAAATTAGAAACTTTCCCCATTCTTTCTTGAATTTCTTCTTGGTCTCTGAGTTACTTTCCCCATTCTTTCTTGAATTTCTTCTTGGTCTCTGAGTTTCCCAGTCAGTTTTGCCATCTCAGCATAGTCTGACAATTTAGTTTGCCATTCCTCTCTGGTGGGGACTCTTTCTTCTTTCCATCTCTGGGTGGTTTTTCAAACTTTTTTTATGGCGAAGAAGGGCAAAACCATTCTCCACCATCTGCATTGTGACACCCATAAAACTGGTAAAGGTAAAGGGACCCCGGACCATTAGGTCCAGTTGTGGCCGACTCTGGGGTTGCAGCGCTCATCTTGCTTTATTGGCCAAGGGAGCCGGCGTACAGCTTCCGGGTCATGTGGCCAGCATGACTAAGCCGCTTCTGGAGAACCAGAGCAGCGTACGGAAACGCTGTTTACCTTCCCGCCGGAGTGGTACCTATTTATCTACTTGCCCTTTGACGTGCTTTTGAACTGCTAGGTTGGCAGGAGCAGGGACCGAGCAATGGGAACTCACCCCATCACAGGGATTCGAACCGCTGACCTTCTGATCAGCAAGTCCTAGGCTCTGTGGTTTAACCCACAGCGCCACCCGCGTCCCTATAAAAACTGGTACCCAAGTCCAAAAAGGCATCAATACATTCTGGAGGGAATCAATGGTCTCCGCAGTAAGAATTCTTGCCAGCTGTGCTGGATGACGGCAGTGAAGGCCTTTGAGCATCTTTCAGTCTGCTGAACAAGGAGAAAATGGAGAGAGAAGCTGGTGGGATAACTATCTGTCTGTGGGAGGCTATCTCTGGAGCTGTGCGCAAATGGCCACTTGAAATTCTCCCCTCTGTGGGCAGAAGGAAAGACTGAGGCTACATCCACACCATGTATTTAAAACTCATGGCTTCCCCCAAAGAATTCTGGCAACTGTAGTGTGTTAAGGATGCTGTGATGTGAGGGGTAAACCAAAGCTCTCGGGATTCTTATGACCTGTTTCTCCACGGAGATGGGAAGCTCTTCAACAGCTTCCCAGGGGTGGGGGCTCACCATTGGCAGCCTCTGTCACCAAGTTTGGCTTTGTTTATTCTGCTGCTGTTGGCAAAGTGTCCGCCATTTTGAATCCACCCCAGTGCCTCAGGCCTAGCATCCTTCTGGGCTATTGGAGGGGTAGAAATGGTGGCTGCCGAAGCAAAGAAAAACACAAAAACCAAGCAAAAAGTGGAGATGAGTCTGCAGTGTAGCCTTCTTTACTTGGGTGGGGGAACGAGGCAAAGGAAAATCTCAGGAAGTTTATCAGAAAAATGTTTCCTGAGAAATGGTGACTCTGCTCTAGTTTGTTCCTCCCATTTCAGTCTCCCACCAGATCCCCTCAGGATTAGCCTGCTGAAAAAGGGACGGTTGTAGTATGATAGATTGGCTATCAGAAGGAGTGAGTTTTCCTTGGTGGAGTGGGCTCCTCTTCTCCCCAGCAATGTCTTCTGGCTTGTGTCACTGATCTCTTGACTTAGAAGCCACATATCCTGGAAAGCTATCAAGAGGAACGAAGGAGGTTCACTGAAAGGACCTGGCCAGGAAAGAAGGGACACAGTTTGCAGTCTTGGCTAATGAACCGCAGTCGCATGGGAGCTGTTGCTCTAACTAGCTGAGTCACATAGTGCCTTTCTCAGGAAAGCAAGGCTCCGGCTGATGCAGATTTGGTTCTTGGGACAACTGGGGTACCAGGCACGTGAAAGTCTCCTGTTCAAACCACCCCAGAACAGCCTTTTAAAAAATGGCATTAATGCTGCCATTCTGTACCCCTTTACGTGAGGGTAATCCCCATGGAAATAAATAGGTCTTGCTTTTGAGTAGACATGTAGAGACATTATGCGGTCAGTAACTGGGAGCACCTAGTTCGTTCCTCATTCCTTCACCACAGTATGCTCTTAGCCTTAAAGAGACTTTGATTTCTTCAATTTCCATGAGCAGCTCCCATCAGGGATGGGACAAACCTGCACCCCTCTAGATGTCACTACAACTCCCATGATCCCCAACCATTGGCCATTCTGCTTTGAGCTGATGGGAGCTGGAGTCCAGCATCGCCTGGCGAGAGCAGAGTTCTCTATACCTGTTTTATAGAAGGTCGCTTCTGAGATCAGCCAGGCTTTAGGGAAAGCCACTTTCCTTGTTTTGATACTGGCTGTGCTGTTGTAGACTCAATTGTTCATCTTTTCTATTTCAGCAAGCCCTGGCTTCTATAGCAAAACCATGACTCCCATCTACGATCCTGTCAGTGGGACACCTGTCTCGTCTGCAGTTGCCTGGTTTGGTGACAGTCCTCTGGCCAAGCAGAGCTGGAACAACCTTGCCTTCAGCCCTTCGAACTGCACACCTGAATCGCTTGCCAAAATGTACCAGCCTCGGACTCTGGTCGACAAAGCAAAGCTGAATGCTGGGTAAGAGACTCCTCCGCTGGATATCAGGATTAGCCAGTTTGGACAAGCCAGGATAGGTCATGAGTGTGTGATGTCCTTGCGTGGGCTTATTATTATTATATCTTTATTTATACCTTGCCATTTTCCCTGGACTCAAGACAGCCTACAGTATTACAGTGGTCCCTCGGGTTACATATGCTTCAGGTTACATACGCTTCAGGTTACAGACTCCAATAACCCAGAAATAGTACCTCAGGTTAAGAACTTTGCTTCAGGATGAGAACAGAAATCGTGCAGCAGCGGCAGCAGGAGGCCCCATTAGCTAAAGTGGCGCTTCAGGTTAAGAACAGTTTCAGGTTAAGTACAGACCTCCGGAATGAATTAAGTACTTAACCCAAGGTACCACTGTATGGGGTTTTTTTTACGGGGGGAAGGGAGGTTGAAAATCAGTGATACAGCCAAAAGTTCTTGATTTAAACCCCAGGATCTCCAGGTAGATCTGGGAGATAGTGCCTGAAGCCTCAATTGCATGGTTATATGCTTGTTTCTCCCAGACACCTTGCAAATTAACAGGATCCTTCCTGCTCTGTTCCTTTGTCTCCCGTCCTGTTTCAGGTGGTTAGATTCCTCTCGGTCACTTATGGAACAAGGTATCCAGGAGGACGACCAGCTTTTATTACGCTTCAAGTACTATTCTTTCTTTGATCTGAATGCAAAAGTAAGTAAAGAGTCGCTTCCCTTCGCGGTCTGTCGTGACTTAGGGCATGTTGGATAAAGAGCAACTGCGAGGATCTTACTAGGTTTCCTGTTTGTTCTCTGGGTTTTGGCCATCTGCCACTCATGTAGCAAATGCATATCTACATAAATATAGAAAAACTAGGGGCTGCCACCCCTCCTCGCAGCAGTTGCCAACTCTGCTTGTACACTGGATTCAGCTAACTCATTCCACTAGTGGAAGCCAGTGCAATGACTCCTGCTAACATCTTGCAAACCCACCCAGGCACCTGCCCCAAATCCGCTCTGGAGAGTTCGGAGAACTGCAGAACATCCCAGGAAGGAGAAGGGAGATGGTTTTTGAACAATCTCCACAGCACTCCATTGAATTCCACCATCTAGATAATACATTTCTATCTCCCACAACTATAAATACCAGTATTATAAATATCACAATGCAATAACTATAACTTTACTAATTTACCACGTAGAAAAACTGCTCTAATTATAAGAATCATAATTTATTGCTTATATCCTGACCAACGCCAAGTCGTGCTTCCATGTAGCTTTGGGAAGGTTAATGTTTGATTCTTTCTCCTGTGTAAAGAAAGATGAAAGTCACTCTCAAATGCCTAGTTGCAGGGCTCTCATCAGACTTGCATTTGAGCTCAGGTCCGGAGCTCAAATGCAACACACTATCTGGCTTTAATAATAATAATTAATAATAGTAATAACTAATAATATAATTTATTATTTATACCCTACCCATCTGGCTGCATTTCCTCAGCCACTCTGGGCGGCTCCCAACAGAATATTAAAAACACAATAAAACATCAAACATTAAAAACTTCCCTAATCAGGGCTGCCTTCAGATGTCTTCTAAAAGTCAGATAGTTGTTTATTTCCTTGACATCTGATGGGAGGGTGTTCCGCGGGACGGGTGCCACCACCGAGAAGGCCCTCTGCCTGGTTCCCTGTAACCTCTCTTCTCGTTGTATACTGGGCCAAGGCCATTTTGGGCTTTAAAGGTCAGCACCAACACTTTGAATTGTCCTTGGAAACGTACTGGGAGCCAATGTAGGTCTCATCAACGTTAATGTTCTACCTATTCTTCATGAATTCAGTTAAAGGTTTCTACTTATCTTTTAACGTTTTCTCCCTCCTGCAACTATCTCTGTCTGACTCAGGCTTGCTTCCTATTAGAAGCGCACAGGGTTGAGGCATTGTGTGTTTGTGTGTCGCACTGCTTAGCTGTACATAATGACAGGCTCACTCAAAATGTTGGCCACCGCTGGCTGAGAGCCTTTGGCCGCCTCTGACACAACATGGCCTTGTTTGTCTTCTCCTGGCAGTACGACGCGGTGCGAATCAACCAGCTCTACGAACAAGCCCGCTGGGCCATTCTGCTGGAAGAGATAGACTGCACAGAGGAAGAAACCTTCATATTTGCTGCGCTGCAGGTACGTACTTGATCCTCAAGTTGACAAACCAGTTTCCCCATCTGCGGCAGGCAAACACCTGCCAGGACATGAACACAATGAACCGAGCCCAGACTGGTTCCTCTCTGCAAGCCCTTTCCTTCTCCTGCTAGAACCCCGCCTCTCTCGGCAGTGATTAACGGGTTGGCTCTTTCAAGCTCCGTTGAGACCCATGTAAATAATTGACAGGTGCCCCCAGTCTTTTACAGCGGCAACTGCTAAGTTACACTTTGGCAGAACAAATCTAACCACACGAAAAGCAAACAGGACCATCCCTCTCAAAGCATTGTTCTATGTTTGCCACTTCCAAGCAATTGGTCATTTCAGGAGGAGTGCTACAGGAATCAGTTTCTTTCAGATGAGAGAAGAGTGTTTCTATACTTTTTTTTCCTTTGCTTACAACAATGCAGGCAGAGTGGAAAGAAACAGGCAGCTGTCCTGCAACAGATTCCCAGAAAGTGATTTCTGCAGGCTCCGTGTTCATTGTTAAAATGCACAATAAAACTATCTGCTTGACATGTTAAAATATTAAGGCCCATGGTCAAAATATGCAATAAAACAGAGCCAGTGTGGAATAGTGGTTAGAGTGATGTCCCAGGACCTGGGAGACAAGGGTTCAATGCCCAATTCAGCCATGAAGATGACCTTGGGCTAGTCACTGTCTCCCAGCCTATGTCACAGGCTTGTTGTTAGGATAAAATGGAAAGGTAAATGGAAAGGTAAAATGGAAATGGAATTGAGTATGCCACCTTGAGCTCCTTGCAGGACAGGTGGGGTATAAATATACAATGTTCCCATTAATACACAGTGATTAAAATGGGAGACTCTGGTCAAACAGGAGACTCCAGTCTTCTGTTGTACTTGGCTGTTGTTAGTAAGACTTTCTGAGAGCTGGTCCAAAAACAGGACAAATCTAATGCATACATTTTTTTTTCTTTTTGTATAATTTGTATTACATTTTCTGTTTTACATTTTAGAATATTCATTTAAACAACCTTAAAATATCAAGGATATTTTCCATGGCTCATTTTGCATAACATAAATCCCTTCATATTTTATATAAACTAAACCATTCAGTATTCCCTTATTACATCCATCAAAACTTATTTACACTGTTGAATTTATCTTAATGCTGTCCATGTTTTCAAATGTACAGTGGTACCTCGGGTTACAGACGCTTCAGGTTACATACGCTTCAGGTTACAGACTCCGCTAACCCAGAAATAGTGCTTCAGGTTAAGAACTTTGCTTCAGGATGAGAACAGAAATCGTGCTCCAGCAGTGCGGCAGCAGCAGGGGGCCCTATTAGCTAAAGTGGTGCTTCAGGTTAAGAACAGTTTCAGGTTAAGAACGGACCTCCAGAACGAATTAAGTACTTAACCCGAGGTACCACTGTACACAATTTCCCCCCATATATTCAATGAACATTTTCCAATCGTCTTTTATGATATGTTCTTCTTGTTCTCTTATTCTATATGTTAGGTCCACAAGCTGCGCATATTCCATCAGTTTAAGTTGCCATTCTTCTTTGGTTGGGACTTGGCTCGTTTTCCATTTTGGAGCTAACGAAACATTCATATGCATTCATATGTAATGCATACATTTTTTAAAAGGACGCTTTCATAAGATTTTGTTACCGGCTCACAACAAATCCCTCCTGGATGTGAAGCCAACGTACCTTCTCTTGCTCAACTCTCTGTCTTTATCTTTTTATCTTTCCTGTAGTACCACATCAGCAAGTTGACACTGTCATCGGGGTCACAAGTTTTCACAACCGAAGCAGAAACGGATGAAGTGGAGGCGGCCCTTTCTAACCTTGAAGTCACTCTGGAAGGGGGGAAAGCAGAGAATATTTTGGTAAAATTGGGTGGGCAGAGGAGTGGGGTCTGTGACTTGTCACTAAATATTTCTCAAGCTACATCCAGTAGGGCAGGTGTGGCCAACACAGGAAACCCTCCAGAAGTGGTAGACTCATAGAGCTGGAAGAGACACTGATGATCATCTCTTCCAACCTCCTGCAATTCAGGAATATGCAACTGTCCCTTACGGCAGTGGTTTTCAACCAGTGGGCCACAGCACCTTAGCGTGCCTTGAATAATGATCAGGGGTGCCACGGGCAACACTCGCCTCCATCCCTCTTTCCTTCCCTCGCTCCTTTGATACCCTCTCACATCTCTGTCTCCCCACAGCTTGCACAGCTGTTTGTTGCAGCAGCCCTGGCTACAAGCTCCCCAGGCGAATGGTGCCTTTGGGGCTGGTCAGAGTGTGATGGTTGCCAGAAGCTGAGGCAGCCTTGGAGTGAGTAAGCAAGCAAGTGGGTGAGGGAGCCCAGCCAGGCAGTCCTCCAGCCCTTGATGTTGGGAATGGACAGTGTGAGGAGGCACCTCTCTTTGGGACAGGGGGCGGCAGCAGCTGCTGCCCAGAGGACTCCCAAGGAGAGGGGAGAGGAGGCTGAGGGAACACCCCACAAGGGAGGTTGTTTGAGAAAGGGTGAGAGGTTGCCAGCTCTGCAGGCAAGGGGTGACATAACTGGGCTCCTGAGCCCCACAGGACTTCCGCAGAAAGAATGTAGGTGGTATGGGGAGCCCTGGACTCAAAAATGTTGAAACCCTTTGTCATGCAGGGATCAACCCTTCAACCTTGGCTTGATCAGCACCATGCTCTAACCAACTGAGGTACCTGGGCGTTGGACAATGACTTCCATTATCCCTGTCCATTGGTCATGATAGCTGGGGTTGATGGGAGCTGTAGTCCAGCAACATCTCAGGGGTTCCATTTTGGCCATCCCTGCAATATGGGAACACAAACTGACTCCATTCCAATGACAGTCCATCTCTTGTATGGTTGCAACTCTTCTACTGAAATAAATGTTCTTTTCGTGGGGTGGAATTCAGCTTAAGTGGGGTAATGCACATGGGCAACGAGGTCCACTTGCACAACAGGACTTTCTCCCTCTCCTCCCCTCACGAGCCCCCTAAACCTGTCCTAGGCTTCCCACCTACCCTCCAGAACAGATTTAGGGAGCACAGGTGGGGTGCTGGGAAAGTCCTTTGTTTTGCATATGCAACAACTCAGTTGAATCTCTCCCAGTGCAGAGATTGCTCCCCAATTTCTGACTCAGCTGAGATTGTCCTAAAGAGGAACTTTTTCTGTCAACTTGCTATGCTCTGGAGAACACCTTTTGGATAGTCTGCTTCTCCCAAATGTGAAAAAAGCTACCTGTTTGTTGGCATGCTGTTGAGTTGGGATTCAAGATATACTGCAAGGGAATAATAATAACAAAAACACATAACTTTTTAACCAAGTGCATATATATGATAGTATCAGTAAATTATAAGTGCACTGCACTAAAACAATTCTTGGCTGTCTTTAGGAGGATATCACAGACATACCAAAGCTTGCAGATAACCTCAAACTATTTAGGTAAGTAAAAAAAGCAAAACAAAAAAGCATAGAAAGTTTTCTTTGTTTTTGTTTTGTAAATCATAAAATTAAAATATGGACTGTAATGGACACCAGTTAGCACTGAAAGGTTTTCTGGCTATAATTTATTTTAACATTCCTGTTTGGGTTGCAGAGTGTACCAATGTAACACTATAATGTGATGAATGCCATTAGCCACCTCCATAAAATAGCTTTCTTTAATCTTTATTTCTTTTAAGGATTGTGCTGCGAACTGGAATGGCAACCTGGTTGGACAAAGTTGCCTTGTTGTACTTTAAGCCTTTCACAGTCTAACCTTGTGTGCAGCAGAGACTTCTGTATTCTCACGCGGACGTACTATGTCTCACTGAGTTAAATGGGACCGAGTCCCTAATAAGTGGGACACGGGTGGTGCTGTGGTCTAAACCACTGAGCCTCTTGGGCTTGCTGATCAGAAGGTTGGCGGTTTGAATCCCCATGACAGGGTGAGCTCCCGTTGCTCTGCCCCAGCTCCTGCCAACCTAGCAGTTCGAAAGCAGGCCAGTGCAAGTAGATAAATAGGTACCGCTGCGGCGGGAAGGTAAACGGCGTTTCCATGCGCTCTGGCACTCGTCATGGTCCTCCGTGCACCAGTAGCGGTTTAGTCATGCTGACCACATGACCCGGAAAAGTGTCTGTGGACAAACGCCAGCTCCCTCAGCCTGAAAACGAGATGAGCACCGTAACCCCATAGTCACCTTTGATTGGACTTAACCGTCCAGGGGTCGTTTACCTTTTTACCTTTTATCTAATAAGTGTGGTTAATCTGCATGGCACCTCTTCCATTCTGTCTTAAGACTGTTAGGAAGACTGGAAGCTGACAAGTCACATCCTTGACCCATCTATCTCAGAAAACACCTACACTGACTGTCCACAGCTTTCCAGAATTTCAGACCAGGGACTCTCCTTGTACTACCAGGAGGTGCCAAGAATTGAACATGGAACCTTTTGCATAGAAAGCAGATATTGTGCCACTGAGCCCTTACCACACCTTGCAAATTGCAGACTAGGTTTTTTTCCCCCTTATCATGCCAGCAACATATTTTTCTCTCTCTCTTCCTGCCTCATTTTTATGTGTGCATTTCTTTTGTGCTTAACATCTACCTAGAGCAATTGGCTTAAGAAACACCAAGGCTGGCTTCTTGGTGACTTTTGTTGGTCTTAAAAATAGAATAAATACTACTGTTGCTATTTTGGATTCTCTTCCCCCCATCCTCCTAGTAGACCAGGCATAGGCAAATTCCAGCCCTCCAGATGTTTGGGACTACAATTCCCATCATCCCTGACCACTGTTAGCTAGGGATGATGGGAATTGTAGTCCTAAACATCTGGAGGGCCAGAGTTTGCCTATGCCCGTAGTAGACCAACACAGCTGCTGGCAACATTTGCCTGCATACTTCTAAGTACAGTCGTACCTTGGAAGTCTAACAGAATCCATTCTGGAAGTCTGTCCAACTTCCAAAACGTTGGGAAACCAAAGCACGGTTTCTGATTGGCTGCAGGAAGTTCTCGTCAAACCCGTCTGACGTTCAGCTTCCAGAAATAGTTTGCAAACCGGAACACTCACTTCTGGGTTTGCGGCGTTTGAGAGCCAAAATGTCCAAGAACTAAGCTGTTCACAAACCGAGGTACGACTGTATATTGTTAAATGAGCATGAATTTCAGGTAGGAGCACCGACCTGTGTCACTATCAGTTGTGTGTGTTGGCAATCAAATTGAACATTCCAGTGACTCAGATAAAGCTCTACTATTGCCTGTCTTATTTGCACTGGAAAGTCTCTAGCATATTTCTTCCATTGAAGTGACTGATTCCAAACGTTTAATTCTATGGAAAACATAAGATAAGAGATTGCCTGTAGCTTTGAACTCTGATTAGAGTGTTTAGTTTTGCTAATCGGTGACGGCATTTCCCCCAGAAATGAAGCGGTGTGCTTCAAAGGGAATTTGATTATTTTTGAAACCTCTAATAAAAGATCGTTTCGATTCATATGCAAGTGACAAAGGGCAGGAGCTGTGCTTTCAAGATTAAATGCCAGTTTGCAGCATCAGTCTGTTCCCTGCCTGTCAGGGCAATAGCCCCAAAGGACTTGTGTGACCTGCCTCAAAGGCAACAGTGCCAAAGGGACCCATTTCTGTCCCTGAACCAATGTCATTCTTATTAAAACATTCTTAATAAGAACCTCAGAGCCTCAGAAGTGACCTTTGAAATGCAAGAAACTAGAGCAAGAAAAAAAAGCAGCCAAATTAATGTGCACACACTCAGGGTGGATTTCATTTGAATCAAATTGATTTAAATCACTAGTCAGTAAGACTTGATTTAAATCATTTTTTTTACAAAAAGACTCATTCTTGCTGGTATAATCTTAATATTTACAACCAAATGAAGGTTTCATTTTTGGAATAATAAATTTTCAGAGTAGTTTTTACAGTTATATCAAAAACTACTGATCTGTTATACTGTTTGAAATACATAGACAGATAATTATGAAATTATTGTGAGGTTTAATAAGTTAAGTTACCGTATTTTTCACTCTATAAGACGCACCAGACCACAAGACTGGTGTTTTTGGAGGAGGAAAACAAGAAAAAAAATATTCTGAATCTCAAAAGCCTGAACAGCAAGAGGGATCGCTACGCAGTGAAAGCAGCAATCCCTCTTGCTGTTCTGGCTTCTGGGATAGCTGTGCAGCCTGCATTCGCTCCATAAGACTCACACACATTTCCCCTTACTTTTTAGGAGGGAAAAAGTGAGTCTTATAGAGCAAAAAATACGGTATTTTTATTTGGACAACTTTTGGAATGAGAAAAATAATCAATTCTTTAATAACAATTTAAACAATTTATTTAAGTAAAACAATAACATTATCGCACATGTATCCATGTTTGTTAACTGATGTGGTTGCATATTTAAAAAGAAAAAAACTTAGACTGAGTTTTAGCACACATGGAAAACTGAAAACAAATCCTTATTTCCTGATGAATAGCCTTTGGACTATAATGTAACTTAAATAGAAAACTATCTTTAGAAAGTTTTTTCCTCCAAAAGCATTTTCTTTTAAAAATCCAATTTAAATTTTTTAAAAATCTGATTTAAATTTTTAAAAATCCGATTTATTTTATTTTTTATCCACCCTGCTCACACTATACATAGAACTGTAGTGTTGAAAGGTACTAGTCCAATCAAGTCCAATCCCTGCGATGCAAGAATCTCAGCTAAAGCATCCATGACAAAGGGCCATCCAAACTCTGCTTTAAAAACCTCAAATGAAAGCGAGTACACTGCTTCTCATGGGAGTCTGTTCCACACTCAAGCAACTCCTGCTGTCAGAAAGTTCATCCTGATGTTTAATCGGAATCTCCTTTCTTGCAACTTGAAGCCGTCGCTTTAGGTCCTAACCTCTGGAGCAGGGAAGAACAAGCTTGCTCCCCATCCCCACACAGATAGTTTGTTAATTTGTTTGTTAATTTGCAGGTCCAAAAAGCTGGCGCTGAAAGCCTTCAAGCAATATTGGTTTGTCTTCAAGGACACATCCATCTCTTACTTTAAAAATAAGGAGGCTGAACATGGGGAACCCATTGAGAAGCTCAACCTAAGAGGTATGGAGTGAGGATAAGACACATGGACACGGTATATTAGGTTAATGGGCTAAAAAAGGCCACAACTTTATTGATTACAGCATGTGAGAGGTATTGGCTTAGGCATTGGATAAAACAACAGAGCGTGACTCCACCCCCTCGGGGATGGGTGAGTCTATCAAGGGTTAACCACCACTGGGAGGAGCCTGTTGATGCAAATACAACTGAAAGCTCCCCCTGATGTCACCGGGGGTCGTGCCATGGCCCTAGCCACCAGCAAGGGCGTCGGACAGGATCCACGACCACCGGATTCCTTTACCGGAATACCTATAAAATGGAGGGGTAGGCGATGGCCACACCTTGCCCTCCAACACACAACCATATTCCAGTGCCCAAGCAAACTAGCTGCTAAAGATCCTCAACGCTTGCTCAGCCTGCACGTGGACAAGGAGGTCCTTCCTGGAGGTCTTGATCCGACGAGAAGCAGCAGCACAATGGCTGAGAATCGCTGCTGGGCCGCGTTTGAACGGCTAAACCCCGCCCCCAAGCCTCCAGCCGATTGGCTGGCCACCTGGGGGCGTGGCACGGCAGCCCGAGCAGTTGGGCAGGGGGCAGAATGCCTACTGGGGAATTTCTAGCACAATGCTGTGCTCCCCTTTGCTCTTCACTTTTGGTGCATATGTGCACAAATGGAATCATCTTAATAGATGGTCCTGGTTGTGGTCAGGCTCTCAACCTGGTTCCCCACCACCACCCTGGCGTGGGTGGAGCTATCACCCTTACGCCGGGGTGGCACCACAGTCACCCAGGGCTATTGCCCAATTGTGTCGAAGGGTGATAGTGGCGGAAAGTATAAAAGCGGCAGCGCAACGTGTGCCAGGCTCCTGGCCTGCCCTCCCTTTAATTTAAGAGTCCTTTGGCCTTGCTTTGGCCTTTGGTTGGTTGCCCGTCTTGAGTCGGGGATCGGGTAGGAATTTTTTCCATTTGGCAAATTGGCACAAGCCACTTGGTTTTTAGGGACGCGGGTGGCACCACAGAGCCTAGGACCTGCTGATCAGAAGGTCGGTGGTTCGAAACCCCGCGACGGGGTGAGCTCCCATTGCTCAATCCCTGCTCCTGCCAACCTAGCAGTTCAAAAGCGCGTCAAAGTGCAAGCAGAGAAATAGCTACCGCTCCGGCAGGAAGGTAAACGGCGTTTCCGTGTGCTGCTCTGGTTCACTAGAAGCAGCTTAGTCATGCTGGCCACATGACCCGGAAGCTGTACGCCGGCTCCCTCGGCCAATAAAGCGAGATGAGCGCCGCAACCCCAGAGTCGGTCACGACTGGACCTAATGGTCAGGGGTCCCCACAAATAACCCAGAGGTGCATTTTAAATAAAAGCACGTATTCTACTCATGTAAAAACACCAGGCAGGCCCCACAAATAACCCAGAGATGCGTTTTAAATAAAAGGACACATTCTACTCATGTAAAAACATGCTGATTCCCGGACTGTCTGTGGACCGGATTTAGAAAGCGATTGGGCCAGATCCGGCCCCCGGGCCTTAGTTTGCCTACCCATGACTTTAGCTAATGGGGCCTCCTGTTGCCGCCACGCCACCGGCGCATGATTTCTGTTCTCATCCTGAGGTAAAGTTCTTAACCCGAGGTTCTACTTCCGGGTTAGCAGAGTCTGTAACCCAAAGTGTTTGTAACCCAAGGTACCATTGTATATTCTTTCATACTTCGATTTTTATATCAAAGCATATTATCCATGGTAATTGTTAAACTACAAGTGAGATCAAAACCCTGCTAATGTTTCCATCTGCTTGCGGTGGTCTCCTAAATAACTTATAATTTTTTTCAATCTTTTATAAAGTTTTTGTCCCCTTGGTTTCTGAGCCCATCAGCTTGGTTTGTCACTCCTCTATGCTAGGGACTTTGTCTTCTTTCCATCTCTGGGCCAGTAACATCTGGGCAGTTGTTGTTCCATACATAAAAAGTCTCTTCTGTTCCTTTCGAATCTCAGTACCTGTAATTCCTAATAGAAAAGCTTCTGGTTTCTTAACAAAAGCTATTCTAAACGTTTTCTTCATTTCACTGTATATCATCTCCCAGAAAGCTTTTATTACCTTGTAACTCCACCACATATGATAAAAGGTACCTTCTTTACATTTCCAACAAGAATTTGTAGTCTGCTTTTATGGAGTCGCCCCATTCAGACATGACACTGGCCATAAACCAGGGTTCGGGAAATTAGTTCCTGTGCAGGAACTATGTGCTGCTGTATTCAGTTCCTCCCTTCCTAAACCAGGTTGACACACGGTGGAGCGGCTGGCTTGCTGTTATATGGAAATAAACTCTTGGGACTTACTTTCCCCCAAGCAACCCGCAAGCAGGAAGCCAAGAGCAAACTTTGGCTTCCACATTTAATGCTAAGACAGCTGCTCTGTTTCTCCACTCTAGGAAGGGAGGAGAAAGCAAGGAGGGTCCCAAACTCTGTACTATCATGCAGCTCATGCACAGACTTAATTACCTGACTGTGGTTTATTGTGTCCAAACAGAGCCCAATGTTTTGATTGAATTTGCTGTTTTCTGAATCACTGCTTCTGCTTTAGAGCATGGGCTTTTGCCAAATGTAGGATTTTGATGTTTACGATGACTACGTTGTCTGTCAGCACTGTGACTCTAGAGCGGGGTTTCTCAAATTGGGTCTCCAACTGTTTTTGGACTACAATTCCCATCATCCTTGACGACTGGTCCTGGCTAGCTAGGGATGATGGGAATTGTAGTCCAGCAACAGATGGAGATGCAAGTTGGGGAGACACTGATTTAGAGCGTTACTTTTGGCCTTAAATTTAAGTAACTTCTATGCCATGCATCCCCAACCTTCGGCCCTCCAGATGTTTTGGACTACAATTCCCATCATCCCTGACCACTGGTCCTGCTAGCTAGGGATCATGGGAGTTGTAGGCCAAAACATCTGGAGGGCCACAGGTTGAGGATGCCTGTTCTATGCTATAATATTAATAACATGTCTTCCCACACCTAACACATGGAAGGAGTTAAGGAAATTAATTTCAGTATTTCCTAAACCAGCTATTTGGTAATAGTCATGGCATGGGCATAGGGAGGCCATTATAGTAATATAATATTCAATCACCTGCACAACTTGAAATCATGTTACCTTCTTTTTTTTGTATGCCTTTTTATTCTTATCCTCTTCCAGTTTCCTTTCAAGTTCTCCTACCGTAATTCACCCTTAAAAGTAGGCAAAGCATAACTTCGCTTCTGACTTTTCGTGCCTTCTGTCAAACAGGATGTGAGATTGTTCCAGACGTGAGTGTGTCGGGCAGAAAATACGGGATTAAGTTACTCATCCCTGTAGCAGACGGAATGAATGAAGTGCACCTGAGATGTGATAACGTGAGTAGCAAAAAAGGGTTAACCCAGATTCTATAGGAGGGTTTAAGGTCCATTGCGTGCATTGCAGCGAAGCTTTGGAAGACTCTTTAGAGGCTGGCACTGCAAAGCACGGGGAACAACTGCAGGGCCTAAATATTGCCAGTGAAGTAAGGTGTTAAGTTGTGGGTGAACATATCAGACGACACAGCGATTCTTCAAACAGCTCTTGTTTATTCAGAGACCAGAACAGAACTGAACTGAAGGGTTCAGTCAGCCTGCTTATATAGAGCTCCAGTACAACGTTACTGTAACAACTTTCTAAAACTATCCAATCACTGAACGTCACTTTCGATCCTTCATTTGCATAACTATCTACAGTATCCCCCTGCTGGCCCATGGTGAGAACTTCAGTACATAACGTGAGGCATATGCACAGAAATGGGGTTTGTGCAGGGAACAAGTTAACAACACAGAAGGGACAACAGTGAACCAGGCTGCAGGTTGGCTTCCACATATCAGGAGTGGTTCACCTGGTGGGGAGGCAGAGCTCAAGCAATAGCTTCCCAAAAGGGTATACACAGCCCTGTCCTCACGTCGAACTTCTCCATTAAGCAACAGCTTGCTGGAAAGGCTCTTGCTGTTGCTGGGAGGCTGTTGCCCCCCTGGGCGAACTCCTTTCCCCACTTATAGCCTTGGATTTATGTTCCTTTACAATGCAGGCCGGCCTGTGAGCAGGGAGATTTATGGGGAGGCCAGTGTAAACAAGGGAGTTAGCACAGTGTCTGGGTGAAATCTGTCTTTCCGATAAGATCTGGAGTTCACAAACCTCTCAGCAATAACCTCAACCTTGTCCGTTCAAAATACCCTGCATTCTTCAGACTTGGGAGTGTTGTTCAACCTTTGTCCTATAAGAGCCTCCTAGGGACATGGGTGGCTCTGTGGGTTAAACCACAGAGCCTAGGACTTGCTGATCAGAAGGTCGGCTGTTCAAATCCCCGCAACGGGGTGAGCTCCCATTGCTCGGTCCCTGCTCCTGCCAACCTAGCAGTTTGAAAGCACGTCAAGTAGATAAATAGGTACTCCGGCAGGAAGGTAAACGGTGTTTCCGTGCGCTGCTCTGGTTCACCAGAAGCGGCTTAGTCATGTACGCCGGCTCCCTCGGCCAATAAAGCGAGATGAGCGCCGCAACCCCAGAGTCAGCCACGACTGGACCTAATGGTCAGGGGTCCCTTTACCTTTACCTTTACAGTGCAGACCAGCCTGTGAGCTGGGAGATTTATGGGGAGGCCAGTGTAAACAAGGGAGTTAGCACAGTGTCTGGGTGAAATCTGTCTTTCAGATAAGATCTGGAGTTTACAAACCTCTCAACAATATCCTCAACCTTGTCTGTTTAAAATACCCTGCATTCTCCAGACTTGGGAGAGTTGTTCAACCTTTGTCCTATAAGAGCCTCCTAAGTGAAGACAAAAACTGTTTGAGCTTCACAAAAGTTGAAAGCAAGGCACTGGGCTTGCCCCTCTGGAGCAAAGGAGCTATAGCACCAGGCAAGGAAGAAGTCTCAGGTTTAATCTCCCCTGTAAATCCAGAACCGTCCTTGGAAAATAGGGACACCTGGAAGGTCTGCACCCAGCCTCTTGCCCTAACGTCACCACCACCGCCACTCTGAACCCCATATGTTGCATTGCTGGATAGGTAACCAGTAATTCCTCGTAAGAAGAGCCTACTGGATCAGGCCAATGGCTACATCAGCGATGCCAAGTATCTTTTGGAAGTTTACATTGATGTGAAGGAAATAAGCAGCTATCCTATCTTTAAAAGACATCTGAAGACGGCCCTGTTTAGGGAAGTTTTTAATATTTAGTGCTGTATTGTTTTTAACACTTGATTGGGAGCCGCCCAGAGTGGCTGGGGAAACTCAGCCAGATGGGCGGGGTATAAATAATAAATTATTATTATTATTATTACAAGGGGCAAAGGTAGCAGCTGTTGTTCGGAGACAGAAAGCCTCTGAACCTAAGTGCCGCCATCATGACTGGTAGCCATTGTTTACTGATCCTCCTTGAGTCCAGTCTCCTTGCAAAGCCACCCAGAACTCATGCAAGTGAAGTGTAGGCCCTACACTGTTGCTTTCAGATTAGGGGCTGCGTCTAAACTTTACCAAAAAGGGGGAAGTTAACATGGGGCCCTCCACCATCCTTTACCATGAGAGGGTACCACTTTGCCGGCCCTTGGTTCAAGCAACTGCAAGGTGGGGCAGAAGGAAGGCAATGACGGTGCAAGGATTCTTTGCAGAAGTTTATTCTTCACGGACGTCGCTGACTGTGTTCTTTGCAGGAAAACCAGTATGCCAGGTGGATGGCCGCTTGCGTTTTGGCTTCCAAAGGGAAAACGATGGCCGACAGCTCCTACCACCCAGAGGTCCACAACATCTTGTCTTTCTTAAAAATGAAAAGCCGAACTGCTGCTCCCCAGGACGTTTCTGACGTGGAAAGCATGGATATGAAGCCGGAATGCTTTATCTCGCCACGATATGCAAAGAAATACAAGTCGAAGCAGGTAACTGGGGGTGGGGCGAGGGGTTGGGAGAAGGAAATAACAGCGGGATCTAGAGCAGATTTTCCTTGTCAAGCTGACTCAAGCCTGATTCAAATGATTCTTGCTTAACAAAGCCAAAAGCATGTACAGTATTTTTCTTTCTTTTTTCTTTTTTAGTTTTTTTATTCAAAATTAAAACAAGACATATTATCCAAAAACATATCATCCTTGTTTCCCCCCCCCATTTTTCCTCCCTCCCCCCACCCCACAACCCCCCCCCCCGACTTCCCTCAGTTCCAGTCTCTGGTTTCTCTGAGACTGCTGTTTTCTGGATGTTACAAAGTTGTATAGATCCTCAAACTTATTAGCTGATTATTATCAATAAAAAGTTTGTGAATGTGTATTCAAAACTAGCCAAGGAGTCCAGTTCACTTTGTTGCGTCTTCAAATACTTTGTAAAGGGTTCCCATTCATCCTTAAAGTCACAGTTATCCTTGTCCCGTAGTCTATCTGTCAGTTTTGCCAGTTCTGCATAGTCCGTCAATTTTTCTTGCCATGATTCTTTAGTTGGGGTTTCTTCAGTCTTCCATCCTTGTGCTACCAGAACTCTCGCGGCCGTTGTCGCATACATGAAGATGTTTTTCAGCTTTTTTGGCAGGTCTTTCCCTACAATCCCCATCAAAAATGCCTCGGGGTTTTTAAACAAATGTTAAATGGAAAATTTTCTTCAATTCATTGTATATCATTCCCCAATTTTTTTAAATTACATTACAATCCCACCACATATGATAAAATGTCCCTTCCTTTTCCTTACACTTCCAACATATCTTTGAACTAGTTTTGTACATTTTCCCTAACTGCAGTGGTGTTGTGTACCATCTATATATCATCTTCATGTAATTCTCCTTCAATAGGGAACAATCTGTAAATTTTAAATCAGTTTTCCATAATTTTTCCCAATCTTCCATCATAATGTTGTGACCTACATCTTGTGCCCATTTAATCATAACTGATTTTACCTCTTCATCTTTCGTCTCCCATTCTAATAATATGCTGTAATTTCACTTTCCCTTCGATCACTTCCTAGATCTTGTATAACTGAATCCTTTCTTGCTATCTTCTTTATGGGTTTCATATAGTTGTCGATAATGCAACCAACTCTGAAAGTGGTTTTTGATCTCATCATAATCTCTTAATTTCCATTCCAACTCAGTAATTTAAGATTGGCCATTTTCAGAGTCAGTTACAATATCTGTTTTCCCTGATGCCGTCTCTTCCAAGCATGTATTTTTCTTCAGCAAGGTCTTAGACCCGGACGAGAGTCAGAAGCATGACACCTGTGGGTGCAATGACCGTTTGAGGTCTTCCTCTGAACCCATGAAGCTTTTGAAGATCACAACCACACACACACACTTCCCTGTTGGTTATAAAGTGGTGAGGGTGGTTTCCCTTTTCTTCTTTGAAAAGCACATCAAGATGAAGTTGGAAGAGCAACGCTCTTTCCCATTTCCCTTTTCAGTTCTATATGCTTTTCAAGGCTCAGATTAATTGTACTGGATCTAACCTTTATCCAGAGTCCATGGCACATACTCCCAAATCCAAACGTGCCCACAAACTTTAAAAGGTTGGTCACAATGTTTAAAATTACCTTCCCCCCGAAAAACCAGAGTCCTTTCTGTTGGGCATCATTCAGACTGAAATTCCCCAGGTGTCAGAAAAGGTTATTTATGTATGCGGCAACTGCGGCCCATGTTTGGTTAGCCCAAAAATGGAAAAAGATTGACAAATTAGGCTGACAGAATATGCACAACTTGCAGACTTAAGATATAGAATAAGGGAACAAGAAGAACATACATTTAAAGGAGATTGGGAAATGTTTATTGAATATATGGAAAATAATTGTGCAGCTGAAAACTCTGGCAGCATTAAGATATATTCAGCAGCATAAATAAGTTTTGATGGATGTAATAGTGGAAAACCGATTGGTATAGTTTATGTAAAATATGCAGGGATATAAGATATGTAAAATGAACCATGGAAAGAGAAGGGAAGTCATTGATATCTTAAGTATGTAAAAGGTTTATCTGAAATGGTAAAACAGAAAATTTAATAAAAATCATATTTAAAAATAAAAATGGTTGGTCACCCCCCTATACGATGAGATCTGCATGTAATAACCAAAGAGCCAGCATGATACAACAGATACAGAGTATTGAACTTGAATTTGGGAGGTGTGAGTTTTTCATGTCCTCACTGTATTGACCCAGTGAAAATCACTGAATCATTGCTGGCTACCAGTTTTCCTTCTGCAGAATGGATTTAAGAGACTGGAGTAAAGGTAAAGGGACCCCTGACCATTAGGTCCAGTCGTGGAAGACTCTGGGGTTGCGGCGCTCATCTCGCTTTATTGGCCGAGGGAGCTGGCGTACAGCTTCCGGGTCATGTGGCCAGCATGACTAAGCTGCTTCTGGTGAAACCAGAGCAGCGCATGGCAATGCCGTTTACCTTCCCGCTGGAGTGGTACCTATTTATCTACTTGTACTTTGACGTGCTTTCGAACTGCTAGGTTGGCAGGAGCAGGGACCAAGCAATGGGAGCTCACCCCATTGCGGGGATTCGAACTGCCGACCTTCTGATCGGCAAGCCCTAGGCTTTGTGGTTTAACCCACAGTGCCATCCGCGTCCCTCAGGTTACATTCCCTGTGCCCAGGATGGCCTGATCCAGCACAAGGCAGCCTCAGTTACCCAAATCCTGTGTACTTAACTGGCTTCAAGAAATATTACGGACAGAAAGATCCTTGAAGCATTAAGGACACTTGAGAAACAATCCTTAATTGCAGTGTTGTTCCTAATAGAGGAAGATTAAAATGCAGATTGCCAGTACAAAACTGCCCAACCCCAACCTGCCTTCTCTCTAACGTTTATTGCTTTTAAAAATGTGCTCGGTTCCTTGTTGCATTGTGTTTTAAAGTTTTTTTAAAAATATATATATATTTTTAATTAGTTTTTTAACATATCATTTTCAACAATTATTAAACATACTTTTATCTTATACAATTTTTTTTACTTCCATCAATCACATCTGAAAATTTTCCAATCTTTTCACTTGATATACATTTCTTACTTTCACTATTACATTTAAATCTCATAACTGATGTCTCTCTTCTTCCTCTTCTTTGTAATATTACATATATTTCGCCTTATAAAACTTATTGTAGTCCTACTAGTGTAATTTGTTGATTACAGTTGCTCTTCAAATAGTTCGTATATTTCTTCCAATCTTCTGTAAATCCCTAGTCCCGCAGGTTTCGAATCCTTCCTGTCATTTTATCCAGTTCTGCTTAGTCCATTAATTTTGTCTGCTATTCTTTTGTCAGTATTTCTTCTTGCTTCCATTTCTGGGCCAGAAATATTATTGTCACTGTTGTTGCATATAAGAACAATTTAACATCCTGTCTATTAATATCCTCACCTATAATACCAAGTAAAAATGCTTCTAGTTTTTTTAGAAATGTATATTTCAACATCTTTTTCATCTTATTATATATCATTTCCCAGAAGTTTTTTACTTTCTTACATTCCCAGCATTGTGTGTTAAGGTTTTGCTTCTAACAACCCTAGCTGGTCTGTTCCCTCACCTTTGAAATTCCATTTGTTGTTGTTTAGTTGTTTAGTCGTTTAGTCGTGTCCAACTCTTCATGACCCCATGGACCAGAGCATGCCAGGCACTCCTATCTTCCACTGCCTCCCGCAGTTTGGTCAAACTCATGCTGGTAGCTTCGAGAACACTGTCCAACCATCTCGTCCTCTGTCGTCCCCTTCTCCCTGTGCCCTCCATCTTTCCCAACATCAGGGTCTTTTCCAGGGAGTCTTCTCTTCTCATGAGGTGGCCAAAGTATTGGAGCCTCAGCTTCAGGATCTGTCCTTCCAGTGAGCACTCAGGGCTGATTTCCTTCAGAATGGATAGGTTTGATCTTCTTGCAGTCCATGGGACTCTCAAGAGTCTCCTCCAGCATTGGATTCCATTAAGATTGCCTTATTATGTATTGCACCAGGCAGCCCTGTAGTAAACCACAGTCAGCAAGTCCTCCCCTTGGGCATCAAATACCATTCATAGCTTAAGTTCCCCACCCACATCCTATGTGATAAAGAAAACAAAAGCTATGGGAAATCAAAGCCGCCTGTAGCCGTTTAAGGCCTCTTGCCCATGTGATTAGGGGATATCAGCTCTGCCCATGTGTACAACGTTTCTGGGGATCAGGAACCAAGTAAGAAGGCCCCCCTGAAATGAATGAGCTGTCCCCAGTTTGCACCCCTTTGCCTTCCTTCCTTCAGGGAGTAGCAAGGATGCCTGCTCTCTGACCACATGCATAACCATTTTCCTTATGCTCTTCTTTCACCCCCGGCATCTGTCAATCGAAACCTCTATTCCCCTCCTTGTTTTCGCAGCTGGCTACTCGCATTTTGGAGGCTCACCAAAATATCGCCCACATGTCTCTGGTGGAAGCCAAGCTGAGGTTTGTCCAGGCGTGGCAGTCGCTCCCCGAGTTTGGCTTATCGTACTACATTGTGAGGTAAGTGCAATGTTACGCTGCTGTGACCATTTAATGGCAGGTGGCTCTCTGAGCTCTTCCACTTCCTTCATTTTGACTGAGTGCCAAGTGAGTTGGCAATTAATAACCAAGTATTAATTAATAATGAATAACCATAGTCTAGAGGTCCCGGGCCCTAAGGAAGTCAGACTATCCTCCGCCAGGGCCAGGGCCTTTTCAGTGATGGCTCCAACCTGGTGGAATGCTCTGTCCCATGAGACCAGGGCCCTGCAGGATTTAACCTCCTTCCGTGGGGCCTGTAAGACAGAGCTATTCCGCCTGGCCTTTAATTTGATCTTTTATTTCCCTTATCTTCCCTCCCCCTCCCCTTTTATGAAGATCACTTACTCTGAGACCCCACATCTAATTCTCCCCTGGCCTCCTCGCTGGCCCAAGTAGGACCAATTCAGCCAGCTAGCCCTGGGGATTATCTAATGCTTATTTCCCCTAAATTGAATTTTGAATTTTATTGTTATTCATGTTTTTATACTGTATCTTATGCTGCTTTTATAATTAAGTGTTTTAAATTTGTTGTTAGCCATCCTGAGCCCGGTTTTTGAACCGGGAAGGGCAGGGTATAAATAAAAAAATATTATTATTATTAATTAGATCAAGCAGAGGTGACTTTTTTAACAGAAGCTGTGACAGTTGCAACATGATTTCTGGTGACCTGACAATGTTCTTCAAGATGCATCTATTTTTCTCCCAGGTGGAATTGGATAAAATACAGCAGGGTGGGTGAACCGGGTCATGAGCTGTGAGCCACTTTGACAGTCATCTGACATCACGTGACCCAACTGCAAAGAGCGCAGTCCTAATATTATCCTGCTGTTTACATAAATAAATGAATACAGTGGTACCTCGAGTTAAGAACTTAAATCGTTCCGGAGATCCGTTCTTAACCTGAAACTGTTCTTAACCTGAAGCACCACCTTAGCTAATGGGGCTTCCCGCTGCTGCCGCGCCGCTGGAGCACAATTTCTGTTCTCATTCTGAAGCAAAGTTCTTAACCCGAGGTACTATTTCTGGGTTAGCGGAGTCTGTAACCTGAAGCGTCTGTAACCTGAAGCATATGTAACCCGAGGTACCACTGTATGTTTTTCTAGGGTTGTTGGCCCACGTTGCTAGAGCTCTTGACTGGAACGCCTTTGGGTCTCAGCTGTAGGGTTGTGGAGAAGATGTGAACTTTACACTTTTGTATTTTTAAATGAAGCCGGTAATCCTTTGTGCACATAGATGGGAGAAAAACCGCAGGCAGCATTTAGCATTTAGTTGATCAGGTGTCAGTAAACTGGTGCTCATCTTCCAGTGTTCTGACCAACATTGGAATGACTGACAAGTCCGTGTTAAAGAAAAGAAAATACAGTCAAGTTACATTGCATGGGGATTATGATCCTTTTTTGCACCCGGCCCTTGGCTGGCACAGGGACGCGGGCGGCGCTGTGGGTTAAACCACAAAGCCTAGGACTTGCTGATCAGAAGGTTGGCAGTTCGAATCCCCATGACGGGGTGAGCTCCCGTTGCTCAGTCCCTGCTCCTGCCAACCTAGCAGTTTGAAAGCACATCAAAGTGCAAGGAGATAAATAGGGAAGGTAAACGGCGTTTCCGTGTGCTGCTCTCGTTCACCAGAAGCGGCTTAGTCATGCTGGCCACATGACCCAGAAGCTGTATGCCGGCTCCCTCGGCCAATAAAGCGAGATGAGCGCCGCAACCCCAGAGTCGGTCATGACTGGACCTAATGGTCAGGGGTCCCTTTACCTTTACCCTTGGCTGACAAGTGAGTGAAGTCACAGGGCGAGGCCAGAGGACAAGGAGAGAGAGAAGAGGGGGCAGCCAGAAAGAAAGGGAAAAGCAGAAGAAAAAGGCTGGAACGGGGTGCAGGAAAGCAGCTGTTGAATTCATGCAAGTAAAAAAACTGAGCCGCTGGGAAATTGTTTAGAGGAAGAAGAGGAGTTTGGATTTGATATGCCGCTTTATCACTACCCTAAGGAGTCTCAAAGTGGCTAACATTCTCCTTTCCCTTCCTCCCCCACAACAAACACTCTGTGAGGTGAGTGGGGCTGAGAGACTTCAGAGAAGTGTGACTAGCCCAAGGTCACCCAGCAGCTGCATGTGGAAGAGCGGAGACACGAACCCGGTTCACCAGATTACGAGAATACCGCTCTTAACCACTACACCACACTGGCTCTCCCACTTGTTTAGGTGTCTCCCACTTGCAGTTAAGAGGTTGCTGTTTCACACTGACCTGGCTGTCGCATATTTTCTCCCGCTCCATCCTCGGTGTCCCTTAGCTGACTCCCATCATAGAATTCCTGACTGTGGGTCTGGAATTATGATACAATAATCTTTATTGTCATTGTCCCATACAGAACAATAAAACTGAAAAAAACTACATCAGACATTCAAAAACCAACAAGCCTGCTAACCCAGCTATCCCAGCCTGTTTAGCCCCCTAAAAACTCTGATACCCCATAATTGAATACAATATACTCCCATAGAGACTACCTTACACTGCGTTTAAAACCAAAATCGCATTTGGATAGAAACTGTTTCTCAGGCGGCTGGTCCTAGTCTTTATAACCCTGTACCTTCTTCCAGAAGCTGAAAGAGATCATTTCTGGGGTGCGCACTATCCTGCGCTATCTCTGCAGCTTTCTTATGGCACCCGGAAGCATAGATATGATCCAAGGTAGGGACGCGGGTGGCGCTGTGGGTTAAACCACAGAGTCTAGGACTTGCCGATCAGATGGTAGGTGGTTCAAATCCCCGCGACAGGGTGAGCTCCGGTTGCTTGGTCCCTGCTCCTGTCAACTTAGCAGTTCGAAAGGACCTCAAAGTGCAAGTAGATAAATAGGTACCGCTGCGGTGGGAAGGTAAACAGCGTTTCTGTGTGCTGCTCTGGTTCGCCAGAAGCGGCTTGGTCATGCTGGCCACATGACCCAGAAGCTGTACACCGGCTCCCTCGGCCAATTAAGCGAGATGAGCGCCGCAACCCCAGAGTCGTTCACGACTGGTCCTAATGGTCAGGGGTCCCTTTACCTTTATCTATGGAGAGTGTAACCAATTATTCTCTCCGCAGTCTTTACAACCTTGGACAGCATTGTTTTTTTCCCTGACCGTGCAGCTCCCAAACCACACACAGAGACCATAAGTTAATACACTCTTAACAGTACAATGGTAAAATGCCATCCACGGGTCCTTTGAGAGATTCTGGTGTTCAGTCCCTGGGCCAGTGCTCCAAAACAAGTTAGCAGGTAACTGAGGGTGAGCCCTGTTTGGGCAGAGAGCAGCACCAACATTTTTCAAATTCAGAGCGCATGAGCTCAGGTAACCTGGCCAGTGGCCCAGTTTTCTTTCTGTTGTCATCTGCTCTTAACCAGAAAAAAAATGCCTGCGCCATAATGAGCAGTTATTACTCAACCACGAACACCCACGAGGCTAAATCTGCTTCCTTTACCATCATGTCCTTTTGGAAACTGCTGTTGGTATATGAGGGAGCTCTAGGTCTTTAAATACTGCGTTCTCCCTCTCTTGGGTCCTGTGTACACATCTTTTCTGGCTTTAACGTTTAACTGTTACATACAAGTGCCGATTTCAACCACAACAGGCTGTTTTCCATGCAAAAAAGGCTACATTTTACAGTCATTACAAGGTCGCTACATTTTGCCCTGCTACTACTAAATCAGGGTTTGGGCCAAAATATTTTTTATTCACAATAAGATTTTTTTAAAAAAAACGAAAACAAAACACACCTGGAAAAGACTTCGGAAAGTTTAATGCTTAGCGATAACTATTTTCATAACATAGTTTACCATTGCATTTCTGTGCTTGGCCAGTAGAGGGAAGCACAATCCCATCATAAACATTGATATTCTCATTTCATCCCTCTTTACATTAGTTACTGACTTGTAGGCTTGAGGGGAGACAATAATAATAATAATAATAATAATAATAATAATAATAATAATACCACCGTACATAGGTCCTCTCTCCCAGTGCAAATCCTTGTACACAGTCTTCACAGAACCTCCGAAAGGGACTGTGATTTTTTCCCCTCTGTTGCAAACTGCTTTTTGAGAGACTTGCCGAATTAATTGTCTGGGTTTTCCCCCTCCTTAGATTTAAAGGAAGCAAGAAGGATGACCTCTTGGGCATTTCTTACAACAGGCTGATAAGGATAGATACAGCCACCGGGGACCCAATTACGACATGGAGATTCTCAAATATGAAACAGTGGAACGTCAACTGGGAGATACGGCAGGTAAAGACAAAGGTTTCCTGGAGCAAACTTGCCTCTCGCACTGCGATTTAACCTTTTGCACAAATAAACCTGGCAAACAGCCCTTTTGTGATGTATTTGAAATGCAAAACAATATACCCGTTGTACATAGAAACCCTTATATGAATGCAGGGAGGAGGACCCGTGGCCCTACAGCGGCTATTGGACTACAACTCCCATAATCCTTTATTGCTGGCCATGTCAGCAGGGGCTGATGGGTATTGTAGTCCAATAACATCCGGAGGGCCGCAGGTTCCCTATCTCTGCATTAATGTGTTTCCTAATCTGCATCACGGAGGGACGCGGGTGGCGCTGTGGGTTAAACCACAGAGCCTAGGACTTGCCGATCAGAAGGTCAGCGGTTCAAATCCCTGCGACGGGGTGAGCTCCCATTGCTCGGTCCCTGCTCCTGCCAACCTAGCAGTTCGAAAGCACGTCAAAGTGCAATTAGATAAATAGGTACCACTCCGGCGGGAAGGTAAATGCCGTTTCCGTGTGCTGCTCTGGTTCTCCGGAAGCGGCTTAGTCATGCTGGCCATATGACCCGGAATCTGTACGCCAGCTCCCATTAAAGCGAGATGAGCGCCACAACCCCAGAGTCGGTCACGACTGGACCTAATGGTCAGGGATCCCTTTATTTTTACCTTATTATGCATCACATCCCCATTCACAGTATTATACTTTATTATATTGGGTGGTTTTTCATCACATTGGGCTGTTTTATTCACTACGATTTTTATTTAGGGACTTCACGATCTCCACCATGATATAAAATATCGCTATGGAGTTTCTATCTTTAACGGTCATTTGAAGGAAAACTGGGAGTATGGGAGACATAAATGCGATGAATGCGAGGGGATAGAGCATGGCGTAAACTCAGCTGGGAGTCACAAAAGATAATCTCTGAAATACGTTCACAGTTTCAGGGCAAAGAAGCAAAAACACTTCGCAGAATGCATAATTCACTTGACAGAATTTGCTGCTGCAAGAAGCATTGATAGACACAAGCTGTCAAGGGGACCGAGGCAAATTCATGAGAAAAAAGTCTATCACAGTCTTTTAGCAGTTGCGGCTAAACAGAACCTCCAAATGCAGGGGCAGTCTAGCCTCCTAATGCCAGTGACTGGTGGGAAAGGTTGGGCCTTAGTGCCTTCGGGCCCTGCCTACAGGCTGTGTGGCGGCATTGGATAAAAGATGCACGGTTAAATGGGCCATTGGTCCAATCCTGTATATCACAGGCTTCCTCTCTGGCTATCGCCTTCCTCCCTCTATTCTTGGCGGTTTAATTGTGCTTTTTATATATATACCTCTTTGCATTTCCCCTTCAGGTTGCAATTGAGTTTGACCAGAACGTGTCTATTGCTTTCGCTTGCCTGAGCGCAGACTGCAAGGTGGTCCACGAATACATTGGAGGTTACATCTTCCTGTCCACCCGTTCCAAAGACCAGAACGAAACGCTGGACGAGGACTTGTTCCACAAGTTAACTGGAGGATGGGAATAAGGAGAGGAGAAGCAAGAAGTTGATCAACAACTCCAAAATGCGAGTGCCTCCTCTAGATCCATCTTGGTTTTGAACCTGAGAAGTTTAAACGGGTGTATCTCAGTAACCTTTTGAAAAAGAAACATAAGCTTACCTCAAGGGTTGATCTACTTTGGGTGTAAATACTTGGAGCAGGGGTGGCTAACCCATAGCTGTCAACTTACAGATTTGAAAATAAGGGACCAGCAGCCTCGAAAATAAGGGATCAGCAGCCAAAATAAGGGATTTTCCGGGCACAGGTATGTTCAACTTCTGAGCCCCTCTGAGCCAAAGGCAGAAAGCCCAGCCAGCAGCCAAATGAAGCCTCATCAATAAGGGACAGCAGCAGGACATGGCACTGGGATAAGGGACTGTCCCGCCAAATAAGGGACACTTGACAGCTATGGGCTAACCCGTGTCCCGCCGAATGCTGTTCAACTCCCATTTTTCCTGACCACTGGATGTGCTGGCAGGACCGATGGGAGTTGTAGTCCATATAATCAAGACGGCCCTCACGCTCCCCATCCCTGACTTGGAGCCTACTGGGCAACAACAAACCTAAAGCCCACTGTATTGCAACCATGTACCTGCAGCAGAGATGTGGAGCCTGCAATCTTCCAGGTGATACTGCAATCCAAGCCGCACCAGCCCCAGCCAGCATGGACCGGGATGATGGAAGTTGTAGTCCAAGAGTACTCTATCCCTGATCCCTGTAGAGCACATGGTTTTGGCTTATCCGTAATCTTTATTGGCGTGTGACGCTAGGGAGCCTGTGAAATCCAGTTAAGGCTCCAATGCAGCAAATACTTTAGAGGACAAATCCAGCTTCCTTTTGTGCCTCCTATTCCTCACCTCCGCTCACTCCCGAACCCCTTAGGCATGGTCCATCCGTCTCAAGACACATTGGACTGCTCCGTTGGGGGAGGAGTCAATCCTCTGGAGAATCACGGCGTCTGCTGTGGCTGCAGAGACCAGTAACTTGTAACCACTGCCTTCTGCGTTGTTTTTGCTGTATCGGCAGCACCAAAGTGATCTCTCTGGGGCGCAGGCCTGGGCAGTGTGTATGGAGGACCTGGGCTGCCCAGATAACAAGACTCGGTCCAGTGGCCTCGCTGATGTGGTCCAAAAGAAACCAGAGCGATATGTTTGGCACCAGTTTGGCTGCAGGAGTTGCCAGAAGGAGTAGTAGTAGTAGTTTGGATTTGATATCCCGCCTTTCACTCCCTTTAAGGAGTCTCAAAGCGGCTAACATCCTCCTTTCCCTTCCTCCCCCACAACAAACACTCTGTGAGGTGAGTGGGGCTGAGAGACGTCAAAGAAGTGTGACTGGCCCAAGGTCACCCAGTAGCTGCATGTGGAGGAGCGGGGAATCGAACCCGGTTCCCCAGATTACGAGTCCACCGCTCTTAACCACTACACCACACCACATACAAGATTACATTCAACTGTCTCCAGATGTGCGCTTAGCCTTTTCGTTTCCTAAAGATGTCCCACAATGCATCAGGTATGGATTTTTCCTTGGGGTTCACTCCCGAAGACTACGAACTGTCAGACACACACACAAGCATGGCATACTGTGAAAAGCATTTATTTGAATTCATTAATTCCGATGACTTTTCCTTACTGCTTAAATAAGACAAGAAAACAAGTGCCACCAAAAGATTTAATGTTATTTTTAGGGTGTTGTTGCACCTGGACATTTTGTTGTTGTTCTTGTTCTTCTCATGGAAAGGATTTTATCAACGTCCTCCCAGTTTTTGCTGCAATTGCTCATATTTTCATAAGACATTAGTACCTGCTTTTTGTACAGTGCTTTTTGCATTTTGTAAAGCTTTGCAACTAGCGCCTTGCTGTAGGGAAACTACAGTTTTAATTTCGTGCCATCTTCTGAAGTAATTTAACTTCCAGCTTGTTTTTAACGTTTAGTCCTTTTCATATTTTATATCAAAACTGTTGGCGTGTAGTAATGAACCTACTGAAACAATAATTTTTTAAGCTGTGTAATAGAGATTTTAAAATAAATACATTCTTGCAAAACAATAGTATCCCAGTGATGCTTCCAGGACTTCCATGAAAGCCTCTTCTTCTACACTTATTCTATTCTGCCTTCTTCTTTTTTTAAAAAAACTACTTTGAGATGGATTCTTGCCCTAGTGCTTTCTTCTGTTCGTAGTTATTTGGATCCAATCCAGTGCCAAGGGTGCAAGGTAAAAGGTAAAGGACCCCTAAGTCCAGTCAAAGGCGACTATGGGGTTGCGGTGCTCATCTTGCTTTCAGGCCGAGGGAGGCAGTGTTTGTCCACAGACAGCTTTCCGGGCCATGTGGCCAGCAGGACTAACCCGCTTCTGGTGCAACAGAACACAGTGACTGAAACCAGAGTGCATGGAAATGCCGTTTACCTTCCCGCTGAAGCGGTACCTATTTATCTACTTGCACTGGTGTGCTTTCGAACTGCTAGGTTGGCAGGAGCAGGGACAGAGCAACGAGAGCTCACTCCATTGTGGGGATTCGAACCGCTGACCTTCTGATCGGCAAGCCCAAGAGGCTCAGTGGATTAGACCACAGCGCCAGCCGCATCCTGCCAAGGGTGCTACACTTCAGGCTTTAACATACAGTCTGCTTTCCATTCTATTGTGCTTTTCATGGTGGTGGTGGTTTCCTTCAGTTCAAATCGGGGAGGGCGGGGCAACTGAAGCAGCATCTCATGTAGCGTTTCCTGCTACATGAACTATATTCTATGGAATTAAAGCCAAACTAATTAAAACATAACAGATCTTTTGGTCCTCTGTAGGACCGCCTCAGGGACGCGGGTGGCGCTGTGGGTAAAACCTCAGCGCCTAGGACTTGCCGATCGTCAGGTCGGCGGTTCGAATCCCCGCGGTGGGGTGTGCTCCCGTTGCTCGGTCCCAGCGCCTGCCAACCTAGCAGTTCGAAAGCACCCCCGGGTGCAAGTAGATAAATAGGGACCGCTTACTAGCGGGAAGGTAAACGACGTTTCCGTGTGCTGCGCTGGCTCGCCAGATGCAGCTTGTCACGCTGGCCACGTGACCGAGAAGTGTCTTCGGACAGCGCTGGCCCCCGGCCTCTTAAGCGAGATGGGCGCGCAACCCCAGAGTCGGACACGACTGGCCCGTACGGGCAGGGGTACCTTTACCTTTACCTTAGAAATCGCCTCAATTTTTGGTGTCAGAATGTGCGGCAGAGAAGAAAACGGCATGTTCTTTCTCTTTGAGGTATATTTTATTTTCCTTCGTTATGAATCAGTTGTATGCAGGGATCTGATTCAGTCTGGATTGAATATGTCATGCTATTTTTATGGAGTGCAAAAAAGAAAGAAAAATTCCTCAGTCTTTGCTGAAGATTTCAGTTCTTATCATTCTCTGTTTGCTAAAGGAGGAGCTCATCTCTGGAGCCTGGTACCATCTCCTCTTGGGACTGCTCCGGTCTGTTTATCTTCCTGTGTCAGTAAGGAATTCAGCTTTCAGTCTTCACATTCCAACCTTGATGATTTGCAGCCAGCGTTGATTCATCCCTTTAGAGATGGAGAGGAGGAGGAGGACATACGCTGGTTGCAGCTTTCAAGGTGCTGTTATAATATACAGAGTGCAACATGCTTCTATCCTGCTTCTAAAGCAAACACACATCTGTGTAGTCTACTTGCTGTATGTTTAGGACAGTGGTGTCCAAACTTTTTTCAAAGAGGGCCAGATTTGATGAAATGAAGGGCCGTGAGGGCCGACCAAAGGGCCAGCCAAAGTCATTGACCTTTTTCTTAGGGTTGAAGTTGTTGAGCTTTTTTTACTATTGAAGTTGTTGAGGGTTTTTTAGGATTTTACCCCAGGAAATAAACTTGGAAACTGCCACAGGGGCTGGATTAAGCCAACCAGTGGGCTGGATTAGGCCCCTGAAACGGACTTTGGACATGCCTGGTTTAGGAGATCTGGGTTTAAATCCCTTTGAGCAAGTCAATTTCGCCCATTTTCATCCAGTAGTAAATGAGATAATGATTCCAATGCTAAAATGGATGACGGAATGCTCATCCATCATATGCTCAGTGCTTCACAGCCAGAGATCCTGGAACTGTTTTGCATTTCCCAACAGTGGTAACTAGGCCACCGAGTGGCCAATATGACTTCTGCTACTTGTTAAGGGGTTTCAAGAGCAGCTGTGTGGTGGGATCAAAAAATGAGACACTTCTTAAAGGCACTTTAGATGACGAAACCACCAGCTTACAGTGCAGCAGACGTTTTACAATGACTTTTAAAAATAAATGATAATGGTTTGTATCTAATGTAGCGCTTTGTGAATGCTTGCTTAGTGTGAGGATTTCTGCTTGTGCAGGGAAATGTTCTCCCACTCTTTTCCCACTGTGTGTCTCCTAAATCTCTTCCCCCTAACCTATCTCTGGAGCAGATGTGGGAAGGGACCAGGACACAGGCACATGCAGAATTCCACCCTTTAATGTGAACATGAAGAGGAGCTCATTTGCGTCGGCAGATGCCGGTATAGTGCTAAGCCCAATCACCAGTGAATATTTGTTGTACCTTTATTGGAAATCAAAATAGATCCCTTTATTTAACTTTCAATCTAACTTTGTTATAAGATTTGTTCTCTGAATTCTGGATCAAAATTTGAAACGTCACAGGTATCAGGGTCACCCCAAACGCAGGTGATTTATTGCTTTCTTCCGCCTTCCATCTTTCTTCTTTAATATATTGGCAGTGTGATAGGAATTTTGAGGTCTTAGATATATGGTAATGTTCATAAGCATACCAACCAAGCACGTACATAGATCAGCACAGGAAGACCGACCTGGGTCAAAGTGGGAAACCTCCCCATTGTCTCTTTCCTCACAAATCCTGTCTTAAGGGCACATTTAAGATATGACTAGGGTGTGAGCCTGTGACATGGCCCAGGAACTAAGTATTTATCATTACAAAAGACTGGCCAGGCTACCAAGGAAATCCAATCAAGTAACCTGCCAGACAGGAGAAAAACAACATTCAAATTTCTGTTTTAAGACCACCTTTTCTGTGATGTAGGTATGATGTATCTGAGGGGTGGTCTTAGGTTACACCCCTTCTGTGATGTATGTATGATGTTTCTGGGGGTGGTCTTGATCTACAGGGTGGCAATTTCAAAAGTCTTTATAAGGCCTTGCGCGCCATTTTTCTGGGTTCCTCTTCTTCTCCTACGGGTGAGGGGAGCACCCTGTTGCAACAGTTCAATAAAGATCAAGCTTACTAGCTGCTTTGCTTCTCAATATTCTCTGGTTGGCCTTTGTTATCTTCTACCAATAGGGAACCTATGTAAGGACTCTATATGGGCTCTTGGATACCCCATAAGGGAAAAGGGCAATTTTTGTTTACAACAGCAGTTTATGTCATTTTCTGAGGAATGAAACGATAAGCTTGAGATGGGCATGCACACTCTCACGTGCTTTTTCTTTCATGTTGTTTTTTAACCTGTGCTTTTAACCTGTGAAATCAGGAATGTGTTTCACTTACAGAAGCCATGCTGTTAAGATCATGACATATGAGGCAGATGTCACTTGTTCAAATCCCAGTTTAGCCATTAACGCTTTAGATAGCCCTAGGTAAACTCTGAGCTCTCAGCTTCTGTTCTCTGTATGCATTAGCAGGATAATAAAACCAGTCAACCTCATCAAAGCGACATCTAAGGAACTAACAGAATTTGTGCTCACAGACACTCGGAAACTGCAAGAGCTTTTTGCCACAAACTGCTGGCAAATACCCATGGCAGAAAAAATTGACTTACCAATCTAGATTAGCTAAAGACAAAACTAAAATAACTGATTTTCATAGTGTGGTGTGGTTTTATCTCGTATGCAAATCAGGGACACGTATAAAAGGCTTTCCACAGATTGTGGGAAAGAGCTTAAGTAGAAATTGCAATATTACGAAGAAGTAGAACAAAATCTCCAAGTTGCCAGTGCATATTGGATACCTAGATACCTACAGAGGAGAGATGTGTTAAAGGCATCATCACCTTCTGTTAGTATTTATATGGTGTAACTTTTTGATTTTTGTTGCTTGTTTGTTTTATTTTAGAAATAAAATAATACTTGTTTATTTTAAGCGGACTGGATTGTCATAAGGACCTCTGGGTAGTGCTGAATGAAGCAACTTGAGCACTTAGGGCATGTGTTTTATAAATATAAATAAATGTATTTTAAATCAGACAGATAGGCATTCTGAAGCATCTAACTGTATTGATGTTTTGACTTCTGTCGTGTCTGACAGGTTGACCAAATGTGTCCGTAATCTGAGGTGTGCCTCTTTTTGCCCTACTTCTGCCTAGGGTTTGTTTTTCCAGAATTGTTGCTGCGGGAGAAATTACCTTTCAGTATTCACCAGAGTTGAACTGCATTGGGCAATACCCGATGACGCTCCTTCGCTTGAAAGGGGTTTTCTAAAAGTACACGCTGATCAGTTTGTAACAAAGGAGGCAGAACCCAAAAGGGCTCCAGACCAGACAGACCCATTAAGAAATCTGTCTTACGTTTCTGCGAAGTCTGGTAGATCTCAAAGCTGCCTTGATGCTGAGTGACATGTGCAAAGATAAGCCCAGCATGCGTTCTCGAGGCCCTTTGAAAAGCATAGCTTTAATTGCTAGGGTAGTTGTAGGATGTGCATGGTTTTCCTTGGACAATGATGCCTGCTGCTTTTCACTCACTTGCCTTAAACTGAGCTGTTGTTGTTGTTTAGTTGTGTCCGACTCTTCGTGACCCCCTGGACCAGAGCACGCCAGGCACTCCTGTCCCCACTGCCTCCCGCAGTTTGGTCAAACTCATGCTGGTAGCTTCGAGAACACTGTCCAACCATCTCGTCCTCTGTTGTCCCCTTCTCCTTGTGCCCTCCATCTTTCCCAACATCAGGGTCTTTTCCAGGGAGTCTTCTCTTCTCATGAGGTGGCCAAAGTATTGGAGCCTCAGCTTCAGGATCTGTCCTTCCAGTGAGCACTCAGGGCTGATTTCCTTCAGAATGGATAGGTAGCAAACTGAGCAACAAACTGCTAATTTGCACAGCAATAATTAAGCCTTGACACTGGCTTGTTCTTTCTTCATTTAAAGAAAAGTGACTCTGGGAGGGTGGCCAATTGTGATTTTATAGTCTCTCTTTGTCATAGCCAACCTATTTAATAGCTATATGAAACCGCTGTGAGATGCCTCCCAGGAATTTGGAGTGTGATGCCATTATTTTAATTATTATTATTATTATTATTAAAGGATTTTCCTAGAACAGCAAATGTACATGCAACATCTTTGTTCTCAGTTCATAGAGTTTTCCATTCTTTTGCTTAGTGTATGCATAGGGTTTTTGTGTCAGCATCACAGGGATAGGTTCTTTATTTGTCTGTCTGTTTTGGCGGACCGAGAGCCCAGAGCATAGTTGGTTGCAATGAGTTTTGTTTGTATGTGAGAGAAGGTGGAAGGTGGTTGGGTCAAGTTAGCCGCATCAATTGGTATGCTGTTGGGGGGGTTATGTTGTTGTCTTGCTGGGCTGTATGTATAATAAAGGGGAGCCATACCAGTGTTACGGCATCTTCTTTTGTTTGTCCTTGTTCAATTTGTTGCTTAACTTTTCTAGCAGGGCCGTTTCCCATACAGTTTGGGAGCAGTGGCAGGTCCCTCCAGTGTTTAGTTATGATGCTCCTCGCTTCTGAGAGTAGGTGGCTTATGAGTTCTTTGTAAGGTGAGTGTACATTGTTGTCATGGGAGATGTTTACTAGGGCTAGTTCTGGAGTTGCTTCTCATACCCGTTTCATTATTTGGCAGGTTTCTTATAGGATAGGCGTCCGAAAGGGTTGGGTTTGGGGGCATTTAAGCTGCTAACATGGGACGCGGGTGGCGTTTCCTGGTTTTCCAGAAGCGGCTTAGTCATGCTGGCCACATGACCCGGAAGCTGTACGCCAGCTCCCTCGGCCAATAAAGCGAGATGAGCGCCGCAACCCCAGAGTCGGCCACAACTGGACCTAATGATCAGGGGTCCATAAGTGCAGGTGGTTATTCAAGTATCCTGGGCCCAAGCTGCTCAGGGCTTTTAATGTTACAGCTTTTAATGTTTAATCCACATTTCTTCACAACTTCACGTCTTAACAGTAAGATGTAGTCTAGGAGACCACTCCAGAGCAGGGCTCAGGGGATGACTGACACTCATAGGACCCTACTAGCGTTAGTTACTCAGTTGCTAAGCCTGTGTTTAGGGCTACTACACATGTAGGACACATGTGACAGGTCCTATGTTGGATTTGTTGTGTTACGCTGTCATGGAAACAGGCAGCCTGAGGATGGGGGATGCAGATGTCACCCTTATGATCAGATCATTACATCACAAAGGGTGTACATTTTCATGACACAATCTGTGATGGGAGGCAGAAGAGAGATGAGATGTACAGGCCAAAGGATGGTCCAGACTTGGAGATTGAAAATTCCAGTGGGTTTACAGAATGCTCTGGGAGATTTTGCTTACGCCTATAGAGGCTGTGCTAATACTGGACCAGTGTCTGGAGGCACTGATGAGCTGGATAAGGTTGAAAAAAATGAAGCTGAATCCTGATAAGAGCACGATGCTGTGGATAGGAGGTTCCCAGGTCTGGGAATTAGGGAGACAGCCTGTTCTGGAGGCATTGCACTCCCCGTGCAGGAGCACATATGCAGCTTGGCCGCACCCCAATTCTGTGCAGTGACTGGCAACCCAAGTGGCTTCAGTGAAGAGGAGTGTTTATCCCCAACTCTGGTTGGTTCCCCCGCTACAGCCATCTGTGGACTGGGAGAGCCTGGAACCCGTGATCTACACTCTCAGCTGGACTACTGTAATGGCTGCCACATGGGGCTGCCCTCCAAGATAGTCCAGAGGCTGCAGCTAGCATAGAATGCCACAGCCAGGTTGCTACATGGGATAGCAAAGAGGTAAATAGGTAAAGGTAAAGGACCCCTGGACGGATAAATCCAGTCAAAGGTGACTATGGGGTTGCGGCGCTCATCTCGCTCTCAGGCCAAGAGAACCAGCGTTTGTCGACAGACAGCTTTCCAGGTCTCGTGGCCAGCAGGAGTAAACTGCTTCTGGCGCAACAGAGCACCGTGATGGAAACCAAAGCACAGGGAAATGCCGTTTACCTTTCCGCCACAGCGGTACCTATTTATCTACTTGCACTGGTATGCTTTCGAACTGCTAGGTTGGCAGGAGCTGGGACAGAACAACGGGAGCTCACCACCATCGCAGGGATTCAAACCACCGACCTTCTGATCGGCAAGCCCAAGAGGCTCAGTGGTTTAGACCACAGCGCCACCCACGTCGCTATTGATAGCAAATAGAGATCCCATTACACTGTTTCTTAGAGCTCACAGCACTGGCTGCCTAGGCTCAATTCAAAGTCTTGGTGCAGAATGTCATATATTATCTGCAGTCTAAGCACAGGTACTCCTTCAAGTACTTTTGAAGACATTAAAGCATGGGCCAGAGCATGTTCTTGGTACCATCAGTGGAAAATCCTGTAGGACAATGGCACAAGGAAGGAACTTCTCAGTGGCTGCCCCCAGACTATGGAATTTGCTCCGAACTGAAATTGACCACCACCACCGCCTTTGGTCATTAGCTGCAGACATTTTAACAGGTAAGAGCTTATTATCTGCTGCCTTGTGTTTTAAATGTTGCCATTGATCTGTTTTAATTAAAGTTGTACAGTGGTACCTCGGGTTACATACGCTTCAGGTTACAGACTCCGCTAACCCAGAAATAGTACCTTGGGTTAAGAACTTTGCTTCAGGATGAGAACAGAAATCGTGCTCTGACGGCGCGGCAGCAGCAGGAGGCCCCATTAGCTAAAGTGGTGCTTCAGGTTATTTGGCTTTAGCAGAAATGTTAAAAAGAACTATGTAAGAATATGTTATGGTTATGAGAAATTGGTATAAATAAGATTTAAGTTTTAAGTTTTGGGGTTTTTTATGGTAAGATAAGGTTAAAATAGATTAAGGTAATTTAATGACAGAATATTATGAAAAATGGAAAGGATTTGCTGTGACAATCAACAACTAGAATACAAAAAAGGGAGGTGTGAGGAGGTTGATGAAATAAGGTAATGACAGTTAAGGATTTGGGAATATTGGATCTGTTTTTAAATTTTTGTGGTTTATTTTTGCTTTCTGATTTTGATGTGCTATGTGTTTTGTTTTTGCTTTTTGCTTTTGACTTTTATTGATCTGTATTGTTTAATTGCTATTTGTTTCTTTCTTGTTTTTTTCTTCTTTTTCTCTTTGTTTTTTTTTTGTAATTTTAAAATTCTCAATAAACATCATTTAAAAAAAAAAAAAACAGTTTCAGGTTAAGAACGGACCTCCGGAACAGATTAAGTACTTAACCCGAGGTACCACTGTATACTATTTGTATTGCATATTAAGATTGTTGGTAGCTGCCCCGGGCTGTAGCAGGAGGGAGTGTGGGGTATGGGAACAATTAATAAACCTACAAATGGCATGTAAATGAGCTCACAGGGGTGCTTGACCCTCAACCACTTCCCTTCTCAGAATTGCTCCCCATAATATTTACCCTTCCCAAAGGCACATCTGGGTCACCATGAAGAAAGGGAGCAGTTAAAACGACATGAAAAGCTCCTTTAGGGAGGGGACCCTTTTGAGTGGAAAAGTCCCAGGTAAGGCTGTACCACTAGCTGTTTTTTCCATTCCAAATCTGCCCCACTCAAATTGCTCCCTTTCCAGAATTGGTGGTGAGCAATTCTGAGCAGGGAAGTGGTTGAGGGTCAAGTCTTTCTTCCACCCCTCCTCCTCCTCCTCTTCCTCCATTCGAAACCATATATTCCCAAGTCCACTTCTTTTAAAAATAAATAAATGGTGGAGCTCCTTAAATAGATACAAGGTGTAGTTTGCCCTTTATACTTGCAGAGAAGTCAAAATTGCCTATTTCTAGAAGGAGAGGGAAGAAGACATTGGCCTACTTATCAGCAGTCTGGCACTCTCCATGGACCTTTCACCTTTGCAAAAAAAGCCAATCCATTCTGCTGGCAAAAAAGATGTTTTTTCCGCCCACCAGAATCACCCCCAGCCTCTCCCTCTCTCTCCCCCCCCCCCCAGCTATGCAGGGAGGAACTGACAAGTCCATTTGTGTAGCTTGGGAAATAAATCTGCCCACTTCCCATAAAGGGATGGGGATAGGTGTGGTGTAGTAAAAAAAGGAACAGCCCTTTCCCTAAGACGAAGGGGCAAAGTGGTATAAGGGGCCTGACTTGGAATCAGCAGATCTGGTGAGAGAGGACGGGAGCAAGGGAGCAGACAGGGGTTCGTGCTTGAGCTCTGAATCATCGGAATGTATAAAGCAAGTGCGGGAAAAGTCGGGGAGCCTTGACACGGAGCAATCTGCCTGAGAAGCAGCTTGGCAGGTAAGTGCTTGCTGATCCTAAAAGGGCGAAAGGGAGACGGAATAGGAGCCAGTTCAGCACAGAGAAACCAAGTTAAGTGTTTTTTGCAATAGAGGGCAAGATGGCAAGCGGGGGTTATTGGGCTTAGCCACTATACCAGCGTCTCATTAAAGGGGGGAAATTCTGCACATGCCGTTTCTTCTCCCACTGGGGTTTCTGTGCCTCAGCTTTTAAAAGACCAGAAGACACCCCCCCCCCTTTGAGTAAACAAGTGAGAACTGAGCTCCCTGATACCTTCCAAGCAAAGAGTAAGTAAAAAATTGTGCATCTAGGTAAAAGAGGTGTGCGTTTTTCTTAGGGTTACAATGTGATAGGGGAAAAAACATCAGACTGTAGGGTAATGGGTGTAGCCAGGATTTATTTTAATGGAGCAGGCTTTATGTGGGAGGGGGCAGAACCGAGTTATCTGCCACGCAGTTGGTCAGTTAAGTATTTCTATTTACAGTGGTACCTCTGGTTACGTACTTAATTTGTTCTGGAGGTCCGTACTTAACCTGAGACTGTTCTTAACCTGAAGCACCACTTTAGCTAATGGGGCCTCTCGCTGCCGCCACACAATTTCTGTTCTCATCCTGAAGCAAAGTTCTTAACCCGAGGTAATATTTCTGGGTTAGCAGAGTCTGTAACCTGAAGCGTATGTAACCCAAGGTACCACTGTATTTACCTTGATGGGGGGAGAGCTGCCGTTCCCTACACCCCTTGGCTAATAATGACAATAAAGATATTATTATTATTATTATTATTAAGCCCATGTTTAGGGTTGCAGTGGTCTGGCGTAAGGATGCAAACTGATGCCAGGGGGCACCGCCTACCTTCGTGCCACTGTTGTCTCATCCAGCAGTGCTACGAAAGAACATTTGCATGGTGATGCCTAGCAGCCAGGGCACAGGAGGCCGATATGAATGTTTGTAGCCTTAGGCCGTGTGGTCTACTACTCTCACTGTCCCCCAAAGCAGTGTTTACCATATCTAGACACAGGCAAACTCAGCCCTCCAGATGTTTTGGGACTACAACTCCCATGATTCCTAGCTAACAGGACCAGTGATCAGGGATGAAGGGAAACATCTGGAGGGCCGAGTTTGCCTATGCCTGACCAAATCCTTAACTTCACAGCAATCCATTGAGGTAGGACTCATTATGTGGAATTACCAAAATAGCTGTCTGCAGCCAGCCCAGTGAACCTGAGAACTGCACCCAACTGAGTTTCCAACACACTTGCCTCAGTGTTCTCTTGTCAGTTCAGCTTCTTGTGATATATAGATGATGATGATTATTATTATTAGGGTAATGGAGATTTCTTTTGTGAACATGGATATTAGGCAGTTTCCAGTTGGGCAGCCATGCTAGTCTTGTTCACTGCATATTGTGGCCCCTTGAAGGCCCACATAAGATGCCATACGCTTTTGTGGACTTGTATGAAGTTAATACAGTGGTACCTCGGGTTACAGGCGCTTCAGGTTACAGACTCCACTAACCCAGAAATTGTACCTCAGGTTAAGAACTTTGCTTCAGGATGAGAACAGAAATTGTGTGGCGGCAGCAGGAGGCCCCATTAGCTAAAGTGGTGCCTCAGATTAAGAACAGTTTCAGGTTAAGAACGGTTAAGAATTAAGTTCTTAACCCGAGGTACCACTGTATTTGACTGCACTCAACATCACTGCTTTCCTTCTCTTTCTGAAAACAGGCCTCTCATCTTCTTGAGGGAGCGGTTACCATGTTCTGCTTCCTTGCCTGCCTGTTAGTCCTTGTACGAGAAGTGCCAGCCAGGCCAACGAAGGAAACGGGATCTACAGCTCCTGGAGATGCGAAAATCCTTTTCCAGTTGAAGCCGAACACTTGGGAGGAATATGTCAACCTCAGTAGCCTGTCCTGCGGGGATCTGCGTGCCCAGACATGGACCTCCTTCCGCCTCAGAAATCAGAGCCTGACTTCTTTCCCTGCCTGCTTGCCTGAGCTTCTGGTGCATTTGGACTTGAGTGTCAACCTCTTGCCTGAATTCAACAGCCAGGAGGTGGCTGACTTGCCAATGTTGCAATCCCTCTCCCTGAGGCAGAATAAGATTCAGCAAGTGACATGGGATGCCAGGAACCTCAGCCGCCTCCAGTTCCTGGACCTGAGCTTCAATTTGCTATCAGTTGTGCCCGCATGCAGTGCATCTGCTCCGCAAAACCTCAAGTGGTTTTCTCTAGCTGGAAATCCCATTGTCGAAATCCAGCCATTGGCTTTTTCCTGCTATCCTCAATTGCGGACCCTGAACCTGTCTTCTACTTGGCTGGGGAAGGATGGGAAAGAGGGGATTAAGGAATCTGCCTTTGCAACCATCTTCCTGCCTGGGGACGCCACCGAAAATGCAGGAAGTGATATCTACTCGATGGACCTGAGCGCAACCTATCTGGAGAGATGTAAGTACCGAAACCTAAGAGGAAAGCATCAAGCACCAAACTCTTAGGGTGTGGGGAAAAGAGGAGACAATGGCTGTAAGGATTTCAGCTGTTTTGCCAATGTGGTGATGGGGATAATTTCGAAGAGGGATGTAACACTAGAACTAAATTTGAACTGGAAACACATAATTTGTATGCACGTTTAAAGTCTTGACTATAAAAGTGCAAAATGAATGAGGGAATAGCTCGACTGCGTTTTCCGCTTCTGGACATTTATAAATTTTTATTTGTGCGTTCACCAAAATTTCTACGGCAAAAGCTGAATGCCATCCCAAAGTATATCTATGAAGAAATCACATATTTAAAATTAAAATACAAATTCACTCTTTGGATGAATTTGTTAAGGAATATTTGGGCAAAATTTCAACCCTACTTAGCATGAATTCAGTTTTTAATAGCCCCAGTCCCCAATGCTCATGCTACATTACATAGAAAGTTTTAATATAGTGGTACCTCTGGTTACGAACTGAATCTGTTCCGGAGGTCCATCCGTAACCGGAAACCATTCTTATCCTGAGGTGCGCTTTTGCTAATGGTATCTCCCGCTGCATGTGCACTAACATTTCCGCTCGCATCCTGGGGCAAAGTTCACAACCAGGAGCAGCTACTTCTGGGTTAGCCGAGCTTGTAACCTAGAGTGTGTGCAACCAGAAGCGTCCACAACCAGAGGTACCACTGTAGTTCAAAATCAATAGTAGCTATAGTGACTTGTCAAACCCTCAAAATAACTCATGCACAGCAATCTTATGGATAAACACCACACAACTACCTGGCATCTTTTATTCTATTTTATTTTAATTTATGTAATGTCTTAGCCTACTGTATGGAAAACACTAAAAGGAAACCCAAACTTGCAACCAACCAAAAAAGAAATAAATCAGTAGTCACTCAATGCCTCCATGCATAACAGTGAGAAGTGAGGTTACAGTGGCAGAGGGCCTTCTCGGTAGTGGCGCCTGCCCTGTGGAACGCCCTCCCATCAGATGTCAAGGGAATAAACAACTATCTGACTTTTCGAAGACATCTGAAGGCAGCCCTGTTTATGGAAGTTTTTAATGTTTGATGTTTTATCATGTTTTTAATATTCTGTTGGGAGCCACCCAGAGTCAGATGGGTGGAGTATTAACAACATCTCATAGGATGCGCATCAGGGCCCTTGACATCCCAGATTTGGGTAGTCATGTGACTTGCTTTTACAGAGGGAAAAGTCTCGTTTGATGGGCTGTATCAGAGGACAGTCCTCTGTTTGCAAGAGATTAAGGAACAAACTAACATTTGGACTACAGAAAAGCATACATTTTCAGACTAGGCAACAGTCATAAAGGATAACTTCCTGGTGGTGCGGACATACAATGTGGGGTAGTCCACACTAGGATGCAGAGTTGATCAGCTAGTTTTTTATTGGAAGATGAACAATCAATGGCAACCAATTGGAAGACTGGGGGCCTTGAAGCCTGTGAACAGCCTGAAGTGTCTGAACTTGGAGAGTCTCCATTTTGGAGAGTCAAAATGGAGAGCTTCCCAGTAATCTCATACAGCCTGAAACACCAGTTCTATTCACAAACAAATGGCACCATAGTTCAGAGCACAGAGACATTCACACACATTACATCAATCTGGAATATTTTATTGTAATTGTCTTCATGGTAGGGACATAGCTATGAACCAATATATAAGCCCATAGTATATTTCAGAAGACCTCTATGCAACTTCACCCCGATACTGAATTCTGGAACTAAGGACCCAGGAAACATCTCAGCCTTCATGTAATTCTTGCTTCTCTTCAACTCAGCCACTAGAGAATATTTGCACACTCACCAATATTTGTCAGGAGCAAAACAAGTTGTCTTTAAGATGTCATGAAGGCTGCTTGTATGTCAAATGGAGTTTCCTCTGTAATATGTTTGTTTGTTTGTTTGTCTTCCGCTTGACCCTCAGTGCATCAGAACTGGACCAAAGATCTGCCCAGGCTCTCATTCCTTTATTTAACAAAAATGAGCAGGCTGAGAAGCCTTGATGTCGACACCTTCCTGCATCTTCCTGAGCTGATATTATTGGACTGCCAATATTCCCATGCCCTCAGTCTGGTGGAAACAGAGTCTTTCACCCACACGCCTCGCATGGGTTTCCTCATATTCCAAAAGTAAGTTTTCCTATCTCTGAGGATTCCCCTGACACCAAGCCTCCCTTGTAAGCACAGGTGGACAGTGTTAGGACTTGAATTCAGTTGTAGGACTGTGGTCTGATAAGCTGATAAATTATTACAACATTAAATGGACTGATTCTGTAATGGTGGAAGGGAACATAGGGGGTAAAATCACACACACACACACACCACTTTTCATTACAGAATTTAAACTGATGTAGACCTATAAAGTAGTCATTTACGATTCAGTTTTCCTTCTGTATGCAAAATGTTTCTGGAGCCAAAAAGTATTCAAAGAAAACCAATTATGGGGATCTTTTTTGCCCCCATCAAATGAAAAGTGTTTGGGTAAGTATCTTCCAGCAAAATGTAATCCAGTAATGTAAATTTAAGGGCCCAGGCAAAGTTTGCTTTTTGAAAACAAAAAGACCTTAGGACAAAAACTGTCTAAAAATAAGAATATTGATTTTTTTGCCACTGTGGTCCCATTCCCCGCTCTCCTAGCTAATGTTAATGTGTTTAAAATGCCTCTCACAAAAACTAAGACAGATGCAGAGAAGCATGCGTGACCACCTTTCTTCTGACTCTACCACATGGCTTTGTTTGGGGACATTTTGCTACCTAGAGATGCATTGAAAGTTACCGTATTTTTTGCTCTACAAGACTCACTTTTTCCCTTCTAAAAAGTAAGGGGAAATGTGTGTGCGTCTTATGGAGCGAATGCAGGCTGCGCAGCTATCCCAGAAGCCAGAACAGCAAGAGGGATTGCTGCTTTCACTGCGCAGTGATCCCTCTTGCTGTTCTAGCTTCTGAGATTCAGAATATTTTTTTTCTTGTTTTCCTCCTCCAAAAACTAGGTGCGTCTTGTGGTCTGGTGCGTCTTACAGAGCAAAAAATACGGTGATTTCGGGTAGGAAAGCCACCTGTAAAAACGTTTGTTCAGTTATTTATTGAACTGGTTTTAAGCTGGTTTGTATTTTCTGGGTAAGGGGCAAGACTGAACTCTGCATCCTGAATGAAAACCAAATGTTGTTATGTTTCTATCAGAATGATTTAGGGTTCATACATCGTCAGACATTTTAGATTTTCTATTTCTCCGTTTCAATGGGCATTCCTACGCAGGTCTTTGAACTGATCTGTCTCTCTGTGTATGTGCATACATGTGTGTGAGCATGTGCTGGTCCAATAGTCTGGCACCTGAGGTAAAAAGAACAAAATGGCACCATTTTGAGTGAAGATCTACATTAGGAACAAGGATAGGAGACTATCAGAGCCTCCTATTCGTCAAGAGGTTGTTGTAGAAGCGGCATGGAGTTGAGGCTGCCCAGGAGGTGGCAAATCCGGCCTCCAAGGAATGCGCTACAGCTGAAGAATTCCTTGGAGGCCAGGTCTGCTGCCCTGTGGATCCTGCCGCCTGAGGCAGTCGCTTCACCTTGCCTCATAGGTGGGCCAGGCCTGATGTGGGTTTGATCTAATACATTGTTAGCTGTCTTGGGTGTTTCTGGAAGGGAAGGTGGAATACAAATGGATTATAAAAAAATATTTTAGAAATAATCACTGCTCTGGAGAAGGCAGAAACTGCATGTAATTTGATAGAGAGAATTAGCTATTAAAACGACGTTGGTTGACCTAGTTTCTCTTATTCCAGCTGCAATTTGAGCTCTTTCAGTCCATGGAATCTCAGCTCACCGCAAAGCGTAAGGATCAACCTCTATGGCAACCCTTTGGTGTGCAGTTGTGATCTTTCCTGGCTGCTCTCCAAGCCAGACAGAATACTTCTACAGAGGTAAGGAGAAATTTAGAAGCTGATTCAAGGTACGTTGTTGGCAGTCTGTGTTGCTGCTTGTAAACTCCTGCTCTCATCTATTTCCTTTTGATATAAAAGAAATGTCTTACTCTAGTGGTGGCAAAGATAAGACCGAGCATATCATAGAAATAAGCGCTACAGGTGAATAAAAATTGCCTTCCCAAATCTATTGTCCTCCAGATGTTTTGGAAAACACTTATCATCTTCCCTCACCAACATTGGCTATGCTGGAGTCCACAACATCTGGAGGATAGCAAGTTGGGGAAATGCTGGTTTATTTATCTATTTTTAAATCTCTCTCTAATATAGCCTCATTTCAGTTTTTGTGGGGCTAGCGCACATATTTAAGAGCACCAGCTCTAGGATACGTGCTCACATGTCCGTCAGTTTCACTATATCTTTCAAGAAAATGACATGCAGGCTAAAGTTATGCACCAGAAATATGCACAGTGACTGGAATATTGTTGATGAGAGGATTACAGTTCTTGGATTCTAGAATTATTACAATTAGGTTACATTTCTAAACTGAGTTGTCAGCCTGTGGCTGGCCAACTTGGTATAATGGTCTGAAACACTCATGCACGCAACTCATACATAGCCTCAAACTATGGATATATCTCTGAGTGATGTTATATTGAGGACAATACTGATCTCATTCCACTTCCTAATGACAACTGTTCTTGTTTCTCATATATTAGGGCATCAGAAACTTTGTGCTACCCAGAGGCCAAAGAAGCATCTGGACCTATGTTGCTGTCCAAGTTCTACATGGAGTGCCAAAGGCAAAGAATTTCCAACTTCACTCAAGTCAAGCTTTACGGTACGTCTCCCAGCTTCACGACAGACACCCTTCCAGACTCCAGTACATTTCCCCAAGAATGGCCCAGCAGCCCTTCTTCTCCTCAATGCCCTCATTTGACTTGGGGAGATACAGCAAAGGAGGCTCCAACCGAAGCAGACATTCTTGCCTACAAAGATAAAACATTTGGCAGATCTACAGACGGCCCACCCACCACAGCAGCTCCTTCAAGAACTCTGGGGGAACTCTCTTCTGATCCAACCCTAGTGAGCATGACTGAAATGAATCAAAGGAAACATGACACCACAGTAGTGGATGGTTTTATTGGCCACGAGGACGAAACATGGTCCCACTTCGCTCCGCTCAGTCCTACAGCTGAAGAGACAGCGGCAGATTCTTCTGTGTTGATCCCACACAATACGGTAAGGCCAGCTCAGTCTACACCACTGTTGCAAAGCCCCACTAAGGGAGTCCCTCTTCTGAATCTTGCAACCACTCGTAACAGTCCAAGATCTTATGAAGATTATTATGACTACGATAAGCAGGAGGAGGAATTTGTGGCTCAGGGCCTTGGGCCTTGTGATTACGATCCATGCAGACACCTCCAAAAGCCTTGCTTTGATCTCCAGTTATTGTCTCCTTGCCTGTGCCCGGGGATCTCTGATGAATTCACCATCCCAGATCCTCCAAGGCTCCGCGAGATATCTGAAATTAGGGACACGTCAGCAGAGGTCTGCTGGTGTGCCCCATATTCAGCGGTAAGATTCTACCAGCTTGCTTACCGCCCTCAGGACAGCAAGAATTTCACTGTATCTGGAGAGATTTATGCCACGGCTAGGCGATACACACTGTACAATCTCCTGCCTGGCTCAACTTACCAAGTATGCATAATGGCTTCAAACAAGGCAGGATTGAGCCAGACTGCAGATTGGAATGAGCCCAGTTCTCCATGTGGTTCCTTTAAAACAAAGTCCAGCTACAAATCTATCTTTGCCACTTTGTGTGCAACGAGTGGATTCTTTCTTATTGCTACCGTCTTGTTGTCAGTGTGTCTCTGCAAAAAGTGTAAAGGACCCCACACGGAGCATTATAACACACACCTTGTCTCGTATAAAAACCCTGCTTTTGATTACTCCTTAAAATAAAGGTGAACAGGATTGGCAAAAAAAAAAAAAATCTATTTGATGGCATTTGCCTTTTCGTACAGCAAAAGGGAAGAAAACAGTTTAAAATACCTTTCCTGCTCTGTGAGCTTCTTTCCAGAATTTAAATTGTTATTTGGATAAGTACAGTAAATAAATAGGAGAAGTAGGCAACAGGAAAGTATTTCTTTGCTTCTGAAAGTGTCTTAAAAAACCAAAGTAATCATTACGAATATAAATTTGCAGGGGGGGGGATTCCACCCCCATTATTCCTTCTCCCTGCAGCTCCCTAAAAGATTGTGGGCAGCAGGGGAGAAAATCAGCGAAAAGTACCTCCCACTTCCTCCAATACTGGCCATGATCCTGCTAGCAGAAAATTGAGCCCCAGTCAGATGCTGCTACCACCTTCTTTAACGTGACTCATTAGTGGAATCCTGCCCATTGTGTCCCTTGCACAATGCCATGTTATGAATTTCATTCCTACTTCAGGTTTCAGAACAAAATATTGAGCGTGCAATTTTTCATCACTATGTTGGCTTTACATGGGCTGAAAAGCCTTTTTGCAAGGTTGTTGTTCCTAGCAGCACCCTCTATTTATCTGGAACAGCCTGGTTATGTCATTATGATGTTGTGATCTGCAGTATCAAATAAGTGGTCAGGCTGGAAGCAGGTCAGGCTCTTCACACAGTAGTGAAGAGAGATAAGGCTAAGTTAATACTAGCAGCAGGTAGATTAATCTACCAGTGAGATAAAGATACTAGAATAAATGTGTAGAAGCCACATTAGAAAGCCAATCCATCTTCACATTATTCCTACCATAGGAGTTGGATAACAACTAGCAGCACAATTAGACACCAATAGTTGAGTCATAGAAAAATTTATTTTAAAAGTGCAGAGGCACTGACTATGGACAAGCCTTCACATCATTTTTCAGTTCTCTTTAAAACATTTGAGACATGTGGTATCTATTCTTGTCCAGTTGTAAGAATGTACCTGAGTGCTTCTACAGTACATCATGCTCTATTTTGTCTTGATAAACTTAAAAAGCTTCTTTATCTTCTTACACTGCAACACAACTGGACTGCAGCATTCTGAGGTTACATAAACTATCAAGTATCTTTTCAATATACCTTCTTTATACAAGTTAGAATATATCAAACATATTAAAATTGTTTTTATACTCCATCAAGCCTTTGATTCCACAATAAATTCACTTCTGGTGAGATAGCAGCATAATCCAACATGCAAAAGTTCATTTTCAGTTTATAGAACCTTTTTACAGGTCATCTTGCTCACCATATGCAAAAGACTACATGCCTATAGATGGACTGTGCTCTGACAGGCCATCATTTATCTTCCATGTCTGATGTTTTAAATAGGAAATTTAAAAACTGCCTCCTACTGTTTTATTAAAAGAACTAGCATATTCATTTCATACTAACCACTAATGCAGAATACTTGCTTGCTTGAGCTACAGAAGTCCTAGAGATCACCTGTGACATTGCCCAGAATTTTATTCATTATGTCCTAATCATGTCTTTTTTCCATCAGTGGACTTTTCAACATCCTATAAGCTAACCACACTGTAAGTCCTTTCTTAGTTTTAACTTCACTACCTTTATTTTATTGTGTTTTGTTGAATATGGGAAACCAAACTCTTGTACCATACAGGTAACAAGAGGAGCATCTGTTCTGGCAATATTAGCAGCTCCACCCACTACTTCATACATCAATTTTAGTAATCCAGTTTTTTATCTACTATGCTACACCAACTTTTTTCATTATTTCAACACATTTAATCATGATGTCTAATTTGTGAAGAGAGTGTTTATCTCTTTCCCAAAGTTTCAGGGTTGCCTTGCTTAGTCAGCAATTCAATTCTAAACATTTATACAAGCATCGCAAGGTTAGTGCACATCATAATTTACTATGTCCTTGCATAACAAAGGCTGCCCTTTCCTAAACATTAGACTATTAAGAAGGGTGGTTCAAGGTTTTAGTTTGAACATTTTTATCAACAGTGTAGGACTTAGTAAAGTAGGCTTCCGTTTGCCCCACATCCTAAAAACAATGAAATGGAAGGGGGCTGTGATGTGTTGAATTCAAATACATCAAGGAGGGTAGCATAGCAATCCCCCCCCCCCCCAAATAAGTGAAAACTTCAGAAAAGCAATGAGCAATAACCATCAGGTGATAATCTCTGCAAGTGTTTGTGCATTAAGGTAAAAAATTATATTTTATTTGTAACAAATTGAAAAAAGTACATTGAAAATTCTGCATATTTACATAATCAAAACTTCATTTTAACTTCCGAATAGCTTCAATGTGAAGACATGGTTTCCACTGAGACAAAGCTATCAAAAAGTGTTCTTTATCAAGAAGCAAGCAACTCACTCAGAGCCTTCATTTGCTGTTTAGTACCTGAACTGTTTTTCGGCCATAATGATAGTAACTGTAAGCAGATGCTGTTGTTGTGAAAGCTGTGATGCACCTTCAGGGAGGAAACAATCGTATTAGTTCCCTAGGAAACACAAGGAGAAAAAAGTACCATAGCTCGCTAGTAAAGAAGGGTAGGTAAGGGCAAGGGATGTTCGACTTGTCGTGAACAAATTTCTCCTACAGCAGCCAAAGCTGATTTTTAACACTGAGCTCTCTGGAAGCCCAAACAAAAATCTAGTTAAGCCAAAATATGAACATCTGAATCTTCCTTATAATAAGCTAGACCACCAACCCATCTGGTCACTGGCGAGAGTCTACTTTCACTGGCTGCAGCTCTTGTAGGTCTTTCGCAGTCTTACTTACCCAAGAGCTGAAGAGGACTGAACCAGAGACCTTAGTATTGCAGGGTTAAGTATATGGTCCAGGAGCCTCTCTATCATAATAATTCTAAATTGATTCATGCATATCATCTTGCTACCCCACTTTAAACTCTTCCATCTAGAGTCCCAGATGTTGTTGAACTACAACTCCCATCACCCCTAGCTAGCAAGGCCAGAGCTCAGGGATGATGGGAGTTGTAGTCCAACAACATCTGGAGACCCACAGGTGGAGAACCGACCAACCCCTGCAATGAGGGAATCTTTAGGTCGGTATTATTTTATCTCATACTGAACGAGGAGCCAAGGTAGCGCTGCTTGCCTAGAGATAATTCTAGTCCTAAATTTATTGACCACATACCAATTCAGCATAAGTAGTAACTCTGAATATAATCCCATGTTAGTAGGGCTGCAATCCTATGCACAGGCTTACTTAGAAGTTTAAAATACCCAGAATTGAGCTGCAATTGCTTTAACTTGGTTGCTTGCAGCCACTAGTGACATGATTTCAGCAACCATACAAATAGGTGATGTCCAAAACTGCTCAGGATCCCTTCATTTGCATCCTATTCTTTCAGAATTGCCTGTTCCCCCACAAATCAGTTGTATCGTAACAATTACCGTATTTTTCGCTCTATAGGACGCACTTTTCCCCCTCCAAAAATGAAGGGGAAATCTGTGTGCATCCTATGGGGCGAATGCAGGCTTTCGCTGAAGCTTGGAGAGAGAGAGGGGTCGGTGGGCCCCGACCCCTCTCGCCCTCCAGGCTTCAGAAAGCTATCAGCAAGCCTGGGGAGCCCGCGGGAGTTCCCACAGGGCTCCCTAGGCTGCGGATAGCAGCCTGCTGCCCAGAGCGCGGGGCGTGCTGAAGCAGAGCGCCCCGTGCTTCAGGCAGCTATCCGCAGCCTAGGGAGCCTGCTGCCTTTGTTTTTCTCCTCTATAAACTACGGTAGGTGCGTTTTTAAAAGCTCGGGCTTCCGCCGCCCCAGTTGGGGGGGGGGGGGATAAATTTTCTTTCTTTCTTTCCCCCTCAAAAAACTAGGTGCATCCTATGGGCCGGTGCGTCCTATAGGGCGAAAAATGCAGTATAAGGGCTACATACCATAAGGTCTGAAGATACATACTGTCCACATAATTGAAAACCGGAGCTGCTAAAGAAGCTGCCACTAAGATGAGCTGGACTACCGTGTTCATCTGGTGAGAGATTACGTGAAAACTGAAGTCACACATTAACATTCCTTTTCCACCTGAAATCAACAGGATCTAAAAGTGCTACACTTTTAGCAGTAATGAAAATTTGTAAATTAAAGGCTGAACATTTGAAAAATAAAACCAAGAATGTAGAAATAATTCCTGCAGTTTTCCTCTGACACCATAAACATTGGGGGCCCAATTCAGTTTTTAAAAAACGACAATTTCCTGTTCAAACTCGGGAAACTGCAGATTATTGTAGCTGCTTAAATAAATCAGGATTAAACTGTTGTGTGAATGAACCAGAGTTTCCAAAGTTCAGACATTAACAGAAAACTTCGTATGATTTAAAACAGAGGCATTCACGCCTCCTTCCCTCATTGTAAAAGGAGTTCACCAACTGTGACTCGCACAAGTAATGCTTAAAACATGGTTTATTGTTATGTTTGAACCAGGCCAGGAAGTAAAAACTTCTCATAAAGAACAGGATTCTGCAAAGTGAAGGCTTAAATCAGGCATAGGCAAACTCTGGCCCTCCAGATGTTCAGGACTACAATTCCTATCATCTCTAGCTAACAGGACCAGTGGTTGGGGATGATGGGAATTGTAGTCCCAAACATCTGGAGGGCCGGAGTTTGCCTATGCCTGGCTTAAATAAACATTTTTCACTAGTGAGAAGTTGAGGCAGCACAGATATCCCCTAAAGGGATCCCATACTGGTCCCTTTACAAGAGATGTCAGAATTTAAAGGAAGAAAACCCACACTGCCAAATCAGAACTTGGAGCCCTCACCCAAATCCTCTCTCATACTTTCACTGGGGCTTGCTGACGGTAGAGAATAGTACAAAAACATCCATACCCAACTGTGCTGCATGGTGACATAGACTAGGTATCAAATGAATAGCAAGATGTACAATTGCTCTTACCTTGCTGATAAATGTTGGCTTTAACTGAGCAGTGGCATAACATGGATTGAAATATCTACTAAGTGTTCTCTGTAGAAGACAGGAAGTTTGATTTGTAATACTATCGAGGAGAAAAGTCTAATAAGCATGTGAGCTAGTAAGAACCAACTAAGGCATTTAGAAAGGCAACACGATCATTTTCCATCTTCATATTTAATAATACAATAATTTAAATAGTCATTTTACTATTTATATCCCACCCCCCCTTGGTACAAATAAGGTGTGACTGATTTAAAGTCAAAACAAACACCTGCATACTTACTGGTGGAGGAAGAGTTCTGTATCGCACGTAAAAAACAGCAGCAATTAATGCAATGTCCCTTAAAATGATCATAGATGTAAGAGGAACTGGAAAAAACCCATGATATTTGTTAACATAAGCATGCAGAAAGGCAATTCAAATCCTAATATATACAAGTGTACAGTGGTACTTCGGGTTACGAACTTAATTTGTTCCGGAAGTCCGTTCTTAACCCGAAACCATTCTTAACCTGAGGCACGCTTTCACTAATGGGGCCTCCTGCCGCCGTGCGATTTCCGTTCTCATCCTGGGGCAAAGTTCGCAACCCAGAGCAACTACTTCCTGGTTAGCGGAGTTCGTAACACGAAGCGTTTGTAACCCGAGGTACCACTGTATAGCATCCAAAGACCCATCAGCACATAAAGTAATTTTTTTAAATCATTTGCTTTCTTTTATTTAGTCTAAATTTAGGGCATTTAGTTTGCTGTCCACCTATTGAATACCACACATTTAAAACACAGCTTCTTGAGTTCAGGTAGGGAATACAAAAACCCATTGTTTAATATGCACTGGCTGCTATAAAAGTACAACTGTAAAGTGAATAAAAGTCAATTATTTTTTAAATAAAACCATAAAAAACATACATTTTCCTTAAGTAATGTCTTGACTAGTACCAAAACCCAGTGGTTAACATCTATACAGCAATCAACTTCTCATTCAGATCCATTGTTAATGGAGGCTTTTTCTTTGCTTTTTTTAGGATACTGTTTTAAAATGTGTGTTTGCATACGTAAATAACCTTATTTATATATGCCACTACTGCGGCTCGTGTTTTGTTAGCCCAAAAATGGAAAATGAGTGATGTCCCAAGTAAAGAAGAATAGCAACTTAAACTGATGAAATATGCGCAGCTTGCAGACCTAACATATAGAATAGAACAAGAAGAACATACGTTTAAAGAAGATTGGAAAATGTTTATTGATTATATGGGGGAAATTGTGTACACTTGAAAACGTTGGCAGCATTAAGATTAAATTCAACAATGTAAATAAGTTTTGATGGATGTAATAATGGAATACTGAAAGTTTTAGTTTATATAAAATATGCAGGGACTTATGTTATGCAAAATGAACCATGGAAACAGAAGAAAGGAAGTCATTGATATTTTAAGGTTGTGTAAAACAGAAAATTTAATAAAACTTATAGATAAAGTGTGTGTCTGCTGGTGCTTTTAACTGTATCTTTTGTTGTGTTTTTCATTTTGGTTAGGTACTGTTTTTGTAAATATTTCTAACTTGCATCCTAGAAAGGTAGGACAGAAATCTCAGAAGCAAACAAATGCAACAGAATTCATGAAAGAGTACCAATTATCATTTAAAGCCACCACTCTCTACGAATATGAATTCAGTAAGTGACTTCAAGGAAGGATATGGATTAACATTGTTTTTAGGATGTGGGGCAAACGGAAGCCTACATCTTTACTATTTTGAAAGTCACGGTCCTTTGGTATAAGTCTTCCTGATTATCCACAGAGAAAGCAGGTTCAAACTACTCCATAATCATGTCAGGTTCCAACCCCATGTGATTAAGAACTCTTGCAGTTGTTAAGTTTGGAAAGTTTTACGTTTGAAACAAGCATCTGCAACCACCTATGTGCATAGCAGCTTGTAAAGAAACTGCTGGGTTGATATTTACACACCATTACTGCTCTGCAGGTGGGTGATTAATGTGAACCGTGTCATCACACTGTCTGGATACTATATTGTGAGGGCAAGCTGGGAAGCTATGGGTGGTCTCCAGATAGCTTGCTCCATCAGCTTGTGCAATGTAATTCCCTCCAAATCTATTCAGGGAGTTCCCCCAACTCCCTGGAGCAGATTTGGGGAGAGCAAGGGTCTCACACATAGGAAGGGGGAAATTCTGTTGTGCAAGTGGCTACCCTTGTACTGACAGAATGAATTTTTTTGTTATTGCCCTATAGAATTAAAGTGATTAACTATTCAAGCCATTCAAGAACAATATTCATCTGCTTACCTGGAATAAGATTTGCACAAGTCAGGCTAATGTACAGGACACTGATGAGAACTTTATCAGCCAGAGGGTCCAGGGCACTTCCCAAAGCAGATTTTTGGTTGGCCCAGTTTCGTGCAATAAAGCCATCCAACTGAAAACGCAAATTGAACAGACAGCTAAGACAAAGTAACTCTTTTAATGGTACTATTAACCTTGGCCAGAATTGAAAGAGCTTATTCAGGAGTGCCCATAGGCTAAGACATGCCAAGTGAGATTTCTGACTCCCCTCAACCCTTTGAACAGCAGACACCTGAGCATGGCAGCATGCCATATCACAAATTGCTTTTGAAAGTCTCCTTATTTCGGGAAGATTAGTACAGGCATGTTCAGACAGGACTTGGGTGGTGAGGGCTGGCAGGAATGGAATCAAAATGGGGCTACTGAGAAACAATAGGAGACTATTAGCACAACAGGAGGTACCCAAGACTTACAGAAATAACAAATATATATATTGAGCTGAGCATACTCAGTAGCTATGAAATACTTAGTATTGGTTAGAAAAGAAAAACATAAACCAGGGGTTGGGGAGGAGGAGCGAGAGAATGAAATGACCTCCTTAAATTCCTTACAGCAATCTGAAAGAGGGCAGAGTTGGCTGGCATCCTGAATTGAAGACCCCTTGCATACAAGAATGGCCAAGTACAATGACACAAGCATTTATTCTTAGGGAAATGGTTTGTTTGTTAAAGTCATGCTTAAAAAAAACAAAACCCCAAGTAGAGATTAGAAGCACACAGTCAAGAAAATTGTAAAAAGTTGGTTTCAACATAGCCAGTCTCTTATCTTAAGCTGCAAACGAAAAGAACGGAAAATTCTCTCTTTACCTATTGAATCATATTATTCCTATAAAATAAAAAGATGTACAAAAACCAAACTGAAAGACATTCTCATTTCTTCTGTAAAACGTTTCAAAATGGTATGCTAAAACTTACCAAATCTGTTATTCCAGCCAGAGTAAATACACCCAATGCAATATTGAAATTTTCTTCAACAATCAAGTAGCCCAAAACCGGTGCCAGACCAATTCTTGCCATTGAGAGAAAATTAGGAATTGTCCAAGGGTTTTCATACTGGAAAGAACAAAACAACAGGAAGTAAGCTTATTAAAAATCAAATACACATTACCTCAACTCAGTCTGCTTGGGTATTGATTTTAGCTTTTAGAATGAAAAGCAGGCGAGGAAAGGCTACACATAAACAATACCCCCCAAAAATGGGAAAACACATTCAGATGGCTAAGACTCCAGTCCTAACCCTGCTAAGCTGGAAATAAGCTGCGCTGAAACAAAAGGACTTACTTATAGGTAGACATGGCTAGGACTGTAGTATACACATGTGAAAATATTGCCCTACAGAAAGTCTTCCCGGTTTAGAATCTGAAGTGATGTTTTGACATAAAAATATTTTCAAATAAACAAATCCCCATGTAAAGAATGACAATTCAGAGCCAATTCGCACACTGCTTTCTTTCTGATTCAAAACGGAATGTATGAATTGGCTCCACTGAAAGTAGCAGGCTGGAAGAAAGGAAGTTTTCTGTAGTGATCTATGATGTCTTCTTATGTTCAAGCTACTACTTAAACACAGTGGTCACTAATGTACTCTCCTTCACTGGAGGTTTTTTAAACAGAGGTTGGATGGCCACCGTGTCAGGGATTTTTTAGCTGTGATTCCTGAATTGCGGGGGATTGGGCTAGATTACCTTTGGGGTCCCTTCCAACTCTATGATTCTATGTACGTTTGAAACAGGCATCTGCAACCACCTATGTGCATAGCAGTTTGTAAAGAAACTGCTGAGTTGATGTTTACACATCATTACATTACTGGTCAGCCTGTAATTGCAGGCAGGCATTAACACTTCTACTTTTTCACTCCATTGGTATATTTCAATTCTCCATATGGAAACAAGGTCCTGCACATGAATAAGTCTTCCAATAAACATGAATGGCCTATATCCATAACAATATAATTTCTGAATATTTGAAATGGGGAAATAAAGAAGGTCGCAACAGCCATTTTTAAGATCTCAAAATGCTTTTTCCCCCCCACTGAAGCAGCTGCTTCTTTCTTCCATCTCCACAAGCAAGTATAAGCTTATACAGTGGTACCTTGGGTTACATACGCTTCAGGTTACAGACGCTTCAGCTTACAGACTCCACTAACCCAGAAATATTACCTCGGGTTAAGAACTTTGCTTCAGGATGAGAACAGAAATTGTGCTCCAGTGGCGCAGCGGCAGCAGGAGGCCCCATTAGCTAAAGTGGTGCTTCAGGTTAAGAACAGTTTCAGGTTAAGAACAGACCTCCGGAATGAATTTAGTTCTTAACCCGAGGTACCACTGTATACGGAAAGCTAAGCATAAAACTTTCCAAACTTAACAACTGCAAGAGTTCTTAATCACATGGGGTTGGAACCTGACATGATTATGGAGTAGTTTGAACCACTTTCTCTGTGGATCTGCACCAGATTGCAAAGGGAACATTTGGTACCGCTGATGTCAGTCTCCATCAGGCAATCTGGCAGACCTACAAAGGAAATCATTTCAAGCACAGGTGGAAACAAGTCCAGGACAAACACTGCAGAACACATTATTAGAATTTGCCAATGAGGAGATCCTGGAGTGTGCCCAAAATAGTAAGGAGAAGGAGTTTCTCTAAGGTCAGTGGGAAAGATGTTTTCGCTCATCACTACAGTGAGACTGGTACACGAGAGAAAGGGAAGCCAAGCTCCTACTGAAGCAGGCGGGCTGTATACAAGCCTGTGTGTTTGCATACCCGCCAATATTTCTCCGATGAAAATAGGGATGTCCCATCCCAGAATGATAATTCTATTTCTACCCCACACATCTTAATGGGTTGCCCCAGCTACTCTGGGCAGCTTCAAACATACAGTAGTACCTCGGGTTAAGTACCTACCGTATTTTTCGATCTATAAGGCGCACCAGACCACAAGACGCACCTAGTCTTTGGAGGAGGAAAACAAGGAAAAAAATATTCTGAATCTCAGTAGCCAGAACAGCAAGAGGGATCGCTGCGCAGTGAAAGCAGCGATCCCTCTTGCTGTTCTGGCTTCTGTGATAGCTGCGCAGCCTGCATTCACTCCATAAGACGCACGCAGATTTCCCCTTACTTTTTAGGAGGGAAAAAGTGAGTCTTATAGAGCAAAAAATACGGTAATTTGTTCCGGAGGTCCATTCTTAACCTGAAACTGTTCTTAACCTGGAGACCACTTTAGCTAATGAGGCCTCCTGCTGCCGCTGGAGCACAATTTCTGTTCTCATCCTGAAGCAAAGTTCTTAACCCGAGGTACTATTTCTCAGTTAGTGGAGTCTGTAACTTGAAGCGTATGTAACCTGAAGCGTATGTAACCCAAGGTACCACTGTATATAAAAACATTAAAAAACATTTAAAAAACACTTCCCTAAATATAAGATAATTAGAAGGTACTTGAAAGTATCAAATAGGCCTAGGATTAGAATAAGAATTTTGTACAGTGGTACCTTGGGTTAAGTACTTAATTTGTTCCAGATGTCTGTTCTTAACCAGAACCTGTTCTTAACCTGAAGCACCACTTTAGCTAATGGGGCCTCCTGCTGCTGCTGCGCTGCCGGAGCACGATTTCTGTTCTCATCCTGAAGCAAAGTTCTTAACCTGAAGCACTATTTCTGAGTTAGCAGAGTCTGTAACCTGAAGCGTATGTAACCCGAGGTATCACTGTAATATGGATTTAAGTCAATAAGAAAAAAGATGAAGAAAGTAAATTGAAGGAGTAAATTGTAGTAGAAAAATGATTTTGGAGAACTGTTACAAGTTGATACAATGAAATTCAGTTAGGGGGATTTGAGGAAGTCAGTTAATAATGGAATTTAAAATGAACTTCAAAAGGAATGTGTTTTTATTTTTGTTTTTTCTTTTGTTTTTTCTCTCTTAGTATTGTAATGTTCTCTCTTTTGTATGTTTTATATGTTATATCTGTTAAAAAAAAAAGGGAAAAAACCCACACATTTCCCTATACAGGATTGCCTTCAGACGGCTCGGGGATCAGATAACGCCATACCCTCCAACATTTCTCCAGTGAAAATAGAGACAGCCTAAGGAAAAGTGGCACATTTCGGGATCAAATCAGAAAGCGGGACGGCTTCTGTAAATCAAGGCCGTCCCTGGAAAATAGGGACACTTGGGAAGGTCTGCTGTATCCGATATCGTGGACCTATAAAAAAAAAACCTTCCCAAGCCACAGACAATTAGCAGGTCAAGGAGAGGAGTCCATACAAAGGTAGCAACTCTTTCAATATTCAAGAACATTCCTGCAGAAGTAGTCCAGCCCCGACCCTCCTTGAGCCCTACAGGCTACTTCCCCCAATGTAAAAAAATTGGGGATCTCCTAGTCTTCTAACCATCGCAGGGAACCCAACGGACCCACGCGCTAAATTAAATGCCCTTTCACATATGGAAGGGAGGAAAGCAAAAACACAAAAACCGCTCCGAAACCTTTTTGAACGTAGTAAAACCAGGCCGAAACCTTCCTCGGGTTTGCCAAGTGCCAGAAATTCGGTTTGGTGCGTGTTCCCCGCCACCGCCCCCTTGACCCTCTTGTTGCTGTGGAGGCGCTATGGGCCGCGAGGGAGGGCCGCATCCGGGGCCTCGAGTGGCCGCGAAGCCCCAGGCCGCCTGCTTCGGCGAGGGGGTGGGGGTGGGCGCGCTTCTCCCCTTACCAGTTCGGCGTATCCGCGGGGAGGCCTGGCTTTCCCGGCGCCGCGCTCCGAGTTCCCCGCGGGCCCTCCGACCCCGCAGCTGGCCCAGGCCAGCAGCTGCTGCTGCTGCTGCTGCCGGGAGCCCGTGGGGCGCAGCAGGCGGTGAGGGGGCGAGGCGGCGGCGGCCAGCGGCGCCCGGGAGAGGAGTCCCCGGCGCGCCCTGGCGGGGTTGGCGCCCCTCAGGAACCGCCAGCCGCAGGCGCCGCCCTTGGCCAGCCAGGCCGCGGGCAACATGGCTGGCCTCTCCGCTCGCTCAGAGGAGAACCACGGCGACGACGCTGAGGGGCGGCAGCGGCGGCTCCTCCTCCCCGGCTGCTGCCCCCACCGCCGGCCGCCGCCGCCTCCTCCTCGCCCTCCATTCAACTTAGGCCGGGCCGGGCCTTTCGCCTCAGAGAGGCGCTTTACGTTGCCTTTCGGGACAGCGCCGCGCTTTACGGCGGAGCTCCCGACCTGCGGCGACGTTGCTTAGGAGACGGAGCGTGGGAGAACGTCAGGACGCAGCCTGTGCGGGGGAGCGCGCGGTTTTGACGCTTTTCCGGTCGCCAAAGGCAGCGGGGGGGGGGGTTAGGTATCCACAGCTTAACGCCTAAAATGGAAGCCATGATAAAAAATAGCTTTGTGGCATGCAAACCAATAAATGACTATTTAATCAAAGCAGTAAGTGGTTTGGGGTTTTTAAAATAGCTTTATTGTACTCAAACCATGGGTGGCGCTGTGGGTTAAACCACAGAGCCTAGGGCTTGCCGATCAGAAGGTCGGCGGTTCAAATCCCCACGATGGGGTGAGCTCCCGTGGCTCGGTCCCTGCTCCTGCCAACCTAATAATAATAATAATAATTTATTATTTATACCCCGCCCATCTGGCTGTGCTTCCCCAGCCACTCTGGGCGGCTTCCAAAAAAACATTAAAAGCTTCCCCAAACAGGACTGCCTTCAGATGCCTTCGAACCTAGCAGTTCAAAAGCACAAAGTGCAAGTAGATAAATAGGTACCGCTCCGGCGGGAAGGTAAACGGCGTTTCCGTGCTCTGCTCTGGTTCACCAGAAGTGGCTTAGTCATGCTGGCCACATGACCTGGAAGCTGTACGCCGGCTCCCTCGGCCAGTAAAGCAAGATGAGCGCCGCAACCCCAGAGTCGGCCACAGCTGGACCTAACGGTCAGGGGTCCCTTTACCTTTTTACTCAAACCATTGAACAAATAATTGTAAGTGTTTTCCTTTTAAAAATAGCTTTATTCACAGAAACCAATAAACAAAAGGTTAAAACAAAACAGAATAGCTTTATTGCACACACACAAATAAATAGATGAATGTAACAGCAGGTTGAAGGGGGGTGTTGACTCTGTCCATAATTTTAAAATGTCAGCAGTTTGGTTTTTTCCCTGAATTTAAGATACTTTTAAGGATGCAGAAACAGTACCTGGTCAATTCAAAGGCTACAAGACTGTCTACATGAGTAATCTTAAACCTTTGAAGACAAGGGCTGCAGCTTTAACCTAATGGTGCATCCCTTAACTTTTTACTGTATGTTTGTATGGTAGAAATGCTGTTGTTTTGAGCCGCCTTAGTTCAGGCTGTGATTCACTTGAGCAGCAATGGTCTACTATTTCCAAACGATCACGCAAGACCCAACCCTCCTCTTCCACCTAACCAGCAACAGGTAGGCACAACACGGGGAACGGCACAAAGTGTTCCTATTCTACCCATAAGCAAATTCAATACATTCATGGGTGTACGTCACAGCTGATACCTTCCTCTTCTATACAAATGTAAATGTAATTAGCATTCTAAAACAGTATTAGTGTCCTGTGCTGGAAATTTCTCCGGTATTCCCAAGCCTATGGTAGATTGTAAGCGGTCTTACAATCTTCAAAACCTGCCTTTGAAACTGGCTATCAGCCAAGGATAATTTCAATACAATATAGAACTATTTCAAAATCACGCTTCCTTCACTTGACACACTTTCTCTCCCTTTTTTAAAACCATGCTAAATATTATGGGTTGCATCCAATATTAGCTACACTTAGAATAGATCCATTGAAATGAATGGACATGACTAACTTTAAATCCAATGAATCTAACTCAAGCATACCTTGGTTGGATGCAACCCAATATAATTACTGAGTGCATCAGTTGTTGTATTTAAACAAAATATCAATTCACTACTAGTGTGCCCAAGTTTTCAAAATGAACATTTTAAAAGGCAATCACTCATACAAGAATCATGAATGAGTTACACACTTTCATATTCCCTTCTCACATATGGCTTCTATGTCCACCTCCTGTTTATTGGTAACCAGTTTGCTGTCATGTTTGAATCAGTGAGCTACAGTTCGAACTGAGATAAAAACTGAAAAGGTTTCAACCGACAGGCAAAACAGCGAAAGGAACATGTGGGGAACGCAAGATCTAACTGCAACCAGACCAGCAGCACAACTCACCTCTGAAAACCACCACACACAAACCAAAAGGAAGCCTTTTGTGATCACAAAACACACTTCTATGTTTCTGCTTGTCTGCATAGAGCCAATGTGTTTACTGCAGAATGCAACATGAGAATCTGCTAAGCATTTTTAATCATTACATGTTGGATTAACATTCTCTCTTGCAGTGCCATTTGAAGATGGCATCTTAAAACAATGCGCAAGTTTCACTTTTTAAGTTTTACTTATTTACATGACTTTGAAATGACAGCTGAAGTCATTTTCTCCATAATAACCTATCTGAGCAGGTTTCTGCACATATTTTGTAACACCTGGTGTAACAAAGTACTGATTTTAAAAAAGGTCTTGCGGCCTTAAAAAAAGGCCTTGGTAGCCTTAACAGAGTATCGTGTTGTGTTCTACTGATCCTCTTCAAAAAAATCAGTTACTTTGGTTGCTGAATTCCTTCAAATAGTTTGAAGCTGATACAACCTTGGACCTTTTTTCAAGAAATAACCCTGGTCATTTAAAGATCCAATGAAGTTTTCAAAGTCAGCTACCTGGAAGAATCACACAAAGTAAGTTTATTATCTGGAGAGACAAAACACTACACATTATGCTATAAGCCTCTTTCCTCACAAGAAGTTGATATTTAAACTATTTAAATATTTTTCATCCAGAAGGGAATTTCAAAAACAATTTGTCACACAAGGATCTGCTGTGTGAAAGGGTGGAGGGATAAAAAATTCACCTAAGCTAATACAAGCCTTCATCTGAAGGAGGACCTTGTTCAATTTTATTTTTTAAAGAGATCATTTTCTATTCATTCTCTAGTTAAAGTGCAGCCTAAGTTATCTATGCAATTGTCAGTGTTCACACAGCGAAATACTGCAGAAAAAAATAAAATCTGCAGAAATTGCAACACACTTCAAGATAGTTCACAGGTGTCAGGCTGTTAAAGAAGAAAGGCAAGTTTCAGTAACAACAAAGTTTGCGGTGCTGATGTTAAATGATATATTAGTAGGGCAACCAATCTCAAATACAATTTCTAAATGCATAGGCAAAGTTCAGCCATCAGAGCTGGAGCAATATGATTAAAGTCCTCTGAACCATGGAAGTACAGGTGCTGGGATCGGAACTTATTTTTTCAACCAATAATTCCAATATCAAATTTAATCCTTTCCAAATACACAATTTTATTTTTACTTACTTTTACGTTTACCTCCTTTGCAATCTGCCGCAGCTGCTGAACCTCAAAAAGGCTGTTGTAGGTTCTTTCTGCAATACGATGAAGGGCAGAAACAAACCTCTTTGCTTGCGACCTGTTGCTCATTCCGGAACCGTGTTGCGAACGATCAAAATCCAACTTCCCAAACTCATCGGAGTAAGTTCCTAACATGCTTGAAGAAGAAACACACAGAAACATCAGTAAACAATGAAGGCATAAAACTTGGGAGAGAAGTGCCTTTGGAAGAGTTAACCATAAGAGCAAGCTTGAAGCTGTTTTTCATTTTCTGCAGGAAATGTAGGGAATCACCAGTGGATTGATCAATTAGAGCTCTCTCCCCCACCTGCCAACATCCATGGCTTCTCCCTCCATTCTAGTGTAGAAAACAGCTCCCTGTACCCAATGGGGAATGTGACATTGGACCTACCGGGAACATTGGAGCCACTGAATTTGAGCAGCTCAATTTGCATATTCCTGCCTAGTACAGTGAGTGGAGGGACAGGAAAATGTGTACATATCACTGAAATAAATAAAAGCACCACCAGGTGTGCACTAGAGCCCCGCAGACCTTTGGTTTGCTGTAAATTGAGTTTTATTCTGGTGCATACTACCTGTATTTCATTATTTCTATGACATCTTCAGCATCTTCTTTGGTGGCCTTTTCTTTTAATTCTAACCTTGACCGTGCCTTAAACAAGCAAACAATAATTAAAATTAAAATTGGTTTTATCCAAGTCATACTCAAGTAGACCTACTGAAATATAGGGGCCTGATTAATTTAAGTCCGTTGACTTCAATGGGTACTCCAAATGGGATTTAGTCAGCAATAACCCTTTGCAATAACCAACCTTGTTTCCTCCCTAATTTATTCAGATCAGAAAAGCTACGTGAAAGGAGTTTACATCAGCAGCCGAAAAATACAGACAAATACACACTACATTTTTCAGTTTGGATGTGGATATAGTTCAGAAAGCTGCTGAATTTTGTGGCATTTAGGACAGAACAGAACAGAACTCCATCAGTGCTGGCTGAGAACACATGCTTCGTACACAAAGCCCCAGGTTTATTCCCTGGCGTCTCTACTTAAAGGACATCAAGTAACCAACCTGGGAAATGTCCTTGTGCCAAGACCTTGGAGAACCACTGACAGATGGAATAAGTAATGCTGGGCTAGAGGATTCAGTGGCATGACCCAGTTTAAGGCCGTTTCATATAGTTTAAAATTAAAGAGGAAGAATGGGGATTGTTCCATTTAGCAAGCTGAAATGCTTGTGCTGAAGAAATGATTAAAAACAGCACATCACTGAACACCTTTCTTGGAACAAAGGCAGCTTAGAGCATCAACGTAATGGATTGGGGAGAGAGAAGTAAAGTTGAATCAGCCACAAGATATTGAAAGAACGGATAATCCAGGTTACACCAGCAGAATCGTATTTAAAAAGTGAGATATCCAGTGGAATATCTCTATGTTTGCGAGATCTTTTCTGGAATAACGTCCAGCATGAGGCATTAAATTTTATCTCTACTTTGAGGCTAAAGTTACAAGGGATGTATGAGGGAGCCATTCAAGAAACGGAAGACAGCGAACATGGCTGAGCCCAGTTTCTTAACTATGTTGTTGTTGTTTAGTCATTTAGTCGTGTCCGACTCTACGTGACCCCATGGAACAGAGCACGCCAGGCACTCCTGTCTTCCACTGCCTCCCGCATTTTGGTCAAACTCATGCTGGTAGCTTCAAGTGTTAACTTTTAGTATCGTCAATTTTATTTACAGAAAAAGATGGTAGAAGTGTTTGTTTTTTTAATAATAAAAAAAAGATGGTGAGAGTTTTCCTTGCTCTCCTGGAATCTCAAGAATCTGGCAACTCACATTTGATCCAAATCCAGTTCCACCAGTTTGATGGAATTACAGTGGTACCTCAGGTTACATACGCTTCAGGTTACACACACTTCAGGTTACAGACTCCACTAACCCAGAAATAGTGCTTCAGATTCAGAACTTTGCTTCAGGATGAGAACAGAAATCGTGCTCCGGCGGCGCGGCCCCAGGAGGCCCCATTAGCTTAAGTGGTGCTTCAGGTTAAGAACAGTTCCAGGTTAAGAACGAATGAATTAAGTACTTAACCTGAGGTACCACTGTACATCTATTTATTTAAATTAGGATTTTTAAAAAAGAAAATATTTGCGCTGCCTCCCAACGCCCACATTAAAATCACTAGCATTTGGGCAGTCACTTGGCAAAACTTTCCTACTGCAAGAAATCCAAGCGGCAAGAAATATAAAATGAAAGGAAACCTCGGTAAGACGTATCAACGATTCCAACTGTCGTGTGGTGATAGGTGTGCTGTCTGCTCTTTGGCTTTGTTGTCGGAGTTGAAGGTAGAATTCCTGGAGGACCTGAGCAGCCTCTGGAGATAGCGTGGGGTGCACGTACTGACGGGCATAGCCAACATACTTCCTCAACAGCTGGTGCGGAACTGGGTCAAAATTTTCTCCCGGAATGACCTGACGATTGAAAACACGCTTTAGGTATTATGGTATTCCGCTCAGCTGCGGAAGTGGACAGTGCCATCAGATTTGAACCCTTGTGGCTCCCACAGGTAAGAGTGGGAGTGAGAAACTTGAGAGACCCAGGCTGAAGTCTCTCACCTCATTTAAGTCACTCTGCCTCACAGATCCTCACAACACAGGGTAGATTGTGAGAATGGCTGTAACACATGTAAAAACGCTTTGAGCGCTGAAATGCTATATAGGAAACACAATGGCTGAGAGCTCTACCTCTCTTTTAAATCAGAACCAGTGAAGGTGGTGAAGGTCCTGTGGGAGTGTCTGGAGGCGGTTGGAGGATGGATGGCGGCTAACAGATTGAGGTTGAATTCTGACAAGACAGAAGTACTGTTTTGGGGGGACAGGAGGCGGGCAGGTGTGGAGGACTCCCTGGTCCTGAATGGGGTAACTGTGCCCCTGAAGGACCAGGTGCGCAGCCTGGGAGTCATTCTGGACTCACAGCTGTCCATGGAGGCACAGGTCAATTCTGTGTCCAGAGCAGCTGTTTACTAGCTCCTTCTGGTACGCAGGCTGAGACCCTACCTGCCCGCGGACTGTCTCACCAGAGTGATGCATGCTCTGGTTATCTCCCGCTTGGACTACTGCAATGCACTCTACGTGGGGCTACCTTTGAAGGTGACCCGGAAACTACAACTAATCCAGAATGCGGCAGCTAGATTGGTGACTGGGAGCGGCCGCTGAGACCACATAACACCGGTCTGGAAAGACTTACACTGGCTCCCAGTACATTTCCAAGCACAATTCAAAGCGTTGGTGCTGACCTTTAAAGCCCTAAACGGCCTCAGTCCAGTATATCTGAAGGAGCATCTCCACCCCCATCGTTCTACCCGGACACTGAGGTCCAGCGCTGAGGGCCTTCTGGCGGTTCCCTCACTGCGAGAAGCCAAGCTACAGGAAACCAGGCAGAGGGCCTTCTCGGTAGTGGCGCCCTCCCTGTGGAACGCCCTCCCACCAGATGTCAAAGAGAACAACAACTACCAGACTTTTAGAAGACATCTGAAGGCAGCCCTGTTTGGGGAAGCTTTTAATGTTTGATATATTACGGTATTTTAATATTTTGTTGGAAGCCACCCAGAGTGGCTGGGGAAGCCCAGCCAGATGGGCGGGATATAAATATTATTATTATTATTATTATTATTATTATTATTATTATTATTATCTCACCTCATGTAAGTCACTCTGCCTCACAGATCCTCACAACACAGGGTAGATTGTGAGAATGGCTGCAACACATGTAAAAACGCTTTGAACGCTGAAATACTATATAGCAAACACAATGGCTGGGATCCAGCTTCCCATCCTGAGTGTAAGTGGAAAATGTTTTTGGTTTTTGTGCAAGGAGGGGAGAATGATAGACTTCCATCCATTGGCAGATCTTTGTTCTTTATGGGATATTATCAGAGGAACTGGGAGTTGGCGAGAGGGGCAGTTGCTGGGAAGCGGGGAGCTGAAAAGCCCCCGTACACCACCACACAGGGCACTTGAGAGTCCCAGCTACTTATACACAAACATGGGCTTCATTTATTTTGAATACTTATTTCCTGCTTTATATTCCCCAAGGGTGTCAGGCTTCAGGGACTCGGCTCCCCACCCACCCACCGTTTGGCAGTAGATAAGCAGAACAAAGCGAAAGGAGTCTCTTACCAGTTAGAAATTTTAATGATCACAGCGAGAGAACAAAGAATCCATTCCTAGGGATGAAGGTGCTCCCAATTAAGGGTTCCACTCACTTCCCCCCAGTCATCCACGTCACTTCCGCGTCTGGCAACCTGATCTCACAACCACTGTGCTTTCTGTACTGCCACCTTATCAGCTCTCCTTGACCTTGGGCTGAGCGGATGGACGCTTTCCAGTGAAAGTGAGTCTGTTAACTCTCTCTCTCCCAGTTCTTCTTCTCCTAGCTGTTCACCACCCAGTTCTTCCCAACTTCTGCCTTCTGAACTATGTCCCTCTGCAAACCGCTGTTCCAAAACTATATTGTCCCACTGCTTCTGGGAAGATTCAGGATCAGGGAGATGGGGAGGAGGGTCTCCCACCATTTCTCCTCAGTGCAGCCCTCCTCAGCACGGTCCCTGACAAAGGGTCTCTCAAAAAGGGGCTTACAAAAACCCTCACAATAAAAATTATATCTAAATCTGGTACTGATAACAGAAATCTCCCTGTGGTGCCCAGTTTCAGGAGGCATTTCCTGCAATCAAACTTTGCCTTTCTTTTCATTACAACAAAATTCAGACTTGGATGTGAAAACCCCATTTAGATACAGTAACAACCTAGATACTTAACAAAAACAGGAAGAAAAATTGAACCAAACTCCTAGAATTCATTTCATGGCAGCCTCTGATCATTGCCTAGAGAGATAAGATGGTATAGGGCCAGGAAATCTGAACAGTATGTACTACCTTTAATCTTTCCAACAACGGTTTGTCTGAAACGGCTTCAAGGACCGATATGTTCGAATTCTGGGAGCTCGAGCGAAGCACTACTGCACTGCTGCATCCAGTCTGTTTTCCTGCTCGCATTGCCATCACGTGTTCGGAAAGCAGGTAGTCATGATCTTCATTCGGTATATCCAGCAGTATGAACACCAAGTCAAATCGTGACAATAAAGCGCTCCCCATTCTACACAGAAAGAAAAATCAGCAAGTACAGTGCATGTTCTTAAACACCCACCCCCACCCCTGGGTATACTCTTTCTATAGCACACCTGAAAACATAGTGTGGAGAATTCAAAATAATTTGAGGTCTCTTCAGCAGAAGAAATTCTATATGCAAGTTTACATCAATTTGAACATACCGTACTTTTCCGTGTATAAGACTAGGTGTTTTTTACTGAAAAATTACCGTATTTTTCGCTCCATAGGGTGCACCGGCCCATAGGGTGCACCTATTTTTGGGGGGGGGGAATAAAGGAAAAAAAATTCCCCCCCCCCCGGCACGGGGCTGCGGCGGGGGAAGCCCGAGCTTCCCCCGACCCCAGCCCCCAGAACAGGCTGCTATCCGCAACCCTAGGGAGACCGGTGCGACATCACGCCTGTCTCCCCAGGCTTGCGGAGAGCTGCCCAAATCCCGGGGCGTGCTCTTCAGCACGCCCCAGGCTTCTGGATGCAGGCAGCTCTGCGCAACCCTTGGGAGACCGGCACGAAGTTGCGCCGATCTCCCAAGGGTTGCGCAGAGCTTCCTGAAGCCTGGAGAGCGAGAGGGGTCGGTGTGCACCGACCCCTCTTGCTCTCCAGGCTTCAGTGAAAGCCTGCATTCACCCCATAGGACGCACACACATTTCCCCTTCATTTTTGGAGGGGAAAAGTGCGTCCTATAGGGCAAAAAATACGGTACGTTTAAAATAGATGGGTCGTCTTGTACATGGGTAGTGCCTAGGGGGGACGTGGGAATATTTTTTAATGTTTTTATATACAGTGGTACCTCAGGTTACATACGCTTCAGGTTGCATACGCTTCAGGTTACAGACTCCGCTAACCCAGAAATAGTGCTTCAGGTTAAGAACTTTGCTTCAGGATGAGAACAGAAATCGTGCTCCGGCGGTGCGGCAGCAGCAGGAGGCCCCATTAGCTAAAGTGGTGCTTCAGGTTAAGAACAGTTTCAGGTTAAGAACGGACCTCTGGAACGAATTAAGTACTTAACCCAAGGTACCACTGTACAACATGTAGGCTAATAGTTAGTAGAAAATATATAATAGAATAATGAATATCATTATTCTATTATATATTTTCTACTAACTATTAGCCTACGTGTTGTGTTTGTATTGTTGTGAGGAGAGTGGTTTTTGGCAACCCTCCCCGCCCCCCCCCCCCGTAAAAAATCTCAACAACTCTGGGCAATCTCCCCCATTTTCTTAATTTTTAGTCCCCCAAAATAGTCTTATAGATGGGGGCGTGTTATACACGGAAAAGTGCCGTAATTTGTTTGCTTTTTGTTCAGAATTTTACAACATTCAGCAGGAAAAAAAATGGGATGGGGAGGTGGGGAGAGTATTCACATTGAACATTTAAAAGGAGAAATAAGTAATTCCCTCCAGAAAGGTGACCTTTCGGACAAAATCAGTGATGCAGACTTAAAAGTCATTTTTAAAATGAAGGGAAAAAAACCCTTCTTTCTTTCTGATGCATGCATTTTAGAAGTACTTACTTTAAATTCTCAGATACTGTTTTGGCCTTGTTGTAGTGTCCCCCAACTGGATTTGCAGCCGCTATGATTGACGTCCTCGCTGGCAAACTGCAAACAATACCAGCTTTGGCGAGGCTGATGCTTTGCTGTTCCATAGCTTCCAGCAAGGCTTGGTGCTGGTTACCCATCTTATCAAACTCATCTATTCCACAAATGCCTGAAAAAGAAAATGACAAAAAGAGAGGTGTCATTCCCGTACTCTCATAAACTGGATAAGTGAAAGGCAGCAGAGAGTGAAGGCGATGCGCCAAAAACTTGTTTGAACCAGCACTTTCTACAACTGGAGCTATGCAATCTCTATTTGAATGTGTGTGTTTAGAAAAAGCATGGCAATAGGTTCTGGCAAACTTTAGCATTTGCCATTGTCAGGGTCCGCAGGCATTGAAGTGGGCTGCACACATACAGTTACTCATGCCAACCCACCCATCAGATTATCAGTGCCAGCAGTAAAGCCAGTAGTGATCATCTACTTGAAAAGAAGGGGAACTTGATGCAGACTAGAGTGGTCCGATGCAGAAGAGGAAAAGGTTCCTGCCTGCATGACAAGCTATGCCTGATGAAATTCAAAACTATAGAGAGTGGAGAAGACCTGGAGATGCAAAGAGGTAGAGGGAACGTTCTTCCATATGTGGTGGACTTGTAAAAGGGTAAAGGAGTATTGGGAAATGATCCATAATGAATCGGGGGGGGGGAATGTTTAGAAGTAAAGGTAAAGGTAAAGGGACCCCTGACCATTAGGTCTAGTCGTGGCCGACTCTGGGGTTGCGGCGCTCATCTCGCTTTATTGGCCAAGGGAGCCGGCGTACAGTCATGTGGCCAGCATGAGTAAGCCACTTCTGGCGAACCAGAGCAGCGCACGGAAATGCCGTTTACTTTCCCGCAGGAGTGGTTCCTATTTATCTACTTGCACTTTGACGTGCTTTCGAACTGCTAGGTTGGCAGGAGCAGGGACCGAGCAACGGGAGCTCACCCCGTTGCGGGGATTTGAACCGCCGACCTTCTGATCGGCAAGTTCTAGGCTCTGTGGTTTAACCCACAGCGCCACCTGCGTCCCTAAAAAGTACTTTAAAAGTACTTTCCCCAAAAAACCAGAGTCCTTTCTGTTGGGGATAATTAGGGCTGAAATTCCCAGGTGTAAAAAAAGGTTGTTTATGTATGCCACTACTGTGACCCATGTTTTGTTAGCCCCAAAATGGAACACGAGCAAGGTCCCAAACAAAGAAGAATGGCAACTGAAGTTGACAGAATATGTACAACTTGCAGATTTAGCATATAGAATAAGAGAACAAGAAGAACATACGTTTAAAGCAGATTGGAAAACGTTTATTGAATATATGGGAAATAATTGTATATAGCTGGAAACACTGGCAGCATTAAGATAAATTCAACAGTGTAAGTAAGTTTTGATGGATGTAATAATGGAATACTGAATGGTATTGTTTTTGTAAAATATGCAGGGATTTATTATGAACCATGGGATTAAACCAAGGATATAACCAGGGATTAAAATGAACCATGGAAAGAGAAGAAAGGAAGTCACTGATATCTTAAGGATGTAAAATGAGTATTTTAAATTGTAAAACAGAAAATTTAATAAAGTGTGTGTGAGAGAGAGAGAGTGTGTAGACCTGTCCTCATTTGCAACTGGCCACCCTAATTCAGCCAATCACAATGGTAAGTATTCTGCCCACCCTGTGAGCTGGATCATCTTCCAGTAGAGTATCAAATACCCAGACGGAAAAGGTAGGGAAAGCAACTAACTTCCTACAAGATCACAAATGAGGAATGGACTAGTTATAGCCTTCTGTGTTGTAGTACCAAAGTCAATGTGAAAAAGTGCTTTGAAGGCTACAGCCACAGTTTTTATAAGATTTCTAGAACTAACAAGGTAAAGTACCATACCAGCTGAAGGGCTTATGCATCAGCTCAAAGTTTCTAGCTACAGAGAGGATCACTTCTATAGTACCTTGATCTCCAAGCACAAGGGCACCAGCTTCCAAGGAAAAATCTCCAGAAGAACTGTCTCTGGACAGAGTTACAGTCAGACCAGCTGCAGTTGTCGCATTGCCACACACATACACACCACGAGGTGCAATATTGCATACAGCCTAAGAAACAAATGGTAAAGGCTAGTTTTGCACACTATGAAAACTATACTATGCACACTATACTAAAAAGAACAACATCCCCACTAAAGAGTATACATCTTTTCCCTGCATTCAGATTGAAACAGCTGGTGCTAAAGTATACTTTTAAAAAGCACTTTGGATGTCGGGAAGAAACAACAACAAATAAACGCCATTTATTTATTAATAAATGAATATACTTGCAACATCTGACTCTTCCCCAGTCCTGGATCTCCAACCACCAGAAGATGAGGGTCTCCTCGAATAGGAATCCGATTTTTATCATCCATATACTTTTGACAGCCTCCAAACAATGCCAACACTAAGCCAGCTTTCACAATCTGTTAAATGGAAGCACGATACATAAAGCATTGGAATGGATTAGCTCAAGGCAGCGGCACATAGTCCACATGTGGTCTGTTCATACCTCATACCTTGAGAATCCCAGCATGAAGAGGTGCAGGCACAATGGCAAAATACTAAGTACACGCAGGTCCTGCTCTTAAAATGCTCATTATCCAAAATTTTATCTGAACACAAAGAATTATACCCAAACCTCGCTACACAAACGGCTGATTCTGGTAACTGAACAGCCGGAGTTTGTCCACTTCCTTACTTGTTTTGAGTTTTGCTGGTAGGCAGCAGACATTTTGGGCAGAAACCATAGAGGGAGGGAAGGAAATCAAACAAAGGGACCAGGAGAGCTCAGACTAATCAGTTCTTCCTTTGTCTTTTGCTGGTTGGCTTAAGCAGTTCTGGGCAGAAAGTATGGAGGAAAGGAGGGAGAGTAGACTAGAAACACAGACTGGAAATGTCACTATTAGAAACAATGGAAATTGTCAGCTCATTATGCAAAAACTTGCCTAACAAACGATTTCCTGGGAATAAATGGTGTTCAAAAAGCAGGACCTGCGTGTATCAGAAACAAGGCAATGAAAAGATTGATGGCTTCATTGTTTTAAACTCACATGAAATCTATTTATTGAAGATAGAAACAAGAAACTTCTATAAAAATAACTACAAACACTTCCACCGTAGCATAACAACTGAAAAGTGAAAACATACATTTTTAAAAATGAAAAGGCAGCCAATGTACAATTTGTTGGGGGGCTTCAAAACAGGCCTAGGCCATGTGAGTAAACATGGGATTTATTTTTTGTAATGCTAACATAACTGACTGAATCCTACAAGGGGCAGGGAAACAAAAGAACAAAGAACATCCCAATATTATATTCCAAGTTACTCATTCTGGATTGCCAACCAGTTGACAAAAACTAGGTTATGGGGGAGACGGGGGACATTTTCCAGTGAGCATTTAGAACAGCCATCAGAATTTTTCCATTGGGATGCACTTACCTCATGACCGTAGATAGTAGGACAAAGAGAACTAGAAGGAAGAGAAAAACCAAATTAACACATAATTTAAAACAAGTACCCAGGGCAGTGCATGTTCTGTGTCAATAACCTCCCCCCCAAGTGTTTTGCTAAAAGAATATAGATTTCATAGCATAAACTGAATTCTACATACATGGTGCTATTTAAGCAAATCTGCATGCACAGTTCACAGTTTATTCTGCTCCTAGCAGTCATGGAGAGGGGCAAGGTGCTCTGTAGGGCACTGAGTTACTAGCCATACCCACCTGCTTTGGGTTCTAATTAAAAGGTAAAGGAACCCTGGACAGTTAAGTCCAGTCAAAGGCGACTGTGGGGTTGCAGCGCTCATCTTGCTTTCAGGCAGAGGGAACCAGTGATTGCCCACAGACAGCTTTCCAGGTCATGTGGCCAGCATGACTAAACTGCTTCTGGCACAATGGAACACCGTGACGGAAGCCAGAGCGCACAGAAACGCCGTTTACCTTTCCGCTGCAACGATACCTATTTATCTACTTGCACTGGTGTGCTTTCGAACCGCTATGTTGGCAGGAGCTGGGACAGAGCAACGGGAGCTCACCCCTTCGCATGGACTTGAACTACCAACCTCGCGATCAGCAAGCACGAAAGGCTCAGTGGTTTAGACCACAGCGCCACCAGCGTCCACTTCCTGTAAGTAGAGAGGCCCTGTAATAGATGGGTTGCCTACTTGCCAGCTCTTTGCCTTGCCTGCTGCTTCTCTGTCCGCATGCTGCTGCCCATTTCGGTGAGATGACCACTACACTCATACTTCTGCTGACCACCTCACTAAGAGAAGAACATACAGGGCCCACCATCTGCTCCCAACTAAGCCCACCGCACTGAGAAAGAGATTGTGCTGACATGAGAAAGAGATTGTGCTGAAGCTATTGGCAGCTTCCGCAAGAGAAATAAATATTCTGCCCACATTCTACTGCCTGCCTGAGTGGAAGAGGAATGAAGAGGAATGAATGCCTCTCCCCACAAGATGATGGTCCCTGCCTGAAGGACAACGGCTGCCCACTGTGGCCCATGCTAGCCACCTGAGGGAGAAAAACTGGCCACTGTGATCTCATGCTGACACTGCCTATTTCACAGACTGGCCACTGTGTTCTCACACGGATGTGTCCAACCAGAAGGAGAGACACAGGCCATTGTGATGTCATGCTGATGCTGAAGGAGACAGAAACTGGCCCATGTACCAGCCCACAACTGCTGTTCACCTGAATAACAAGGAGACACTGCCTGGCACGCCAACACATTGCTCACCATGTTCATGAGAATTATGCCCTTTGCACCTTGGACCAAACTGGGGGTTCTTAACTTGCTTTTACTCTCCTGTTCCTGCATATTAGGTTCCCTTACCAGAGGTCTACAATAACAAGGTAATGAATCAACCCCATTTATTTGTAAAAGGCAGGTAAAGATAAAAGGTAAAGGACCCCTGGACGGTTAAGTCCAGTCAGAGGCGACTATGGAGTTGTGGCGCTCATCTCTCTTTCAGGCCGAGGGAGCCAGCGTTTGTCCGCAGACAACTTTCCAGGCCACGTGGCCAGCAGAACTAAACTGCTTCTGGCGCAATGGAACACCATGACGGAAACCAGAGCTCACGGAAATGCCGTTTACCTTCCCACCACAGCGGTACCTATTTATCTACTTGCACAGGCGTGCTTTCAAACTGCTAGGTTGGCAGGAGCTGGGACAGAGCAACGGGAGCTCACAATGTCAGGGATTCGAACCGCCGACCTTCTGATTGGCAAGCCCAAGAGGCTCGGTGATTTAGACCACAGCGCCACCCTAACCCAGCTTCTAATTTACAAGCATTGCCTACACATTTTCAAATTTCTTCCTGCATCTATAACAGCTGGTGTCAGGGGTTCAGGGACAGAGGCACAGGGTAGGCAGGAGATGGAGAGCGATGGGGATGAATCCCAGGCCAGCGAGGAAGAGGATGACAATGACTCAAGAGATTCCATGAGTCTTTCCAGCGAATCAGAGGATTCCCAGAAGGGGCGCCGGTGGTCAAGGCCAGGGAGCCCCAGGGGGACGTGTCAGGAGCAGGGGGCCAGCGGGGGATCCCAAAGTGGCAGCTGGGCGTCAGGACCAGCCTCCCCACCAGAGTGCAGCGAAGGGGGTGGAGGTTTCAGTGTATCAGGGGAAGCGCCTCCGGCAGCAGAGAAAGGAGGGAGGTCGGAGCAAGCCACCCTCCCGGAAGGGGAGGGGAGTAGTGAAGGGAGTAGTGTAGCTGTTAAAAGGAAGGTTAGAGGATGGGCGCGCGCGCCAAGTTCAAATGTAGAGGCGCGCGGAAGTACAGGGAGCCCGGAGGAGGGGCCAGGTCCCAAAGCCCGCAGGAGGGGGCAAGAGCAGTCTGATTCCGCGTCAGAGGAATCCAGGAGGGGCGAAACCCCAGGGGGCAGAAAGACCCTGCGGAAAAGGAAAGAAAGAAAGAGGTGGAGCAGCGCAAGCCTCTTAAACTGGTGCAGGGGAGGGACAGATTCAGAGGGGACTCCAGCGGTCTAAGCGTAGGAGACGTAGGGCTGCGCGCCTCGGATGTGAAGCAAACCATGAACCGCAATAAACACTTTTGTACATAGGAAGAGATAGGCGTTGGTCTTTTGTGAGCTGAGACTTGAGGCAGCCCTGACAGCTGGTAACAAAAAAAGGACATTTTTAAAGAATGCTGAGATTTTTAGATCTCAATGATCACATCAGTTTCCTTACACAGAATTATGAAATTCACACTGCCCTGGTAATAGCTTGATAGCAATTATAGAAAAAGGAAAGAATGCTTGGGCTTTCTTACCAAGTCTCACAACCACAGTACCACTCCTACGCGAGCATCGAAACCTACAATGATCCTGCCAAAGTTCAGCACTTTAAGACCCATTAACTAACTTTTACTCAGAGGAGACCTTTTGAAATTAGTGGACTTAACTTACACATGTACATGTTCATTAATTTAAATGTGTCTACCCTGGTTAAAACTTCATTGAATACTACCCATTGATTTCAATCACTATATCTCTTCTGTTGAGATCAAGGTAAGTTAATATCAGAAGTGTTTTAGCATTGGAAAGTGTATTTACGGACACTTATCAATGTGTACTAGTTACACAAACAGTACCTGCACTCAGTGTCTCCCCTACCAAAGCTTCAGATAGCTCAGAACAATGTCCTAGACTCCGAGGAGCGTAGAATGAGCATTTAAGATTCCTCTTCTAATAGCCCCCCCAAAAGAAATCCTGTACAATCTGCTTCATGTCCTAAACTTAGCAGTCAGCCATCTAGTTCCAGATAAGTAGAATGTAGAACAGAACAAGCTGTTCCAACTTGGACCAAATTGTGTTTCAATGATTATTTTAAAAGGAGATTCTTCTGTAGAAAAGCAGATTTATGCACACACTTTCTTCTTTCCTTACATTAAATGAATTAAGGGGTCTGGAAGGAAAAAAACTGAAGAGAAGAGGGCGTCATGAGTGGATCGTCTGGGATTGTTGAAACAAGATAATATGCAAAGTCTAATATCCACAATATATATATATAACAGGGACGTGGGTAGAACAGGGACCCGGGTGGAACAGGGACGCGGGTGGCGCTGTGGGTAAAACCTCAGTGCCTAGGACTTGCCGATCGTATGGTCGGCGGTTCGAATCCCCGCGGCGGGGCAAGTTCCCGTCGTTCGGTCCCAGCTCCTGCCCACCCAGCAGTTTGAAAGCACCCTTAAGTGCAAGTAGATAAATAGGTACCGCTTTATAGCGGGAAGGTAAACGGTGTTTCCGTGTGCTGCGCTGGTGCTGGCTCGCCAGAGCAGCTTTGTCACGCAGGCCACCTGACCCGGAAGTGTCTCCAGACAGCGCTGGCCCCCGGCCTCTTAAGTGAGATGGGCGCACAACCCTAGAGTCGGACACGACTGGCCCGTACGGGCAGGGGTACCTTTACCTTTACCTTTACCTTTACCTTTAATATCCACAATGACATGCAAGAAGTGACATACTTGACAATGAGCTTAAACAGGTTCTCTTCTGCTTGTATTTCCCGGACAGCATAAAGATCTTTAAGTGAAAACTCCATGCTGGCTTGGTGGTTTATTCCATGTTCATAGTCCTTGACTTTCTGTCCTTTAGTGTTGCTGATAGAGTTTGCTTCGATGTATAACAGGAAGACACATTTATCATTTTTATTTCTAGATGTGCCTGTTAAAATATCACAGCAACAATCACATTATTCTCTCTATATGGGGATATTACAGTTAAAAAAAAAAAACTAGTTTCAAACACAGGGTGATAATTCCTGAACCCAATATATATACAAGAACGATAACACTTTCAATATACAGTGGTATATACCTCGAGTTAAGTACTTAATTCATTCCGGAGGTCTGTTCTTATCCTGAAGCAAAGTTCTTAACCCGTGGTACTATTTCTGGGTTAGCGGAGTCTGTAACCTGAAGCGTATGTAACCTGAAGCGTATGTAACCCGAGGTACCACTGTACTGACCAAAATCGTTTTTGAAATCTCACCACGATAACGATCTTGACCTGGCAATATGCAGCAATATATCGCTCCTCGCATGAGGGCAGCCAATTTCAAGGCACTGCCGATATCGTACAATGATCTCAGCGATAACGCTGCTGTTCAAAGCTGCCTTTCCTCACACTAAGGGAGGCGAGGGCAGCTGATCGCCCTCACTTCAAGGCACTGCGGAGCAGCTTTTCTCAGACAGCAGGAAAGTAGTAGCAGCCACGGTGGATGCGGATCTTCGCTGGCTGCCCCCACAGACAGTGGCTTGATGCACACACCCCCATCCCCTCCCACTAAAATCATGCGGTGGAGGTGACTCTGCTTCCTCTCCTCCTCTCTCCCATCCGATCTCTACAGCTGCTCCTTCCCTCATCCCCACGCTTGATCTCCAATTTCAGACATCCGGATCTATCAGATTACAGTGGTACCTCAGTTTACGAACTTAATCCATCCGGAAGTCCGTTCTTAAACCAAAGTCGTTCTTAAACCGAGGCGTGCTTTCCCTAATGAGGCCTCCCGCCGCCGGTGCCCTTCCACTATTCGGATTCCATTCTTAGACCGAGGTAAAGTCTGCAAACCAGGACACTACTTCCGGTTTTGCGGAGTTTGTAAACCGAATCGTTCGTAAACAGGGCTGTTCTTAAACCGAGGTCCCACTGTATTGCAATGTTTAGTTGCCGATATATCACGATGTTGAAAACCATATATCACTCAGCCCTAGTCTGTTTTCTAGTACAGTGGTACCTCGGGTTACAAATGCTTCAGGTTACAGACGCTTCAGGTTACAGACTCCGCTAACCCAGAAATAGTACCCCGGGTTAAGAACGTTTCTTCAGGATGAGAACAGAAACCATGCTCCGGCGGCGCGGCAGCAGCAGGAGGCCCCATTAGCTAAAGTGGTGCTTCAGGTTAAGAACAGTTTCAGGTTAATAACGGACCTCCAGAACGAATTAAGTTCTTAACCCGAGGTACCACTGTATACCTAAAATCCTTTGCTTATTAGGGGCTACAACATTATGTTCAAAAATTTACTTTGCGGAGGTAACTACCATAGAGCTATCAAAATTTTCAAAAGTCTGTGGCTTGGGTTTTGAAAAATAGGGGGTCCTCACTAATTGAGACCCACTGCACTACAGTATTGCAGCTCTCCCTAAGATAATTTCTTACTACATTAAATTCACGTGCGTAGATACCATTATCAGTTAGTTGGATTACTTTGGTCGCCTCCCCTCACTCTGCCAAAAACAGAGAAAACTTGCACAAATGTCAACATACAAAAGCTATGGCCAGTTATGGCGTACCTTCCTCAGTGTTTGACACTTTGACAATGCCTGTGACGGTAATCACATCTCCCGGAACGCAGCTGTCTACCAGGTCCTGTGCCAGTTCACATTCTATTGTTCGAGGAATTCTTCCCGCTTCTCGCTGATCATCGGACATGAGCTCTTGAATCCTAGAATTATGTTATAATACTTTTGTATCTGTGATATTTGTCAGGGGCTGGACTGAAGACGAATGGTGGGGGCCGTCCCCTGTTCTCCTGAGCCTTCCCAAGAACAGGAGGACAGTATAGATTTAGAACAGTGGTTTGCAGAAGGGCATAGTTCAGAGGGGAGAAGCTGGGAAATATTGAAAGAGGAACAGCAGGAAGATTAAGAAGAAGCACTAGGGAAGAGACAGCTGACAGACTCAATGCCCTTGGAAAGCATTCCTGACCCCTCCACCCCCCCCCCGAACCAGGCGGGCATTATGCGTAGTAGAAGAGAGAGCTCAGAAACAGAAAGCTCAGATTAATCGGCGTGGGGGTGACAAGGAATAGAGATGATGTGGGGGATGGGACTTTACTTGGAGCAACACCATCATGGCATAAAGACTACATTCCTTTGTCTCCCTCTATGAATACTGAATAAATTCCATGGTAAGGACTCTTCGTGTTATCTGCTTTTTGGCTGCCACTGGGGGAGGGATAGGATTCCCTGAGCCTTGACAGATTACAGTAAAGATAGTCAAAATTTACACCACCTAAAGCAAAGAAAATATGCTAAACAGTTATGGGGGATGGGTATCAGTAAGGAAGAACAAACCAGGCTATTTACAAATCACTAACATCCCAATTTGCAATGGTAAGGTATTAACCATGCTCATTTGGGGGCCTGCGGATCCTGGGAACCCCCAGCCTCGCTCAAACACTTTCAGTTTCAGTCCCCACCACCAGCAGGACATCAATACCCAAGAAGCCTTCCACAGACATATCAGGGGGCCTCTATTAGCATAAGAGTGGGCCAGGGCTCCCTGTCCCCCAGCAGAGCAGCGCTTCCTAGGGTCTCTCAGCTGAACAAATAACAGCTTTAGGACTGCAGCCTTCATTTGTGAATGGCTTTTTATTCAGCACAACTTAAAAAGAAGAAGAGGAGGCATATTACAATGAAATTATTTGATTCCCTTGGAAGAACATGGCCATTTCCTCTTACATGTCAACTTTTAATAAATATATGCAAACCTTTAATTGCAATCTGTATCATACGCACACGGGAACACACACACACATACATCCAAAATATCATAGATTCAAAAAGAACACAAAACAAACCGAAATATACTTACTTAATAGACTGCCAGTCCACAGTAACTGTATAAGGAGAACTTCTGTCAGGAGTGAATGATCGTCCACGACATTCAGGCAAAGGACACTAAAAAATGCATGTTCAACTTTAGCACAAAAAAAGTTTATATTACAGTACTTAAACAAAAAATCTTGTGGCACTTCAAAAACTAAAAAAATTATTATGGAATAAGCTTTGGTGGACCAGAGTCCACTTCATCAGTTGCACTTCATCTACTCTACCAAAACTTATGCCACAATATTTTTATTAACCTTAAAGGTGGCACAAGATTCATCATTTTTGCTGCAAGAAACTTAACATGGCTGCCACCCTGGAAACTATAATACTTGACGTTATCCCATTTGTTTTGGAGGCGCAGAAAGCTCATCCACGCTAATTCTCAGAGGCTTCTGCTTGCATAAAACCTTCTTTGGCAAACAATGCTCTGAAGATAAATAATGCTTTAGTTTACCGTATTTTTCGCTCTATAGGACGCACTTTTTCCCCTCCAAAAATTGAGGGGAAATGTGTGTGCGTCCTATGGAGCGAATGCAGGCTCCTTGGCTTCAGCGATAGCAACGTTAAGCCTCCAAAGCGCAGAGGGAGCACTCCCTCCGTGTTCCAAAGGCTTCGCGTTGCTTTCGCTGAAGCCTGGAGAGCGAGAGGCGTCGGTGTGCACCGACCCCTCTCGCTCTCCAGGCTTCAGGGATAGCCACGCGCAGCCCCTCCGGCAGGGAGAGGCTGCACGTGGCTATGGCATCTTTAGCCCCGCGCAGCTTCTCCCAGGAGGGAGAGGTTGCGTGGGGCTAAAGAGGAAGCCAAAGAAGCAGGCGGGATCCATCCTGCTGGCTGTCTTGGCTTGTGCCATAGCTGCGCGCAACCCCTCTGGCAGGGAGAGGCTGCACGGGGCTATGGCTTCTTTAGCCTCGCGCAGCTCCTCCCAGGAGGGAGAGGTTGCGTGGGGCTAAAGAGAAAGCCAAAGCAGCCAGCGGGATCCATCCCGCTGGCTGCCTTGGCTTGTACCATAGCCGCGCGCAACCCCTCCGGCAGGGAGAGGTTGCGCGCATCCTGTATGCTGCTCTTTGGGGCTGGGGGGGGAAATAAGATTATTTTTCTTGATATCCCCCCCTAAAAACTGGGTGCGCCCTATGGTCCGGTGCGCCCTATGGAGCGGAAAAATACGGTAATTTATGGACCATGTCTATAAACTGGCAGTAAACCAGAAGACGTGACAGGTTTATTTTCAGCAATTCAGCCTAGTTTTTCCCGATGTTAACCCATTTCCCTTTATTGCCTGATGTTTTAAAGTCCCAGCAGTCTAATAATAAACAGTGACCAAAAAAAAAAATGGTTTTAAAGTGTTCATTACCTTTGTAGGAAGAGTATATTTGCCATCAGGTAAAGGGAAACTCTGAGTATTTCCACAGGCACTGCATATAAATGCCATCTTGGTGCAGATAGGCCTAATGTTACTGACACGCACCACAGTCCCACGCAAAGCCACAAATTTCCCATAGCAATTGGCTCGAATATTCCTAAGCTGAGTAAGTGGGTCATAGTTGTACACTCTAAAATAAAACAATACGGAAAATTAGATGACTGTCAGGGAAAATCAATCATGTTAAATTCTACAGAGCTACTATGCACACCTACTTGGAACTAACTACAGTGGTACCTCAGGTTACATATGCTTCAGGTTACAGACGCTTCAGGTTACAGACTCCGCTAACCCAGAAATAGTGCTTCAGGTTAAGAACTTTGCTTCAGGATGAGAACAGAAATCGTGCTCCGGTGGCGTGGCGGCAGCGAGAAGCCCCATTAGCTAAAGTGGTGCTTCAGGTTAAGAACAGTTTCAGGTTAAGAACAGACTTCTGGAACGAATTAAGTACTTAACCCGAGGTACCAATGTACTACTTAACACAAAGGGATTTTCTTCAGAGAAAACATGCATAGGATCAGACTGAAAATCTCAGTCTGGCAGTAGGGCGGGTTAGAATCAACAAGCTATTCATCATAATTTGTGCCATTGATTTTGATGGAACTTAAGACTAATTTCCCCAATATCTGGGAAATGCATTGCTTCGCAAATAACATGTGACATGTGGAGTTTGAGCCTTTCAAGAAAACTTGTTCTTTTTAAAGCAATAGCTACCTTGCATGAATATATGGGACATTAATTATGGGTTCTTCATCAATGGACAGTCCTTCTTGTTCCTGAAGTTGTGCTGCATGTTTTTCAAGATCTTTGCTTAGCACCTGTAACATAAAAAAATACTCAGGAAGCCTCGACCATCATATAAAGATGCTGATAACACTGAACAGTATTTTCCAACCAGTGCAAAAAAATCACAAAGGTTTCAAGAATCAAAACTCTGCATTCTTAATTGTCATTTTACACACACGCCCCTTTTCTTAAATATCATTTTCTGATCCTTTTGTTAGGCACAATATTGGCTCTGAGAGCAGTTTTGTTTAATCCAAGTAAGAGGCTTGCTTGCTTATTTACTTTATTTATTTACAAGGATCTCAGGGTGATTCACAATATAAAAACACGAGATGAAAGCAGAAGTAAATAGCTGAAAGAGAAACAACAAAATAATAACCCCCCTCCCACAAACACATTTAAAAGGCTGTAGAATATTAACCATCCAAAGGCTTGGTTGATGGGGAACATTTTTACCTGGCACCTAAAGATAAGGAAGGCACCAGTTGAACCTCCTTGGGGAGAGCATTTTACAAACAGGGAGCCCCTGCAGAAAAGGCCTGTTCTCATGTTGCCATCCTCCAGACCTGTCATGGAGGAGGCACACAAAGAAGGGCCTCAGATTACAGTGGTACCTCGGGTTACATAAACTTCAGGTTACAGACTCCGCTAACCCAGAAATAGTACCTCGGGTTAAGAACTTTGCTTCAGGATGAGAACAGAAATCGTGCTCCAGCAGCGCGGCAGCAGCAGGAGGCCCCATTAGCTAAAGTGGTGCTTCAGGTTAAGAACAGTTTCAGGTTAAGAACGGACCTCCGGAACGAATTAAGTACTTAACCTGAGGTACCACTGTATAAACAAAGGGTCCAGGTCGGCTTATATGGAGAGAGGTGGTCCTTGAGGTACAGTCATACCTCATGTTATGTTTGCTTCATGTTACGTTTTTTCAGGTTGCGTCCTGCGGTGACCCGGAAGTACCAGAAAGGGTTACTTCTGGGTTTTGCCGCTCGCGTATGCACACAAGCGCTAAATCGTGCCACGCACTTGCGCAGATACGGCGCTTCAGGTTGTGGGCTTTTCATGTTGCAAACAGGCCTCCGGAACAGATCCTGTTCGCAACCAGAGGTACCACTGTATTGCGGTCCTAAGTCATTTTATGTCAAACATGCATAAAATCCAAGTTATAACACAAAAATAGACTTCAGACCCCTGAAACCAAAAGGTGAGGTGTCTTACGATTTCATAAGCTTCGTATTTCAAAGAAGCAGCCAAGTTAGAAAATAAAAAACTCGTTAGCTGTTCATTTCTTTGAAAACACTCCAGCGCAGCCACAAAAAAATAAGTTTCTTTCTGCTGGCTCACAGAGAAAAGTATTTGGTTATCAAAATATAAAAGAGTCATGCAGAGGGAAGTTCCCAGGCTGGTTCTATGAGAAATTTAGAAGTATGGGTTTCTCTTCCTTTCACACACACTTGTTAAAAAAGAACCTTAAATGACACTTTTTGCCTCTTCCTCCCACCAAAAAGTATATGCATTCAAGTCTGTGAATGATTTAACATTCAAAATTTTACTGCTCACCATGTGCTTGAGGTATTTACCTGATGTATAGCTAGGCCCATGCAGTCCAATATCTTTTGTGGCATATCTCTTAATTCAGAAGCAAAATCAGGCATTGATTCCATTAATTCTGTATCATGTGCCAGCTCTTTATAATCCACAAGAATACTTCCTTTTCTTTCTATTTCATCCTATAGAAGAGAACTGTGTGAATTTGTCGCAGTATTTTCAAAGGCTTGTCTGAATTGTTTTCAGAAAGACCACCAACACGGGATATGAGTGAGGGGTGTGAGAGCAAGAGGTTTAGCACATAAAGATCCTGTCAGAACAAGGAAGCAGACAATAACTTGTTCAGCTCCCCTCCAGTCCTGAAATTGTATTGATTGCTAATAAAGTTTGCTAATTGATTGCACACATATTAATAATAATTGATAGAAGCCTCACTTTATGCCCACCAAGGCCTTCATGACACATAATAAAATCATAAATGCATCCTTAAAATATACATTTGAACACTATAAAACTTAGTAAGGACTCAGTCAGCAGCAAGGATCCAGACAGACCACAACCTCCACATCTGACAGTACAGGGTTTTACATATCTTCTAAAGGCCACTGCAGAACTTGTTCAGAAAGTCATCACCATGGAAAATATTACTACTTGTGGTTGTGATGGAAGCCTCAGAAGGGAAAGGTATCCAAAACAAGGTATCATTTAGAAACTTGGACTACTGCAATGCGCTCTACATGGGGCTACCTTTGAAGGTGACCTGGAAACTACAACTAATCCAGAATGCGGCAGCTAGACTGGTGATTGGGAGTGGCCTCCGAGACCTCATAACACTGGTCTTAAAAGACCTACAATGGCTCCCAGTATGTTTTCGAGCACAATTCAAAGTGCTGGTGCTGACCTTTAAATCCCTGAACTGCCTCGGCCCAGTATACCTGAAGGAGCGTCTCCAGCCCCATCGTTCAGCCCAGACACTGAGGTCCAGCTCCGAGGGCCTTCTGGCAGTTCCCTCCCTATGAGAAGTGAGGTTACAGGGAACCAGGCAGAGGGCCTTCTCGGCAGTGGCGCCTGCCCTGTGGAACATCCTCCCTTCAGATGTCAGGGAAATAAACAACTATCTGACTTTTAGAAGACATCTGAAGGCAGCCTTGTTTAGGGAAGCTTTTAATGTTTGATGTATTTATTGTGTTTTTAATATTCTATTGGGAGCCCCCCAGAGTGGCTGGGAAGACCCAGCCAGATGGGCAGGATATAAATAATAAATTATCATTATCATTATTATTACAGATTATAAAATAGATTATATTATTACAGATTATAAGATAGTGGAAGGTGGGGATAAGAGATAAGGAATGAGAAAGAGATCACATTATGAAGACTTACCTTATCATAAAGCTCTATTCGAGACACAAAAAATTTCTCAAATGCTTCAATCTTCTGAACAAAAGGGGAGTTGTCATCATATGCTGAATTGGACAATTTTCATTAGTTATTTAACATTTGTGCTGCAGCTTTTAAACATCTTGCTTAGAATTCAAAAAACACAATTTCTCTATTAGAAATTACATTTCCTCAAATGCCATCCTAAAATAACTGGGCACAAACCAGCTCATTCTTTCTGGATTTTCTTCATAGTACACAAACATATGCTTAGTTTAAATGACAAGGAAGCTGTTGAGCAAGTAGCATTCATGAGGGAAATGAAAAATATCTGGTCACACTGGAACCACCATATAAAAAAGGGTTGTTTGCATACTGACTTACTGAACACAGCTCACATAAACCATTTATTTATATAGCACCATAAACATTCATAGTGCTTTACATACAAAGTGACAAGATGATAAACTACTAGCAAATATGTACAAGTAAGCTCATTAACTTCAAATTGTCCTTTTTGCGTAAGCATGTATTTTATAACATACAGTATCAAGGATTTGGCTTCATCAGGCATTGAGTTAAAGAGGAGAATTAAATACAAGCCAAAATGTTATTCTATTCTCAAGCCATCAAGTCAGTTCTGTATATATCTACAGAAAAAGCTTACCTTCAGAGAAATATAGTTTCCAGCCTCTGTAAGTAGGAATCTGATCCAGAGTCATCTGAATGAACTGAGGCAGAGCTGAAAAGCATTTCCCAAGAAAGTTAGTGATATTAGTCAATTTTCAGTTCTCAATTTTTCATAGATATATCTGCCTACATATGCTGCTTTTAACTGATGTCTGCAATATATTACTGTATAATATCATTTTCATTAAATATTTAAATATATAGCAATATAGAAAGATCCACAAAAATGCAATAGCAAAAGGTAAATACACAAAACAAGAACAATCATTACAAATGTCCCTGTTCTGTCCACAGGGTCATATTTACCAAATGACATTTATGCCTTCTTTCCTAGCATACCCTGTGGAATAAGAAACTGGCTCTGCCTGTAATATTTCATAATGTTTTATGCAGTTTTATTGTTTAAAGGCTCACTGGGCTCCCCTTAGGAAGGCAGGACAGGCTATAAATTTATAAATTCAAAGCAATAGATAAAATACAGTTTAGAACAAAGTTATTTTTTAAAAGATAATAGTTGCTCATACAGTACACAGAGGCAACATTTGCAAGGGGTTCAGATTTTAAAACTTCCCTCCATCTTAAGACCACGATATGGCAACCCCAAGCTCCAGGCCTTGCATTATATTATCACAGGACACATTTTCTTTATGCTATTCTTCCAACAACAAACACATTCCTTTAAAAAATAATAATACAAAAGCAAATCATGTTGTGGAATTAACATACCAGACTCTGACTTCCCAGCACTTTTCCCTTCTCCTCTCTGTCCACGTCCTTTTCCTCTCCCTTGCCATGCTCCTCTTCCTCGCCATCTCTGAAAGCCACCTCTTCCTCGCCCAGAACCTTTTCCTCTGGGTTCACTGCTCATCTCAGCACTCTTAAGCGACCTGAAACCAGAGTTAAACCAAAGGACGTTGCTTTCAATTCATGTGTGGCAAGTAACATTACACCTTGCAAGTAATCCATATATGAAATGAAATGATGACCACTTCTTGTAGGTAAAACGCTTGGAGTGAGCTAGCATGGAAATCTAATGATCCAATGCACAGTGAGTAGAGAAGACACTTAGGTTGCAATCCTATGCAAATGTCAGAGTAAGTCCCATTGAACATAAGGAAATTTTCTTTTGAATCAATATACATTAATTACAAAATAGGCACCACTACCTACTGAAGACATTTTCATTTATGAAGGTGCAACCTATGGTACAATTATATATCTGAAAAAAATTGCTTTTTTAAAGAGTTTGTTTACATGATTATTGTTTGAAAGAATCTGCATTTTAGCCTGTTTCTGTGCTGAGCATCACTTTGAAGGCATTAAGCTGTGAAGCAGCCTATACATTTGTTTAAAAATAATGATAATAAATACTTAGCAGCAAAGGGATTTTAAAAAGACACTCCACAGATAACAGCAGTACTGTACACTGGATAGGATACCTTGCATCCCTGAGCCACAAATGCTCTCATTTGAGCCAGAGTTAGACATTATGCAGTTCTCAAGCATGGCCAGCCTATAATGTGGCCTACACCCATTCAGACTACAGTACAGGTACTACATGTTCATAAAATCATAGAGTTGAAAGGGACCTCTAGGGTCATCTAGTCCAACCCTCTTTAACCAATAACAACCACCATCATCTCTTCTCATAGAAATCTAGCATGTCAGGGAGATATACCTCATTTTCATTACCAACACCCTCACCCAGGGCCGGATTTAGGTTTGATGAGGCCCTAAGCTACTGAAGGTAATGGGGCCCTTTATATGTCCAGCTGTCCTTTGTCAGGAACAAACTGTCGCTGTTTTTTGTGTTAAATATATGTTATATGGTAATTTATGGACCTAATAGGTATCTAAAGCCATTTGCACATAACAAAATATGCATTTTATCAAAGTAATTATAATTCTAGAAAGTCCGTTTCAGATCGTATGCTTTTCAAATAGTTTAATTGCAACCCGAGAGATTTCTTTACACTCTCTTTATATGTTTCTTCTGTTCTTCTGTCTTCCCTTTACTTTTGTGGTAGCGTTGTTCCCCCTCTGCTATTTTTACTCTTTATTTTGCTTTGGTTTTACTCACTCCGCGAGGGGGTTTTTCCCCCTCCTGAGTTCCCCGTTTTTCTCCTTGTCTTATTTCCCTTTGTGTTTTGTTGCTGCTGCTACCACTTTACGTTTATTTTGATATAGAAATAGAGATTTTACCGTCTTGTCACTGCTTCAGTGATGTCTATATGGTAATTTATGGACTAATAGGTATCTAAAGCCATTTGCACATAACGAAACATGTATTTTATCAAAGTAATTGTTGAACTGAAATACAATTAAGAAGTATATTAATAGTGAATTTGGGGGGGGGGGGCTAAAAGAGTGGGGCCCTGAGCTATAGCTTGTTTAGCTTATACATAAATCCGGCACTGCCCACCCCACACCCACCTGCCGCCTGGTGTGGGGCAACCCCAGAGCTGAAAGCAGCAGCTGCTCACCAAACCCCTTTCCGGCCCGTCCACTCCTTCTTCCCCCAGGCAGCTTCCGCTCTTCGAATTTTGGCGCGCGCTTGACGCGTCACCTTCGTCGCCAGGCCGTCCGAAGACCAATGAAAGGCGCGCGCGCGCTCCGGTTTCTACGTCACCCAACGCGCCGGGCTTTTAGAAAGCCCCTGAAAGGCGGCTGCCCGGTTGCTATGGGAACCGCCTCCCTTTCCCTAAAGGGAGACGGCTTCTGCGCCTGCGCGTCCCCAAAGGGAGAGAAGCCTTTAACTTGGCGGGGAACGGGGGAACGAGGCAGAGGCTGGGCTTCCGGTTCCCCGCGCGCAGCTTGATTTCAGACGCCTTTGCCCCATAGGAAACGACGGAGGGAGGTCCAGGGCTGGAGCCGAGCTGCGTCTGGGCAGCAGCCTTTCTTGCCTCTTCTCACCCCCCTGGGAAATGGGGCGAGGGGAACGGTAGGGGGAGGGGAGACTGCAGAAGCAAAGAGAAGGGGGACTTGCTGCTCTTTTCTTAAGTCCTATTCCTATCTGGCGTGGTTCGTTTTACTTCGCTTAAAAAAGAAAATCCAAATTGAATGGGTTGCCATGGGTTCAACCTTTTACAAAACAGGGTTTCTTGGCTAGTGAAATAAAAAAATTAAGAAGGTCTTTTATATATATATATATATATACACACATATATATATTATTATTATTAATAATAATAATAATAATAATATCTTTATTGTCATTGCCCCCTTCGGGGACAACGAAATTACTTGACTGCTCCATAAAAACACTAATGAATCAATACAGTATAATACAGCAAGGGAGATTAGATGACTTTCAAAGTCCGGGCTTCCCATTCAGGGCCGAGATCGCTCTGGAGAAGAAGCTGTTCTTAAGACGGCTCGTTCTTGTCTTCATCGTCCTGTATCTCCGTCCCGACGGCAAGAGCTCGAAGAGACAGTGACCAGGATGCGATGGATCTTTGACTATGTCCAGTGCCTTCCTATGGCACCTTGTGGCATAAATCTGCTCTAAGGTGGAGAGTGGGCAGCCAACAATGCTCTCTGCTGCCTTAACAACCCTGCACAACCCCATCCTGTCCTGGGTAGTACAGCTTCCGTACCACACACATAAGCCATAAGTGAGCATGCTCTAAATGTTCATAACTGCATATACAGTGGTACTTCTGGTTATGTACTTAATTCGTTCCGGAGGTCCGTTCTTAACCTGAAACTGTTCTTAACCAGCTTAACTGAAGCACCACTTTAGCTAATGGGGCCTCCTGCTGCCGCTGGAGCACGATTTCTGTTCTTATCCTGAAGCATTATTTCTGGGTCTGTAACCTGAAGCGTATGTAACCTGGGAAACCGGAACGGTAGGGGGAGGGCAGACGGCAGAAGCAAAGAGATGGGGGACTTGCTGCTCTTAAGTCCTATTCCTGTTTGGTGTGGTTCGTTGTACTTTGCTTAAAAAAGAAAACCCAAATTGCACGGTTTGCAAGAAATGGGTTGCACTGGCGTTGGCGGGACATTTTAAAAATGTGTGCGTGCCCATGCCCCGTGTACCGCATGCCATGGGGACAACATTTTACAACACAGGGTTTCTTGGCTAGATTTAGGAAGGGTCATCACACTTTTATAGCAGGTGGCCGGTCTGCTGTCCCTCAGACCTGGGGGGAGGGGGCGGACTATATTTTGAAAAAATAATAATGAACGAATTCCTATGCCCCACAAATATTTTTTTTAAAAAAATTAAAAATATTAGGGATTTCAACATACCAATTTATCAAAAATACATTATCCACATCCCCCCCCTTTTCCCCTTCCCCCCCTAAAAAAGAAAAAACCCACCCTCTAACTCCCCCACCCCAGACTTCCCTCAGCTCCTCTTGGTTTCTCAGCACATGTTATTCTCTGCATGTTATAAAATTGCAAAGATCCTCAATTTATCTATATGTTACCAATAAAAAATTTGTGTTTATTCAAAACCTGCCAAGGAGTCCAGTTCATTTTGTTACTTCTTTAAATACTTCGTAAAAGGTTCCCATTCTTCTTTAAAGTCACAGTTATCCTTGTCACGTAGTTTATGTGTCAATTTCACCAATTCTGCATAGTCCATCAATTTCTCTTGCCACAGTTCTTTAGTCGGGATTTCCTCATTCTTCCATCCTTGTGCTATTAAGACTCTTGCCGCCGTTGTCGAATACATGAAAATGTTTTTTAATTTCCTTGGCAGGTCTTTTCCTGCAATTCCTAACAAAAAGGCTTCAGGCTTTTTTACAAAGGTTAGTTGGAACATTTTCTTCAACTCATTGTATATCATTTCCCAAACATTTTTAATTTTACTACAATCCACCCGCCCTGTGGAACGCCCTCCCACCAGATGTCAAAGAGAAAAACAACTACAGTGGTGCCTCGCAAGACGAAATTAATTCGTTCCGCAAGTCTCTTCGTCTTGCGAGTTTTTCGTCTTGCGATGCACGGTTTCCCATAGGAATGCATTGAAAATCAATTAATGCGTTCCTAGGGAAACCGCCTTCAGACCAGGTCCGGGGACAGTCTGTCCCCGGACCTCTTCTGAAGGCTGGGGGGGGGGGCAAGGGCTTTTCTTCCCACCCCCAGCATTTTAAGATCGCCCGGACAGCGGAGAAGTCCTCCGCTGTCCCGGGCGATCTTAAAATGCTGGCGGGCGGCATTTTAAAATCACCCCGGGACAGCGGAGGACTTCTCCGCTGTCCGGGGCAGTTCAAAGCCCCTGGGAAGGCAGGCAGGGGGACAAAGACTTTGCCCCCGCCAGCCTTCAGAAGAGGTCCTGGACCTCTTCTGAAGGCGGGCGGGGCGAGTCTTGCTCCCCGCCTTCAAAAGCCCTCCGGGACAGGCAGGCAGGGGAGCAAAGACTTCGCCCCCGCCCGCCTTCAGAAGGTCTTCCCTCCCCCCGCCCGGCCGGGCACCGTTCCGAGCCGGGCGGCGGCGGAGGTCTTCCCTCCCCGCCCGGCCCGGAGCACCGTTCCGAGCCGGGCGGCGGCGGAGGTCTTCCCTCCCCCGCCCGGCCCGGAGCACCGTTCCGAGCCGGGCGGCGGCGGCAGGTGTTCCCTCCCCCCGCCCGGCCCGGAGCACCGTTCCGAGCCGGGCAGAGGCGGAGGTCTTCCCTCCCACCGCCCGGCTCGGAGCACCGTTCCGGAGCCGGGCAGAGGCGGGAGGTCTTCCTCCCCCGCCCGGCCCGGAGCACCGTTCCGAGCCGGGCGGCGGCGGCAGGTGTTCCCTCCCCCCCGCCCCGCATAGGCGCACCCTTCCGAAGCCGGGCGGCGGCGGCAGGTGTTCCCTCCCCCCGCCCGGCTCGGAGGAGCCTTCCGGAGCCCGGCGGCGGCGGGTGGAGGTGTACCCGCCCCGCCCCCCGGCATCGGAGGTGGTGCGAGGACCGTGGGGGAGACGCGCTGCGCGTCCCCGCGGTCCCAGAGAGTTCCCTATGGGCTGTCGTCTTGCGAAGCAAGCCCATAGGGAAATTCGTTTTGCGAAGCGCCTCCAAAACGGAAAACCCTTTCGTCTAGCGGGTTTTCCGTCTTGCGAGGCGTTCGTCTTGCGGGGTACCACTGTATCAAACTTTTAGAAGACATCTGAAGGCAGCCCTGTTTAGGGAAGCTTTTAATGTTTAATAGGTTATTGTATTTTAGTGTTTTATTGGAAGCCGCCCAGAGTGGCTGGGTATAAATAATAATAAAATAATAATAATAATAATAATAATAATAATAATAATAATAATATCACAAAGAGTTGGACACGACTAAACAACAACAAAAGAGCAGCATTAACAAAAGAGCAACTACAAAATAAAAGAGTTAAGTGCCGTTCAGGCGTACACCCCATAGCTGTCAACCGTACCTTATTTGGCGGGAAACTCCCTTATCCCAGCGCCGTGTCCCGCTGCTGTCCCGGATTGATGATGTCCCTTAAATTTCCTTTTTTTTTTTAAATGATATTTATTGAGAAATATTTTTTTTTAATTACAGGGGGGGGGGGGAAACAAGACAAAAAAAAGAAAAAGAAAAACCATCATTCTTCAATTCTCCACTTTCAATACCTTCTTTCCTTGACCTCCTCCTCCTCCCTTTTCCTGTATCCTGATTTATAATAATCGCAGCAAATCCTTTCCATAATTCATAATATTCTGTCCTCACATTACCTTAATCTATTTTCATCTTATCTTATATATATATAAAAAAAATTAGAACGTAAATCTTAATTTTTACCAACTTCTCCTAACCATAACATTCTTACCTAATTCTTTAGACATTTTTATAAGAGCCAAATAATTTCATTTCAACATTTTCCTAACATTCATCAATTTTATAAAACAGTCCTAATGATAAAAATAGAAGCTTAAGCAATCCAATCTTCATCCAGCGTCCCTTCCTCCTGGTCCCGGGTTTTGTCAGTCCTTTTTGTCCTGTTAATCTAGCACATTAACCTGGCAATCTTATATCCAAAGCCCTCAAGTCTCTTCCATGTCCCTTCCGCAGCTCTTCTTCATATTTTCTTTTTATTCGTGGGAACTCCAGCTCGTGGGAACTCCAGCTGATGATGTCCCTTAAATTTCCCAGGTTTCATGCTCGTGCGGCTCAGGAGGGAAGCAGCGGCTTGGGGTCCTCCGCCTTCAGAGAGCAAGAGAGTGTGCCTCTCCCTTTCCCCCCTCAGGGGTGCGTTGTGAGGAGACGGGTGGCAGCGGGCGGGCAGGCAGCCCCTCTCTTGCGAGACTTCCGCCACGCTGCCAGGGGAAGCCGGAGGCAGCAGCGGCTGCGGCGGCTGAGGAGGTGGCCTGAGGGAGGAGGAAGAGGAGGGGATGGGGAGGGATGCAGAAGGGCGGTGCTTCAGCGGCCGCAGCGGCGCCGCAACCGCCTCATGCCGGGCTTGCAGGCGGCGTGGGCGAGAGTCACTCTCCCTCCCTGCCTCTCTCTTGGGCGGGGAAGGGCCGATGGAACTCCTTGCCCCAGGACAACGGCAGCCCCGACGTGCTGCTTAGCATACCCTCCAACCAGTGCAGCATCTTAATGTAGTGATTTCCCCCTCTGCATCCCTTTCATGACTCTATTTTTATACAGTGGTGCCTCGCAAGACGAAATTAATCCGTTCCGCGAGTCTCTTCGTCTTGCGGTTTTTTCGTCTTGCGAAGCACGGCTATTAGCGGCTTAGCGGCTATTAGCGGCTTAGCGGCTATTAACGGCTTAGCAGCTTTAAGAAAAAGGAAACAAACTCGCAAGAACTCGCAAGACGTTTTGTCTTGCGAAGCAAGCCCATAGGGAAATTCGTCTTGCGGAACGACTCAAAAAACGGAAAACTCTTTCGTCTTGCGCGTTTTTCGTCTTGCGAGGCATTCGTCTTGCGAGGTACCACTGTAAATCATTTGTCCATCCATAGTTCAAATTTTTACTACACGTTTTCTGTCAATCCTACCAATGTATGTAACTCTTTACAATAGCTTTTCCAATAAATTATAAACTTTCCCCTTTCTTTATTAAAGAGGTCCTCTTCCTGGTTTCTAATTCTGCCTGTAAGCTTTGTCATCTCGACGTCATACATCAGTTTTGTCTGCCACTCTTCTTTGGTCGGAGTTGTAGACCCTTAGGATCATCTAGTCCAACCCCCTGCAAAACACAGTCAGTCGCAGCCAAAGCAGCCTGGCTCCATCAGTGCTGGATTCATGTATAAGCTAAGCAAAATCCCTTATTTTGGCTGCTGGTCCCTTCTTTTCGAGGCTGCTGGTCCCTTATTTTCAACTCTGTAAGTTGTTTTTTTGTTTTTGCTTTTACATTTTTAATTGATATGCACGACTCTTATGCAAAACTTGAATAAACTTCTGTCGTAAGTGTATCTTGTGTGCACCCTGTGTGTCGTGGGAAAGGCTGAATCACAAGTCCGTTTGTCACATAGCCCATTGCAAGTGTGGTAGCTGTGATCTTGTCCTTTGTAGCCCTTTTGGGGGGGTGGGAATATTTCTTTAATGATTAGCTTAACTTTCTGTAAAGAGTTCATTACACAAAACCATAAAACATTAGCATTGTCTTGTCACTGACTAAAAGTTAGCATGCAAAAAGAGTAAATGTATTTAGAAATATGGTATGTGCCCTAGCAGTTCCAAAGAGCCTAGGTAAACTTTTCTCCATTTAAACGTAATTTGTGCAACTTTAGAATGCTTGGCCTTTGTTCTAGTTAAACATAGTTCCACAAAACATACCATCTCTAAAAATAAAAGCATATATTTACCAATGCTTTTTCTATGCAATAATCTAGTCACCTTCTGTGTTTCAGTTTTTTTATTTAAAAAAGAGAGAGGACTTGAAAAGGACATGACCCTATTGCAATTAAGCACTTTTAAGACTACGGCTCTGTGCATGTATACTTGGTTCTATTGAACACAGGGAGACATACTCCTAAGTCAACTTGCATACAATTGTACAGCAATTCAACCCTGTAAGTTGACAGCCTCTCCGCGCCCTCATTCCACCCTGTTCCATTTCCATTGCATAAAATTCACGTGATAGCTATGAACAGAATTGCTGTTCATATTGCAGATTTCCAGGGAATTGGAAACGGGAGCGCAGGCTCCGCGCTTCCATCTCGCCTTTGAGACTCCCTCCCCGGGTTTGCGAGGGGAGGAGCTCTGCCGATGCGCCTTCTTTCCTCGCCCCCGTTTCGGAGACGCGCTGCTTCCCCATTGGAAACAGGGAAGCGGGGCGAGGCTCCCGCTTCCGATCCGGCGCCTTGGCCGCTTTGGGGCGGAAGGCAGGCAGGCAGGCAGGGAGGAGGCGTGTCTCGCGTCGCCATGGAGGGGAGTCCGGAGCCGGCTTCCCCCGGCGTGATCCGCGAGGGGGACTTCGCCGTCCTCAAGCGCGACGAGGTCTTCAAGGCGGTGGCGGTGGCCAGGCGGAGGTGAGGGCGCGCCCGCCGGGAGACCCGCTCGCTTCTCGGCGACCATCTCCCGCTTGAAACACGTGGGGAGGCGGGGGAGGCGAAAGGGAAATTACGGGATCGGGGGGTGGAGGGGCACCCGGGGGTCATCTAGGCCAACCCCCCGCCATCCAGGAGTTCCTTGGGAGGGGTCCCGAGGGTAATCTAGTTCAACCCCCTGCCACGCAGGAGACTTTGGGGGGGCCATGGGGTCATCTAGGCCAGCCCCCGCCATGCAGGAGTCTTTGGGGGGATCATGGGGTCATCTAGGCCAGCCCCCGCCATGCAGGAGTCTTTGGGGGGACCGTGGGGTCATCTAGGCCAGCCCCCTGCCACGCAGGAGACTTTGGGGGGACCGTGGGGTCATCTAGGCCAGCCCCCGCCATGCAGGAGTCTTTTGGGGGGGACCGTGCGGTCATCTAGGCCAGCCCCCGCCATGCAGGAGTCTTTGGGGGGACCGTGGGGTCATCTAGGCCAGCCCCCGCCATGCAGGAGTCTTTGGGTGGGCCATGGGGTCATCTAGGCCAGCCCCCGCCATGCAGGAGTCTTTTGGGGGGGCCATGGGGTCATCTAGGCCAGCCCCCGCCATGCAGGAGTCTTTTGGGGGGGCCATGGGGTCATCTAGGCCAGCCCCCGCCAGGCCGGAGGCTGGGGGGGATCATGGGGTCATCTAGGCCAGCCCCCGCCATGCAGGAGTCTTTGGGGGGGCCATGGGGTCATCTAGGCCAACCCCCGCCATGCAGGAGTCTTTGGGGGGGCCATGGGGTCATCTAGGCCAGCCCCCGCCATGCAGGAGTCTTTTGGGGGGACCATGGGGTCATCTAGGCCAGCCCCCGCCATGCAGGAGTCTTTGGGGGGACCGTGGGGTCATCTAGGCCAGCCCCCTGCCACGCAGGAGTCTTTGGGGGGGACCATGGGGTCGTCTAGGGCAGCCCCCGCCACGCAGGAGTCTTTGGGGGGGGACCATGGGGTCATCTAGCCCAGCCCCCTGCCGCGCAGGAGTCTTTTGGGGGGACCATGGGGTCATCTAGGCCAGCCCCCGCCACGCAGGAGTCTTTGGGGGGGATCATGGGGTCATCTAGGCCAGCCCCCGCCATGCAGGAGTCTTTTGGGGGGGCCATGGGGTCATCTAGGCCAACCCCCGCCAAGCAGGAGTGTTTGGGGGACCATGGGGTCATCTAGGCCAGCCCCCGCCATGCAGGAGTCTTTGGGGGGATCATGGGGTCATCTAGGCCAGCCCCCGCCATGCAGGAGTCTTTTGGGGGGGCCATGGGGTCATCTAGGCCAGCCCCCGCCATGCAGGAGTCTTTTGGGGGGGCCATGGGGTCATCTAGGCCAGCCCCCGCCATGCAGGAGTCTTGGGGGGCCATGGGGTCATCTAGGCCAGCCCCCGCCATGCAGGAGTCTTTGGGTGGGCCATGGGGTCATCTAGGCCAGCCCCCGCCATGCAGGAGTCTTTTGGGGGGGCCATGGGGTCATCTAGGCCAGCCCCCGCCATGCAGGAGTCTTTTGGGGGGGACCATGGGGTCATCTAGGCCAGCCCCCTGCCGCGCTGGAGTCTTTGGGGGGACCATGGGGTCATCTAGGCCAACCCCTGCCACGCAGGAGTCTTTGGGGGGACCGTGGGGTCGTCTAGGGCAGCCCCCGCCATGCAGGGGTCTTTTGGGGGGGGCCATGGGGTCATCTAGGCCAGCCCCCGCCATGCAGGAGTCTTTTGGGGGGACCATGGGGTCATCTAGGCCAGCCCCTGCCACGCAGGAGTCTTTTGGGGGGGCCATGGGGTCATCTAGGCCAGCCCCCGCCACGCAGGAGTCTTTTGGGGGGGCCATGGGGTCATCTAGGCCAGCCCCCGCCATGCAGGAGTCTTTTGGGGGGACCATGGGGTCATCTAGGCCAGCCCCGGCCACGCAGGAGTCTTTTGGGGGGGGCCATGGGGTCATCTAGGCCAGCCCCCGCCATGCAGGAGTCTTTTGGGGGGGACCGTGCGGTCATCTAGGCCAGCCCCCGCCATGCAGGAGTCTTTGGGGGGACCGTGGGGTCATCTAGGCCAGCCCCCGCCATGCAGGAGTCTTTGGGGGGATCATGGGGTCATCTAGGCCAGCCCCCGCCATGCAGGAGTCTTTGGGGGGGACCATGGGGTCATCTAGGCCAGCCCCCCGCCATGCAGGAGTCTTTGGGGGGACCGTGGGGTCATCTAGGCCAGCCCCCGCCATGCAGGAGTCTTTGGGGGGACCGTGGGGTCATCTAGGCCAGCCCCCGCCATGCAGGAGTCTTTGGGGGGGACCATGGGGTCATCTAGGCCAGCCCCCGCCATGCAGGAGTCTTTTGGGGGGGGCCATGGGGTCATCTAGGCCAGCCCCCGCCATGCAGGAGTCTTTGGGGGGGACCATGGGGTCATCTAGGCCAGCCCCCGCCATGCAGGAGTCTTTGGGGGGGACCATGGGGTCATCTAGGCCAACCCCTGCCACGCAGGAGTCTTTTGGGGGGGCCATGGGGTCATCTAGACCCATGGCCCACGCCACGCAGGCAGTCTTGGGGGCCATGGGGTCAGATCCAGGCCAGCCTCCGCCACGCAGGAGTCTTGGGGGTCGCATGTGGTCAAATGCGTAGGCCATGCCCTCTGCTCATGCATGGAGTCTTTGTGGGGCATAGGTCGTTCATTTTCCCCGCAATGTAGTCAGTCCCCAAGGTCTGAGGACCAGGACCGCCCCTGCCATGCAGGAGTCTTTGGGGGCCATGGGGTCATCTAGGCCAGCCCCTGCCATGCAGGAGTCTTTGGGGGTGACCATGGGGTCATCCACACCAATCCCTGCCACGCAGGAGTCTTGGGGGGGACCATGGGGTCATCCAGGCCAGCCGCCGCCACGCAGGAGTCTTGGGGGCCATGGGGTCATCTAGGCCAGCCCCCGCCACGCAGGAGTCTTGGGGGGGGGCCATGGGGTCATCTAGGCCAGCCCCCGCCACGCAGGAGTCTTGGGGGGGGGGCCATGGGGTCATCTAGGCCAGCCCCCGCCATGCAGGAGTCTTTGGGGGGGACCATGGGGTCATCTAGGCCAACCCCCTGCCATGCAGGAGTCTTTGGGGGGGACCATGGGGTCATCTAGGCCAACCCCCTGCCATGCAGGAGTCTTTGGGGGGGATCCTGGGGTCATGTAGGCCAGCCCCCGCCACGCAGGAGTCTTTTGGGGGGGACCATGGGGTCATCTAGGCCAGCCCCAGTCCATTTGCCTCCGCAATCCGGCCCACAGATGGTCCGGGAATCAGCGTGTTTTTACATAAATAGAATGTGCGCTTTTATTTAAAACGCATATTTGGGTTATTTGTGGGGCGTAGGAATTCGCTCCTTTATTCCCCTTCAAAATATAGTCTGGCCCCCCACAAGGTATGAGGGACTGTGGACCGGCCCCCTGCTGAAAAAGTTTGCTGACCCCTGATCTAGACCAACCCCCTGCCACACAGGAGTTCGTTGGGAGGCCCCCGTGGGTCATCTAGACCAACCCCCTGCCAAGCAGGAGTTCTTTGGGAGGGTCCCTAGGGACCCCCTGCCACACAGGAATCTTTTGCCCAACCTGCGGCATGAACTTACCACCCTGAGGTTTAAGAGTCTCAGGCTTGTCCGGCATTGCGTTTCCCCTGGGTTTTATTTTTATTTTTTTTCCCAAAAAAATTATTGATTTTCCGAATTTATAAACAAACATAAATGCTACCTTTAATTATTCCACTATTATTAACATTGTTAAGTGACTTCCTCAAATCCCCCTGGCTGAATTCCAATGTATATCATTGTAAGAGTTTTCCAAAACTAATTTCTAATGAGATTTATTTAGTCATTTAAACTTCTTTCTTTCTTTTCATATTAACTTTAAACATATTGATTTATAACATCACATATTTAAATCCCAAGCCAATCTGGTACTTGCAAGTATTTCTATTTAAGTTATCTTAGCATATTTAGCTAAACATTTAGCAGTTGGTCCCTTACCTTTCCCGCCCCAACTTGGCCACAGTGATCCATGCGACGGTCACCTCCAGGCTTGACTACTGTAATTCGCTCTACGCGGGGCTGCCCTTGAAGCTGTCCCAGAAACTTCAGCGGGTGCAGAATGCTGCAGCGAGGCTCCTCACGGGGTCTCTGCCATGGGAGCATATTCACCCAGTGCTTTTCCAGTTGCACTGGCTCCCGGTGGCATATTGGGTCAGGTTTAAGGTGCTGGTTTTGACCTTTAAAGCCCTTCACGGCCTAGGACCCTCGTACCTACGGGACTGCCTCTCCCAGTATGCCCCACGGAGAGCCTCAAGGTCCATAAATAGCAACACCCTAGAGGCCCCAGGCCCTAAGGAAGTTAGATTGGCTTCAACCAGAGCCAGGGCCTTTTCAACACTGGCTCCGACCTGGTGGAACGCTCTGTCTCATGAGACCAGGGCCCTGCGGGATCTGATTTCTTTCCGCAGGGCCTGTAAGACAGAGTTGTTCCGCCTGGCCTTTGGCTTGGAGTCAATTTGATTCCCTTCCCCTCTTTCTTTTTTCTTTTTCCTTTCTCCTCCTGTGATGAGGCTGCATTTTAATATTTCAATGTTTCCATATTTTAATGTTGTAATTTAATCTAGTTTTTAAGTTGTATTCATTCAACTTGTTTTTATTATTACTTGTTAGCCGCCCTGAGCCTGGCCCTGGCTGGGGAGGGCGGGGTATAAATAAAATTTATTATTATTATTATTAAATAGTATTTAAATTTCATCCATTCCTTTCCCCTGGGTTTTAGAGCCCCACTGTAGCTAGCAGCTACAGGCCATGCAACAGAGAAGGGGAACCCGTAAAGCAAACCCACACGCCACCTTTTTTCCATGCCACCCCCCCCCCGGTTGTATCTTTTCTGGCAGCAGTATTGCGGGGCCTACCTAATAACGTCAGCCGCAGCACCCGTGGCTTATTCGTGTGCTCATTTCCTGATGGTGGTGCATGTCAACATCTGCCAGCAGTTACCATAGCATAAGTAGGCCAACCCCTTCTGGAGATAATACATCGTAGAATTGTAGTGTTGGAAGACAACCTCAATGGTAATCTAGGGTAACCTTTGATGCAGGAATCCTAGTGCCATACCTGTCAACCGTCCCTTATTTGGCGGGAAAGTCCCTTATCCCAGCACTGTGTCCCACTGCTGTCTCGGATTGATCATGTCCCGTAAATTTCCCGGGTTTCAAAGGAAGCAGCTCCTCTCCCTCCCTCCCTGCCGGCCAGGAAGGAGGGAGGCTCCAACTGTGTTGCTTGGCTGCGTTGCTCACCCAATAAGGAGTCTAAGAATGACTGTGCCTTGTGCTGATCAAATCGGCCGCATTGCCTGGGGACTCGCCTTTGCTCAGCGCTTCCCAGCAGAGGGGTGACAGTGGTTTTCCTTGCTGCATCCCCTTTGCCGGGTTGCTGCGCTGTGGGAACCACCGCTTGAGGCTTTGTTTGGCTGCTGGCTGGGCTTTCTGCCTTTGGCTCGGAGGGGCTCAGAAGTTGAACATACCTGTGCTTGGAAAATCCCTTATTTTGGCTGCTGATCCCTTATTTTCGAGGCTGCTGGTCCCTTATTTTCAAATCTGTAAGTTGACAGCTATGCCTAGTGCCCACAGCTGTCCCTGGTTGGGCTCAAACCACCAGCCTTCTGGTTCACAACCAGTTGCACCGCAGAAATGAATTGGTGGGTGCAAACGGCAACATTCATAAGCAAATAGGGAAACTTCAGCGTCCCAAGGGGCTCTGCTACTGATCTTAAGGTGGACCTGCTTTATTTTATTTAACAAACTTTATATCTCTTGGTTGTAAATCAGGCCTCTAAGCAAATTTTATTTGTTTTTGCCGCAATGGTTTAACAAACACGGCAAGCCACTCTGGAATTTATAAGTGCGCGTAGTGCTTTGCAGAGTAATGAGCAAACAAGACTGGTTCCTGCCCCAAGGATCTTACAATTTAAAAATTGACACAGGCAGAGGAAGGGAGGTTAAACAGGGCAGATTTGCATTCCACATCTAGGGCGAAAGTGAGAAAGTCAGGATTCTCGTGTAACTGTTCTTTTGAGAAAAGTGATACAGTGGTACCTCGGGTTACAGATGCTTCAGGTTACATACGCTTCAGGTTACAGACTCCGCTAACCCAGAAATAGTACCTCGGGTTAAGAACTTTGCTTCAGGATGAGAACAGAAATCGTGCTCCGGTGGCGCAGCAGCAGCAGGAGGCCCCATTAGCTAAAGTGGTGCTTCAGGTTAAGAACAGTTTCAGGTTAAGAACAAACCTCCAGAACGAATTAAGTACTTAACCCGAGGTACCGCCGTATTAGTATTGCAAGTCAGAGGCAGAGCTGAGGCTGTTTGAGATTTTCAGGCTTCTTCTGGTTCCTTCCCAGGCTTAACCAACTACTAATGGACTGGAAAATGAAACTAAATTAACTGTTTTGCTCCTTTGAAGGCATGTCGAAACTGCTAATCTTGTATAGTTCAGGAAATACATCCAGATGCCCGCAAGAAGCTATTCACACTATAACTATCTGCTTACCATATTTTTCCGTGTATAACCCGCCCCCATGTATAAGAGGGCCCCTATTTTTTGGACAGCAAAAAAAATCGGAGGGGGGGCCCCAAATTGAACAAAGTTGTTGAGCTTTGGGGGGGATTGCCCAGAGTTGTAGAGCTTTTGGGGGGCAGGAATTGCCCACAGTTTTTGAGCAAGACAGCCTGCCCGGCACTGCAAATCACACGCATCGCCGCAGCCACCGATCCTGTGCACGCTCACTGCCCAAAGCCCACCTGTACACTCGACGGAAACACAGACGATTGCACGCCTCGACGATGCCGTAAATCTGCTGCCCAATTGCCGCAGTCTCAGCCAAACAGCAGCAGGCCTTGCCAGAGCAACCAATCGCACACCCAATCGCCGCTGCCAATCTCATGCTGCCTGCTGACACAAGTCGCCCGCATCCCCTCTGCTATCCGTGTATAAGGCGACCCACAGATTTTGCCTATTATTTCTAATAATAAAATACAGTGGTACCTCGGGTTAAGTACTTAATTCATTCCGGAGATCCGTTCTTAACCTGAAACTGTGCTTAACCTGAAGCACCACTTTAGCTAATGGGGCCTCCTGCTGCCGCCGCTCTGCCGGAGCACAATTTCTGTTCTCATCCTGAAGCGAAGTACTTAACCCGAGGTAATATTTCTGGGTTAGCAGAGTCTGTAACCTGAAGCGTATGCAACCTGAAGCGTATGTAACCTGAGGTACCACTGTATCATCTTATACACAGAAAAATACGGTACATTTTAATCTGGACTTGAGTGTGTTGCATGTCACATCTACTTAGTTTTTGATTGCTTTTGGAGGTTCGTATCCCAAATCATTTGTTTCCTCTTAGGAAAATCGTATTTGAAAAACAATGGTTCTGTCTGGATAACGCTATTGGGCATATCTATGGAACAACGTTTGAAGTGACCAGCGGCGGGACCCTTCAGCCGAAGAACAGGGTGCAAGAGGCTGCCACAGGTAAGAGAAAAGCAGCAAATAGCTTTGTGGCGTAAAAATTGTATGTACAGTTCTGCGTAATAGTTTTGGCACATCTGACCAATGTGTAGCCTTTGCAGGGTGAGGGCAGAGGTTATCTGCTTGAATTAAATGTTAAGCTTTCAGAGAGGGCTATTTTGTTTTCTTTTAAATATTTGTATAGTACAGTGGTACCTCGGGTTAAGAACTTAATTTGTTCTGGAGGTCCATTCTTAACCTGAAACTGTTCTTAACCTGAGGTACCACTTTAGCTAATGGGGCCTTCCGCTGCCACTGCGCCACCACTGTGCAATTTCTCTTCTCATCATGAAGCAAAGTACTTAACCCGAGGTACTATTTCTGGGTTAGCGGAGTCTGTAACCTGAAGCATCTGTAACCTAAAGCGTCTGTAACCCAAAGTACCACTGTATAGAGTCTGTATAGAGTCTGTATAGATTGATTCAACTCTGCTGTTAGGCAAAAGTGAGGTGGAGGCATCAGTCCAGCTACACTTCAAGCTGAAATAGTCAGGAGGAAGTAAACTAGTTGTCTGATAAAAGATTATGAACGCTTGGGAACTGTCTGTCTGGAGGTAATGTCTGCAACACAGTGGCCCGGCATTTTCCAAGTCACAGGCTCCGACTTAGAGAACTGAATGACCTTATTCCAGTGGGAATAATTCATCTTAATAAGCCAAGATATATTGAACCTCAATCTTGTCCCTTTATGATGTGAAGAATCAAAGCAGGAAGACTCTTAACTAACCATAGTTTCCTGTTTTGTCCCGACTGGGAAACTGTGGCTGACAGTTTTGGAACCCCAGCTTTTATGGCTTTAAAAGTAGCTCTAATAAGACTATTGTTCTGCACATTCCTCCACTGATATTTCACCATTTTATATGTGCTTTTGTTTTCAGAAACGAAAGAAGCAGGTGCCGATAATCGTAATATAGTTGATGATGGAAAGTCTCAAAAACTGACTCATGATGATATAAAGGCTTTGAAGGATAAAGGCATTAAAGGACAGGTAACTAACAATTGTGATTCTCATCCTTCTCTGTTGGTTATCCAGCACACTCTTCTCACTGTGAGATACAACGCTAGACGGTTTGCTTTATCTGATGCATTCTGAGGTTGACGGCAGCCGTGTAGAGTTGTGTCACAAGGCTGGAATCTAAAAGTAGCTTCTTCTGCCTTTTCCCACATACACAGCATTGCTTCCCCACCTTCAAAGACACACGTTTGTAAACCATATTTCTAGGCACTGTAGCTAAAGAAGATGCATTCTAATGTAAAAACAGCATTGGCACAATCCCTCTCCCATCAGTGCACCTCTCTGCCATTATTATTATTACTATTATTATTTACATTTCTATACTGCCCTTCACCTAAAGATCACTGGGTGCTTTACAATAAAGGTAAAGGGACCCCTGACCATTAGGTCCAGTCATGACCGACTCTGGGGTTGCGGCGCTCATCTCGCTTTACTGGCCGAGAGAGCCGGCGTACAGCTTCCAGGTCATGTGGCCAGCACGACTAAGCCGCTTCTGGCGAACCAGAGCAGCGCACAGAAACGTCGTTTACCTTCCCACCGGAGCGGTACCTATTTATCTACTTGCACTTTGATGTGCTTTCAAACTGCTAGGTTGGCAGGAGCAGGGACCGAGCAACGGGAGCTCACCCCTTCGCGGGGATTCGAACTGCCGACCTTCTGATCGGCAAGTCCTAGGCTCTGTGGTTTAACCCACAGCGCCACCCACGCCCCGTGAAACAAATATATGAGATAGACTCATGGCATGCAAAGCAAGATATGTCAAGCCTTTATTTGTTATGATTGTGATGATCACGGCGTACAGCTGATGAAAACCCCAAATTAACAATCTCAGAAAATTAGAATATTAAATGAAATCAGCAAAATAAGGATTTCAAATAGAGCAATAATGGACATATCTCGCTTTGCATGTCATGAGTCTATCTCATATATTACTTTCACCTTTTAAGTTGAATTACTGAAATAAATGAACTTTTCCACGATATTCTAATTTTCCAAGTTTCACCTGTATATGCTACCCAAAACCAGTAATCAACCAAAAGTGCTTGCTTTCATTAGACGTTGCTTGTGTACTCTGGTTTAAATGTGAAAACTTTCTTTTTCTTTTTCAAGTAAGTATAACGTAGGGAGACAATGCTGACACACTTCTCTCTTAAAGGAAATAGTTCAACAATTGATAGAGAACAGCACCACGTTCAGAGACAAGACGGAATTTGCCCAGCATAAATACATCAAGAAAAAGAAAAAAAAGTAAGTTGCAAATTAGAAAGCCAGGAACAGTATATTGTGGCTCACAAATTATCTGTGCTTTAAGTTTAAAACACGATTGCTGTGCTTTGCTTACAGATATGAGGCAGTTATTACAATCGTAAAGCCATCAACGCGTATTCTGTCAACGATGTACTATGGAAGGGAACCAGGAAAAATAAAGTAAGGCTCAATTTATTTCAGTCAAATGGGAAACCTATTGTATTAAACTTAAGAGTCTTCACCTGAAAGAACACAACCTATAATGTTTTGTGAATGCATGTTAAATATCATACATTCTGAACCTGGGTATCAAAATATCTTTTTTCCTTTTCTACAAGAGTAGAACTTAAAAGCTGATGTAGGAGATTTGCTATGTTGGATATGGCTCAGTTTATACTTAACGCCAAGCCAAACCATAGCTTAGCGCAAACAAGCAAATTTAGGTACTCCTGGAGAGAACTTCTTCCTGGTCATTTGGCTCCGACTCTAGCTTTTTGTATTCCTAACATAAAGGAGCTAAGTCAAGAACAGAATCATGGATTAATAACAACTTCAAAGTTTTTGTTTTATCGTGTTTTTAATAAGGTGGGATTTGGCTTAGTGTGTCATCTGAGTCTGGTCTCGTAGTTTACTCCCTCCAGACAAACCATGAGCGGAAACCAAGGTTTGTCCGAACACTGACTACACAGAATAGCAGTTATTTGTGGTGTTTATAGCTTGATTTGTGTTCCTGGTTGCTTCAGCCAGCACATAAGAGAGTAATATTTGTGGCATGTTGGTGGGTGTCTGAATCGTAGCATTGGACGGACCAAAAAAGCAGTTTAGAGCAACTTCATGTTGTGAGTCTGTGAGTCCATTAGCCCCTGAAATGCTAGGATTCAGACATAAAGGAGCTACCGTATTTTGCGCTCCATAGGACGCTCCGGCCCATAGGACGCACCTAGTTTTTTGGGGGGGAAATAAAGAAAAAAATTTTTATTTCCCCCCCAGGTGCGGGGCTGGAAGAACTAGGTCGGGGAACAGCGGGAAGGTGTGCTCTGCCTCCCCGCTGTCCCCCGAGCTTGTGGGGCTGGCGATGGGGAGAAGTGCGCTGATCCTGGGACTGCAGGCAGCTCTGCGCGGCCATCCGGAGCGGGGCGGGACTTCGCGCCCGGCTCCCGGTGGCCGCGCAGAGCTGCGCTGAGCCGGGGACTGCAGGCAGCTCTGCGCGGCCATCCGGAGCGGGGCGGGACTTCGCGCCCGGCTCCCGGTGGCCGCGCAGAGCTGCGCTGAGCCGGGGACTGCAGGCAGCTCTGCGCGGCCATCCGGAGCGGGGTGGGACTTTGCGCCCGGCTCCCGGTGGCCGCGCAGCGCTGCGCTGAGCCCAGGACTGCAGGCAGCTCTGCGCAACCCTTGGAGCCGGTCTCCCTAGGGTTGCGCAGAGCTTCCTGAAGCCTGGAGAGCGAGAGGGGTCAGTGCGCGCCGACCCCTCTCGCTCTCCAGGCTTCAGCGAAAGCCTGCATTCGCCCCATAGGACGCACACACATTTCCCCTTCATTTTTGGAGGGGAAAAAGTGCGTCCTATAGGGCGAAAAATACGGTACGTAATTCAAGAGCAGAATCATGGATTGATAATAACTTTGAGGTTTTGGTTTTATCTTGTTTTTAATATTCTGCTGGGAGCCATCCCAAGTGGCTGGGGCAACCCCGTCACATGGGGTGCGTACAATTAATAAAGCTGTTGTTGTTGTCATGTGCTGATAATAAAGTGAATGTTGTTTTTGCTTTCTCAGCTATCTGCGATACGATACTTTAGCCCAGATGCTGACTTGGGGAAACGTCCGTGCTGGCAATAAGATGATTGTAATGGAAACCTGTGCTGGATTGGTTCTAGGTGCTATAATGGAGCGAATGGGAGGTAAGAATAGCAGGCTGCCTGTAAGCAGAACTTTGTGGTGTTGTTGTTTTGTTTTTGTTTTTTAATGGGAATGTGGAACATTTACATAGTCCTGCTTCTGCGGTAGCATATTTATTTGACCCTTTTTTGAAAACACGAGTCTTATATCATCTTTAGGTCAAAGGCAGCCTTTCTCAACCTGTGGGTCCCCAGATGTTGTTGAACTACAACTCCCATCACCCCTAGCTAGCAAGGCCAGAGCTCAGGGATGATGGGCGTTGTAGTCCAACAACATCTGGGGACCCACAGGTTGAGAACCGCTGGAGTTCAAGCTCAAAAATCACTCTTACAAGTAAGTGTCAGGGACTGGAATGAAGAGGAGGGGGGAGTGGTGGTGGTCACCAGCCCCTTCTCCTGTAGCTGACAGGGAAGAGGGAGGCCGTGTTGAATTACAGCCGAACTATGAGGGAGAGGGTAGCACTGTGGGTTAAACCACAGAGCCTAGGACTTGCCGATCAGAAGGTTGGGGGTTCGAATCCCCGCGATGGGGTGAGCTCCCGTTGCTCGGTCCCTGCTCCTGCCAACCTAGCAGTTCGAAAGCACGTCAAAGTGCAAGTAGATAAATAGGTACCGCTCCGGCGGGAAGGTAAACGGCCAGAAGCAGCTTAGTCATGCTGGCCACATGAACCAGAAGCTGTCGGCCAATAAAGCGAGATGAGCGCCACAACCCCAGAGTCAGTCACGACTGGACCTAATGGTCAGGGGTCCCTTTACCTTTACCTTATGAGGGAGATAACAAGTCAGAGACAGGCGAACGGCCAAGTTATGCAGAGTTAGGAGAAGCAGTGGAGGAGACAGAGCAGCCAGTGGACACTTCATTAGACAGCATAGAATCTCAGTGGTTCTCAACCTGTGGGTCCCCAGATGTTGTTGGACTACAATTCCCATCATCCCTGAGCTCTGGCCTTGCTAGCTAGGGGTGATGGGAGTTGTAGTCCAACAACATCTGGGGACCCACAGGTTGAGAAAGGCTGGATCCACTGTCCCCTAGAACGCGACGTTCGTTAAGGGTGCAAGAGCAACGGACACAGAGGCATTTGACCACGGGGGGCCACCGTAGGGTCAGATGCTGTTGGGAGAGAGGGAAGGTGGGGAGGAGCCACAGTGACCAACTCTATCATGGAGGAAGGACTGAATTATTTGTATACTACCGTTAATGACTGCATAAGTCATAAGCAAGAGCTTTCTTGTTTCTTCCCTGCTTCTTGAAACCATTGGGGGAGGGGAGAATTCATCAAGCCTGACAATGACATTTCTACCAAAATGTAAAGCTCAAAAAAAAAAGTATAAAAATATGAGTTGTTGGAGAACACAAATTCTCTCCTCCCCACCATCTGCCGTTTTATTTTGTCTTGACAACCTCTTTGGCGCAAGCGACTGAAGGGAAATTTTAGAACTTCTATTTTTTCATTATCTCTTGTTATTGACTGCTGGGGGTTGGTCTCTGGTGAATATTTAACCGGTATCTAATGAGCTGCTTTAGATGTGCCTGCTTGGGCCTGTTCAGTGGCATTTTAATTTAAAATAAAAATAAAGTCTTTTCCTGGTCACGTCCAGTGCCTCTGTCAAACTGCTTTTGGAATTCAGCTCCAAAGCAGGTTTGCCACATGGCAGGGTGGAACAGGCAGCCATTTGATGCACGTATCCAGAATCTAACCTTCCTTTTGTGTAATTACCCCAAAGTTGCTTGTGTCCTTAAATACTTGATTTAAAACTGAATGCGCAAAACTGAATGCCCCTGCCTTGAGCAGCAATTGTTTGAATTGATTTGATGTGAAACTTCTGTGAAGTGCTGCTCATGCTGGTGTTTACCGTATTTTTCGCTCTTTAAGACGCACCAGACCACAAGACGCACCTAGTTTTTGGAGGAGGAAAACAAGAAAAAAAATATTCTGAATCTCAGAAGCCAGAAACAGCGAGAGGGATCGCTGTGCAGTGAAAGCAGCAATCCCTCTTGCTGTACTGGCTTCTGTGATAGCTGTGCAGCCTGCATTCGCTCCATAAGACGCACACACATTTCCCCTTACTTTTTAGGAAGGGAAAAGTGAGTCTTATAGAGCAAAAAATACGGTATATTCATGTAAGTCATTTTCTGATAAGCATACACAGGTATGTATCCTGTCCCAGTGCAGGGTGTTTGTTGAAATGACTCTGGTCCATGCTTGCAGGTTATGGATCCATTATTCAGATGTACCCAGGAGGAGGACCTGTTAGAGCAGCCACAAGCTGCTTTGGGTTTCCAGGATCCTTCTTCCAAACGCTGTACGATTTCCCTCTCAGCAAAGTGGACAGTCTTCTCTCCGGTACGTTTTCTTTAAAGAAACTGCCTTTAGAGTCTGAAGAGAATACGGCAGTGGCCGAAGAAAGCAATGGCTCGGTGGATGACAAACCAGTTTCCGTCCAAGAAGCAGACACAGAATGCAGTACTGAGATAGTTGCGGAAGACAGTCAGCCTGAAGAACAAGAAATAATGGACATTCCAACGGAGGGCGACGCATTTGAAGGCAGTAAAGCAAAGGGAACAGTAAGGATCTACTGACTTAACTTTTAGACACTGTCATCAAAGAAATGTTGCCAGTTTGGAATTAATCCAAGTGGTGTTCATCTTTCATTTATTTGAAAGATTTGATGTCCCACCCATGAGTTTTGCAACTTCCAGAGTGATTTACAGTCACTTGAAACCTTAAAACATTTCTCACTCTGTCTAAGGAAGCTTTTAATATCTGAAGGACTATTGTATTTTAATATTTTGTTGGAAGCCGCCCAGAGTGGCTGGGGAAACCCAGCCAGATGGGCGTGGTATAAATAATAAATTATTATTATTATTATCATCATCATCATCCCTGTGGCACCCTATAGCTTCAGTGACTAGTGGAATAGTTACAGTGGAACCTTGATTCTCACACTTCATCCATTCCAAACGTCCGTTTGACTCCCAGAACTGTTTGGAAACCAAGACGCGGCTTCCGATTGGCTGCAGGAGCTTCCTGCACTCAAGCGGAAGCCGTGTCAGATGTTCGGTTCCAAAAAAAACGTTTGAAAATCGGAACACTTACTTCTGGGTTTTCGACGTTCAGGAGCCGATTTGTCCGTCAACTAAGCCATTCGAGAACCAAGGTACCACTGTACTGTGCTCTCTTCATTTGAGACTGATGTCAGTCATCAGGGTCTTTTGATAGAACTCAAAACGTTTTTTGCGATGCCTTTGAGTTTATTTACACTTGCTAGTGTTCAGAATCACCATGCTTATGCACAGCACCAGAATAATGTGATCTTTTAGGTGATCACCAAATCTATCAGTGGATTTTATGGTGTAAAGTCAGCTGTAAGAAAAAGGTAAAGGGACCCCTGACCATTAGGTCCATTCGTGACCGACTCCGGGGTTGCAGCGCTCATCTCGCTTTATTGGCCGAGGGAACGGGCGTACAGCTTCCGGGTCATGCGGCCAGGAGGACTAAGCCGCTTCTGGCGAACCAGAGCAGGGCACTGAAACACTGTTTACCTTCCCGCCGGAGCAGTACCTATTTATCTACTTGCACTGTGACGTGCTTTCGAACTGCAAGGTTGGCAGGAGCAGGGACCGAGCAACGGGAGCTCACCCCGTCACGGGGATTCGAACCGCCGACCTTCTGATCGGCAAGTCCTAGGCTCTCTGGTTTAGCCCACAGCACCACCCACGTCCCAAAGTCAGCTGTAGAGTATGTCAAACAAAGAGCTTAAGCCTTTCTGTGCTAGCTCAACAGATGTTAGGATTAGAGTGTGGAGAAGATCTTTCCAAAGTGCTCCTAATGCACTTTGCGGCTTGCAAAACTTTTGGGAAGTGGTTCAGCTTCACACTCCTAATATAAATTATTTTGAGCTTGGGGGCAAGATATCTACATGTGATGGTCCGCTGAGAGTGCCCCCAGAGGGAAACAGTGAGCATATCTTACTTCCTATAGCACTTCTAGTTTGAATAACCCTTTAAACTTAAAGAACGTAGGCAAAGCAGCCAACAGATGGGTTGTCAGCTGTTTATTTTTTTTCTTCCCAGACACACGACAAACAAAAGAAACAAGAGGAGAGGCAGAAAAAGTTGATAGAAGCTGCAGGTTTATTGAAAGAGAAAAATGCTGATGGGTGAGTTTGAGCACATAACGCTAAATATTCCTGGAAAATTAAGGGCCTTACTTTGTTCCCCAAGTTAAATGTGTGCAAGAACCCAACAAAGCCTAATGGGTCTTTCCTTACAATACCAAGCGTGGCTGAATATTAGTTGTTCACAGTGGTAAGTTGGGTTCTGGTGCCTAGCACTGTCCATCTTGCTCTTTGAACTTCACCTGGTATTGCTCCAGCAGCTTCTTACGACATTTTAAATTCTTTCCTCAATTCTTCAACTCTTTCCTATCAAGGATGATTTAGGATGCCAAAACAAACCATAAAGTAGAATGGGCATAATGAGGATCAAAGATGGGAAGAGACCGAGTAAAAGAGATATTTCTCATTTGGGAAATATAAAGGAAATATTTCTCATTTCCTTTAGTGGTTCAGTTCTACCTAAATCATGTATGCATTAATGACTTAAAAACAACTCATTTCTGAATTATTTTGCTCGTCTTCTGTCCCAGCATAGTGATTGCTAATCTTTGCTGACAATTACAGAAAACTGGGATGAAATGGGATGATTTATTGAAGGCTGTCATGAAATATTGACTCACAGAATTTACCGTATTTTTCGGTCTTTAAGACGCACCAGACCACAAGACGCACCTAGTTTTTGGAGGAGGAAAACAAGAAAAAAAATATTCTGAATCTCAGAAGCCAGAACAGCAAGAGGGATCGCTGTGCAGTGAAAGCAGCAATCCCTCTTGCTGTACTGGCTTCTGTGATAGCTGTGCAGCCTGCATTCGCTCCATAAGACGCACACACATTTCCCCTTACTTTTTAGGAGGGAAAAAGTGAGTCTTATAGAGCAAAAAATACAGTATATTTGAGATCTCTGGACCAGAGCATTAAATGTGTTTTGCTTGGGGAGAAATGTTCCTTTGTAAAACATAAAAATAAAAATAAAACGTTACGTTTTATTACTGTAAAAAATTCAACTCTGAAAATTTACTGAAGTGGACTTAATTAGCTGAGTTTTATCGGCTCCTTCCAGGCTGTATGAGTGACTTGCAGATTTCCACATGTAGGCAAAATGCTTCTGAAAATGAAATCTATTGACTCAACACGGCACTAAAGCCTGCATCTACAACAACATTAATAAAAGGACAATATGCTTCGCCAGATATTGCCTTTCCTTATTTCAGCTTGGTTTGCCCAGGCAAATATGAACAATCTTTTGATCTAACCTGTGTACAACTTTCTGTTGCAGTTTAATTGTTGCCAGTCGATTTCATCCGGTGCCTTTATTACTCTCCTTATTAGAATTTGTTGCTCCCTCAAGGCCTTTTGTTGTCTACTGCCAATATAAAGAGGTGAATCCAATACCTTTTATTTTTATTATCCCTCTGAGTTTTCAGCAAGTTCGTTTAACCAGTTTTTCTTCTCTTAGCCATTAGTGGAATGCTACACGAAACTGAGAGAAAAAGGGGGTGTCATTAATCTGAAACTCTCTGAAACGTGGCTACGAAATTATCAGGTAAGAATTGCACGTATATATGTATCGCCATACATATGGTGGAATGTATGGGAAGCTTAGTATAGAAAAGTGAAAAAGAAAATTGTATCTATTGGCTCTTTCCTTCCCTCTCAATCTCAGCCGCCCAATGGATAAAATAGAGAAATCAAGCATTCTAACATTTAGCTTAGCACCACTCTCAAAAATTCAGTGTTTGTTTTAGCCTAAGTTAACCATGTTAGTGCAAGGCTGCCTTCAGTTCTTGAGTACAGTGATACCTTGGGTTAAGTACTTAATTCGCTCCGGAGGTCTGTTCTTAACCTGAAACTGTTCTTAACCTGAAGCACCACTTTAGCTAATGGGGCCTCCTGCTGCTGCCGCACCGCCAGAGCACGATTTCTGTTCTCATCCTGAAGCAAAGTTCTTAACCTGAAGCACTATTTCTGGGTTAGCGGAGTTTGTAACCTGAAGCGTATGTAACCTGAAGCGTATGTAACCTGAGGTACCACTGTAATTGGGAGTATGAGCAGATACACAAATCACTGTTTAAGTCAACAGTAACTTTTAGTTTTCTGCTAAATAAATATCAACAGGTCACTGGCATCTCTGTATTGGGAGGGTTTTTCTTCATCAGTGCAACTGAGTTAACAGAGTTTTACAGTGTGGGACCAATAGCACAATAGATAATAACTTTGTCTGTGTTTACTTTCACTTTCAAGGAATGGACAAAATATTTCAAAGTATGCAAACCAGGGGTCCTAGGTTTTTTTTAAAAAAGCAGTGGTTAAATGATGCAGCTTCCCCAAGCTCACTTGTTTAGTGACTGACCGCTATTTGATTTTAAACCAGAGTTCCTGATTCCCATACAACACTATGCTGAGAGACTTTGAAATGGAGTAAACACAAGGCAGTGCTGTGCTCTGATTCACTGAGACTCTTCTGAGAAGCACTAAACCATGGCTTAGCATTAGCCCATCACGTTTCCAAAATGGTGCTGACCGTTTTGTGAAACACAAGTGTTAGGGTGGGAATACCGTGGCAGATCTGTTTCTTTGTAGGTGTTAAATGATATAGTATAGGCACATGCATCTCTCCAGAGGTTGCGATCTATTCCCAGTATAAAAAAAACTGGCTGTGATCTACCCATTGTCATGAGTTGTTGAGCTTATTTTGAGGGGCGAAGCCACAGTTGTTGCGCTTTTTTGGGGTCAGGGAGAACACCTTCGCAATCAATCTAGGGCACCTTCGAGATCGACCAGCAGCTCACAATCGACCTGTTGGACATGCCTGATATAGTATACCGTATTTTTCGCTCTATGGGACGCACCATGTTTTAGAGGGGGAGAACAAGAAAAAATAATTCTCCCCCTCTCTGCTCAGCGCCCCTTCAGCGAAGCGGCAGGAGAAACGGAGCCCCTTCCATTTTTTCTCCTGCTTCGCTGAAGGGGCGCTGCGCAGCTCTCCCTCTCTGCTGAAGCCAGGAGAGTCTTGCTCTCTCGGCTTCAGCAAAAGGAACCCGAAGCCTTTGGAGCGCAGCGCGAATTCCCGCTGCGCTCCAAAGGCTTCAGGCAGCTATTCCTGAAGCCTGGAAAGCGAGAGGGGTCGTTGCGCACCGACCCCTCTCGCTCTCCAGGCTTCAGCGAAAGCAACGCGAAGCCTCCGGAGTGCGGAGGGAGCGCTCCCTCTGCGCTTCGGAGGCTTTGCGTTGCTATCGCTGAAGCCAAGGAGCCTGCATTCGCTCCATAGGACGCACACACATTTCCCCTTAATTTTTGGAGGTGAAAGAGTGCGTCCTATAGAGCGAAAAATATGGTAAATATTCATCTGAATCCAGTTAGAACTTAAACCTTGCAGAAAAAAAATACATCGTGCAGCTACTTGAAACTATTACTCGTAATCATGATGGCGTTCCATTTTCTTGCTCTTTGTAAAGGTCTTGCCAGATCGGAGTCACCCCAAATTGATGATGAGCGGCGCCGGCGGGTACCTTCTGACAGGCATCACCGTTATAAATGAGAGTGTAAAATCCGGGGACTGCTCAGGACAGACAGATGAAGAGCCGACATCTAAAAAACGTAAACTTCAAGAGCAGCGTTGACATTTGGAGAAATGCTTGTTTTTCTTGGGGCACCAGATTTAGCCTCATTTTCTATCCCTACCTGTGCTTAAGAGGACAGAGAAACGTACTTTGTCTTGCATTTGCCAACTGTTGCAGAGAAGGTTATCGAGAGAAGGGACTGCATTCGAATCCTATCCAACTCGTACATGGATAGCGCCACAGCTTTAAAACAGTATTACAATGTTCAAACAGTGAAAGACTTCAGGATATAAGAGTCACTCTTCCTGGAGCTGCTGCAAAAATTGACTGAAACTCCAGTCTTGTTTGCCTTCAAAGTTTTGTTTGAATTCGAATCTCTTATTTATACCACCACTTCATTTGTAATCTCACGGCATATTATGTTGTTGGTTAAAAATCCATATCTTTTTTTCCCCCATTTCAAGCCCTTGAAATCAAGATGTTCTTACTAATAAGTGAAATGGATATTACAAAATCATGCAGTTTCATTACGGGTGGGTGAAACAGGATTGAAGCAAGAAAATTGTGTTTTTTATCTCTTGTGGAGACAAGAATTAAGGATCATCATGTTTATGCATTTTAGAGTAACAGTGGGTTTTACCATTTTTACCTACCCAGTGTTAGTCATACACTGAGTAAAGCCATTGAAATTAATGGACATGGCTAGCTGAGGTCCGTTAATTTCAATGGTTCTGCTCTGAGTAGAAACAACGCAATAGTTCATTTTCACTTACTAAGTAACTTTTAAAAAATGAAAGCTGGTTTCCCTCTTCGCCTTTTTAACATGTGATAACTGTATATGGTTATGTAAAGTCTATGATCCGTAAACCTGCATTTCAATAAATTCTTAAGCGGGGGGGGTGTTTCTTACACAAGAATGTGTTGTTTTCTTCTGAGCATGAAAACATAGGTAAGGTAGAAACAAGTTTAGCCAGCTGTATCTATTTTGGAGGATCAGGACAGTAAATAACAGTTAGGAGGGTCCCCAGGCCCTCAGAGGCTAGGGGAGGCGACGACGAAAATAGCTTCTGGTAGCCTCTTCCAGTGCTTTGCCAACTCAGTGAATTGATACTTAAAGGAATATGGAAAGACTTCATGTTCTTGATACGTGGGCATTGAGCCAGCTAAAACCCCTTCCCCTAGCAGACTTGTTTAATTGGATACCAGTCTGGGTGTTTGTGTTTCGGATAAAAGGTAAAGGGACCCCTGACCATTAGGTCCAGTCATGGCCGACTCTGGAGTTGTGGTGCTCATCTTGCTTTAGTGGCTGAGGGAGCCAGCGTACAGCTTCTGGGTCTTGTGGCCAGCATGACTAAGCCGTTTCTGGCAAACCAGAGCAGCGCACTGAAACGCCATTTACCTTCCCACCGGAGTGGTACCTATTTATCTACTTGCACTTTGATGTGCTTTCAAAATGCTAGGTTGGCAGGAGCAGGGACCGAGCAACGGGAGCTCACCCCGTTGCGGGGATTCGAACCGCCGACCTTCTGATCGGCAAGTCCTAGGCTCTGTGGTTTAACCCAGAGCACCACCCGCATCCCTTTGTGTTTTAGATACTTGCCGGCAAAACCTATGACTCAACAGCCGCTAACAGATCTCGGTGGCCAAAGTGAAAAACTCGCTTCGCATGAAGCCAGGTAGTGTATGAAGTGGCGCCATTTTCCACAGCGAATCCCCTTCACCTTGATGGTATTTCCACTGTGCATAGCGCCCTGGCATTCCGCACAGACCCCAGTTAGGCACGGTATGTAGCAAGCAAGCAAGAAAGATGTTCCTGTACAGTGGTGCCTCGCAAGACACCACAGTGGAATTTGCTGCCAAGGAGTGTGGTGAAGTCTCCTTCTTTGGAGGTCTTTAAGCAGAGGCTTGACAACCATATGTCAGGAGTGCTCTGATGGTGTTTCCTGCTTGGCAGGGGGTTGGACTCGATGGCCCTTGTGGTCTCTTCCAACTCTATGATTCTATGATTCTATAAGACGAAATTAATCCGTTCCGCGAGTCTCTTCGTCTTGCGGTTTTTTCGTCTTGCGAAGCACGGCTATTAGTGGCTTTAAGAAAAAGGAAACAAACTCACAAGAACTCGCAAGACGTTTCGTCTTGCGAAGCAAGCCCATAGGGAAATTCGTCTTGCGGAACGACTCAAAAAACGGAAAACTCTTTCGTCTAGCGAGTTTTTCGTCTTGCGAGGCACCACTGTATAGCCCCAAAGCAAATCACGCTTGACTAAGGTTGGCTCCTGAGCCCCATTACGTAATCTGTTTGCCAGAAATGGGGTAGGATAAGGCCTTCCAGATCTTGTCGGAATACAACTCCTGACCACTGACTGCTGCTCAGAACACAGAATGAGTCTTAAGTGGACCAGCATTTCTGATGTACAGTAGGTGGCAGTCGTGGAGTCAGGATGGTGGCAAGCCTGCTGATAAACGTGTAAACGGCTGTGGGAAACATCTGTGCCTCCTTTTGCGAGCTGTCAGAAATCACTTGTGGATCTACCTGCTTTTTTTGTCTTTTTACTCTCCTCCCCATTTTCAGAGTTTTTTTTAAAAAAACATATGCTTCCCTATTCACATCAAATTCCGTTCTACACTAGAGCGCCTCCAGACCGTCAGCGTTATGCAGGCGGCGTCCCTCAAAATTTGACCCAAACCAGAAAATTGCACAACCAAAGCCACATTACAAATATTGACACCAGATATATTGGCCACGATTCTGAAAAGTGTATGCTGAGAAAGAATGAAAACGGCCCATATACTTGCATAATTTAGAATGATAAGGTAAAGGGACCCCTGACCATTAGGTCCAGTCGTGGCCGACTCTGGGGTTGCAGCGCTCATCTGGCTTTATTGGCCGAGGGAGCCAGCGTACAGCTTCCGGGAGGTCATGTGGCCAGCATGACTAAGCCGCTTCTGGCGAACCAGAGCAGCACACGGAAACACTGTTTACCTTCCCGCCGGAGCGGTACCTATTTATCTACTTGCACTTTGACGTGCTTTCGAACTGCTAGGTTGGCAAGAGCAGGGAGCGAGCAACGGGAGCTCACCCTGTCGCAGGGATTCGAACCGCCGACCTTCTGATCAGCAAGTCCTAGGCTCTGTGGTTTAACCCACAGCGCCACCTGTGTCCCTTCTGTGACTTAACATACGTTGGGCAAAAATGGCTGAACCTCAGACTTGATCGATGCAACACTCTGCAAATCATCATGAGACTAACAGAGAAGGCAAGCATGCGGTAATGTGAACAACATACTTTTTATTATTTCAAACTAAGAGACAACATAGTTCTGAAGAACATACACACACAATTATTTCCACAGGCATTTTAAAATGTCTGCCTTGCACACAGGTCTAGAGGCTTAAAATTCATGCTGTTCTGGGCTTCCTAGCGTATTTGGAATAAAGATACTTGGGCCTGTGCAAACCATCACTTAGGTAACTAGTAAACTGCATTTACTTCTTTATTAGGAAGGGAAGGGAAGTAACAGTTGTGGCAGTGACTTTACCAGTAAATATAGTGTACTGTTATACAAAGCTGCCAAATTCATCCTCTCCTGTTACTGTTGAACTTCTCTGCTATCTTCTGCAACTCCAAATCCATAGCAGCCAGATTTTCCAGTTCCTTTTCCTGTGAAGAATGGAAAGAATGCAAATCCTTGTAGGCCAAGATACCACAGGTTTAGATTACTCTGTATTAGGAACACTGGATCATGGTACAAATATTCCTTTGTTCTTTAGCAATCATCGCCTCAAAGGTGTGTTGTCACCCCTCAAGGTGGAAGAAAACTATACCTGGCCATGGCTCGTTTGCACATATTCATTTACTCGCGGTGTGACACCACTATTTTTTCCAGGATCTCTCGGCAGCCTTCAATACCACCCTTTCTTGTAGCAGAAAGAGCCTGATTGCACTGCCTGAAGTGGTTCTGTTCCTACAGAGCTATTCCGCCTGGCCTGTAATTTGAATTCAGACTGATCTTTTATTTCCCTTCTCTTCGCTCCCCCTCCCCTTTTATGAAGATCACCCACTCTAAGACCCCACAGCTAATTCTCCCCTGGCCCCCTTGCTGGCCCAAGTAGGACCAATTCAGCCAGCTAGCCCTGGGGATTATCTAATTGAATTTTGTATACCGTATTTTATGCTGCTTTTATAATTGTTTTAAAGTGTTTTGAATTTGCTGTTAGCCGCCCTGAGCCTGGTTTTTGAACCGGGAAGGGCGGGGTATAAATAAAAAATATTTATTATTATTATTATTATTATTATTATTATTAGCTCTCAGGGAAGCTGAAGAGAAGGTGGTGATTGGGGACAGCTATGCTGCCCCATAGGAGTTTTCCCATAGGGTACTGGTAGGATCCAGCCTCTGCTATTTAACAGCTGCATGGAGCCACCGGGAGAGGCTGTGCAGAGTTGGGTGTCATCAGCATACTGCTGACACCCAACTGTATCTCAGCTTTTCGGATCCTCATGGCATGGCAGAAGGAGGACTGTGCTTCTCTACATACAGCTGAAGGTGGTTATGGGTTGGAGGGAGAGTAGCAAACAAACTCAGCCCAGAGAAAACAGAGATATTAATGGTAGGGTCCAGTTGATATAGGTAAGGGTCAGGGTAAAGGAACTCTGTACAGTTAAGTCCAAAGGTGACTATGGGGTTGCGGTGCTCATCTCGCTTTTCAGGCCGAGAGAGCCGTTGTTTGTCCACAGACAGCTTTCCGGGTCATGTGGCCAGCAGGACTAAACCGCTTCTGGTGCAACAGAACACCATGACTGAAGCCAGAGCGCACAAAAACACCGTTTACCTTCCCGCCACAGGTATACCTATTTATCTACTTGCACTGGTATGCTTTCAAACTGCTAGGTTGGTAGAAGCTGGGACAGAGCAATGAGAGATCACCCCCGTTGCATGGATTCGAACTGCCAACCTCCCAATTGGCAAGCCCAAGTGGCTCAGTGGTTTAGGGATGGGAAAGGTATGACCCGCCAGATGTTGAATTCCATTCAGGAATTGGACTCTATCCATCCAATGGCTGTGGGGGTTTCCTTTCTCTGACCTAGGAGGTGGTGTTTGGCCTGTTCTGGATTGAGTTGTGATCCCCCTGAAAGAGTAGGCCTGCAACCTGAGTCCTCCTGGACCCAACTTTGCCTGAAGGAGTGTCTCCCCCACCCCCATTGTTCAACCCGAACACTGAGGTCCAGCTCTGAGGGTCTTCTGGCGGTTCCCTCATTGCGAGAAGCGAAGTTACAGGGAACCAGGCAGAGGGCCTTCTCGGTGGTGGCACCCGCCCTGTGGAACGCCCTCCAACCAGATGTCAAAGAAATAAATAACTACCGTATCTGACGTTTAGAAGACATCTGAAGGCAGCCCTGTTTAGGGGAAGTTTTTAATGACATGTTTTAATGTATTTTTAATCTTTTGTTGGAAGCCACCCAGAGTGGCTGGGGAAACACAGCCAGATGGGTGGGGTATAAATATTATTATTATTGCCGAATAAAGAATGCAGTTCTTAGCAGCTCCTTGAAGTAGTAGTAGTAGTAGTAATAATAATAATAATATTGTAATATCTTCAAGTGATGATTCTGATCTTTAAAGCCTCAAATTGCCTGGATCGAGGGTTCCTGAAGGAACAACTCTTTCCATATTTCATCTTATGTGGATTAATGGTGGCAGAGGACACCCTTCATGGGGTTCTCTCATTTGTGGAGGTGTTACTGGTGACCAGCTAGATCCCAGACCTTTTCTGGAATCTCTTTGGATCTCCAGTCCAGCTGTCTCTCACTCACTTTCCTGTGGGCACACTGGTTTCTCCTAGACATCAAAGCCAACTTCTTCCCATGAACACCAACATAGGAACGCAATATTGGGCATCACAATGTTCATGCAAGTTCATGTTTTGCAAGTTTGTCCTCCGCACTGATGTGGAGCTACATTAAACCTAAGGACTACATTGGGGTACCAGGGAATTGGTTTTTATTTGTTTTGTCCAATCATCAGAGTTAATCTGCAACTGACCATGCTCATTTCAAAGCTGCAACAACATATTCCATTTCAGGAATGCCTGGCACCTTCCCACCAATTAGGTCAGGTAATTTAGCTTGTGGGTTTTCTCAGGATAGCAATTTTAGTCCTGTGACTCTCTCAGTGCCCTTACAGTCCCTCGGTCGGTAATTTCAGAAAAGCATACTGTACTGTATCATGTAGTACTGAGAGTTGGAATGTGCCACTCATGCAAAATATTTGCAGCCTTGCAGAAGGCTCTGTGGTCAGTTCTGCAAGGGCAAACATCGCAAAGCGCAAAGTATTCTGTCCCATATACTAAAAGGAGATTCTCAGTTCTGAATTAACGGTTCTCCGAAAATCTAGAGTTTATTAAGAAATGTGCTTCTGTTTAAATATCGGGTTGCTCTCAGGGGAAAAGGGATCAGATATCATGCACTACATATAAATCTTCATTACTGCTGAGTGAATCCTGAGATCATGTAGCTGGCAGGAACCCAAAATATGCACCCTACCCAAACACCCGCAATAAATTGGCATAGATTCAGATTACAATAAAGCCAATTACAGCACAGAAGGATACAGTAAGCACCTTAGGAGAAGTTCCCGAGGGCAACTAAGGAAAAACTATAATTGAGGTTGCAATCCTATGTCCACTTACCTGGGAGTAAGTTCCACTCCAAATGGGACTTAGTTTGTAGTCAAAATATATAGGACTGCATTGTAAGGTTATGGGAAACAAGTATTAACTGTGTGTGTGTGTGTGTGTATATATATATATATATATATATATATATATATATATATCACTTAATCCACAAAAACCTGTAAGCTGCTTAAAGGTAAAGGTAAAGGGACCCCTGACCATTAGGTCCAGTCGCGAACAACTGGGGTTGTGGCGCTCATCTCGCTTTATTGGCCGAGAGAGCCAGCGTACAGCTTCCGGGTCATGTGGCTTCTGGCGAACCAGAGCAGTGCACGGAAACGCCGTTTACCTTCCCGCCGGAGCGGTACCTATTTATCTACTTGCACTTTGACGTGCTTTCGAACTGCTAGGTTGGCAGGAGTTGCTGACATAATATTAAATACTCATTAAAAAATGCTGATAAAATCAAACTCTGAAAACAAGTCACCATAAAATTTATCAAAACATAACTAAAATCAGCAGTTTCAAAACAAATGTGCATAATAAAATTTGCCTGGCTCTGTAGTGAAAACATCTACTGTGAAACGTAGAGGTAATTTAGATTAGGGAATCACAGAATCATAGAGTTGGAGGGGAACACAAGAGTCCTCTAAGTGAAATGCAGGAATCTTTTGTCGAATGTGGGGCACAACCCCTGGATAGGACCTGCTGGTCCCGCTATCAGGCCACCACTATAAGGCTTTGGAAATGACGGCAGATATAAGCTTTTGCCCTAGTCATGTTGCTGAAATTAAACTTTGACTCTCTCCCCCCCCTCCAAACCAAAATGAGCATTTCATACAAAATCGTAAAGGAATACCTCTTCCAGAGTGAGAGGCCGCTGACTCAGTTTGCCCTTGCTGCTTCTCACGGCGTGCCCCCTTTTCACGTCTTCCTTGGAGCTGTATAGCTCTGAGAACTCTACAGATTTCTTCCGGTTGCTCAGAAGATGGGCAAGTTCGTCCATCCGGTTGTATTGCCTTTTCACCTCAAATCTGGGGTCGTTGTTGTTATGCTTGCGGCTCACACCATCCATCAGCTGCTGCTTCTCCCATGGCGAGTCATAATCATTATATTCGGGAAAGAAGGCTCTCTCGTTGGGGTGGGACCTGGGCTCCTCCTCTTCTTCTTCTTCGCTCTCCAGAAACGGATCGGCGATGCCTCCCTTCTTTTCAACGTGTCTTCCCTTCCACCTGAGCTGCTGGTAGTAAGGGATGTGTGGAGGCGCAGCTCTTTTCACAGCTTCCACAAGGTAGTGGCTTCTTGGATAGCCTTCCTCCATCAGAAGGGCCCTCTTGTTGCCCTCATGCCTCCCACCCTCGCTGTGGCGCCTCTTCTCTGGCTCTTCCTCACCAACACTGGGGTTGCGCCTTTCTTCTGGACCATAGAACCTCTGCTCTTCATCTCCCTTTTCTAGATTTTGTGGTTTTGACAGCTCCTCCCACTCCAAGCGCTGCCGTTCTTTGTCGTGTTGGCGCCTTTTCTCATCCCGGATGCCGTAGCTATGTTGCTTGCCTATATCTTCCTCACTCGCCTTGCCGTGAAGAGTCCTTTCCTCATAGTGGCGCCTCAACTCCTTTTGTGGTTCATCATGGAGTCTTCTCTCGTAGTGGTGCTGTTTCTCTTCATTTTCCCTGCTGTGCTGCCTCATGTCTCCCCCTTCATTCTCCTCCCTGCTGTGATGCCACCTGCCCCTGTTCTTTCCCTCCATCTCCTCAGAGCCATGCACCTCGTCGGAGTTTCTCTTCTCCTCAAAATGGTGCCCTACCTCATAATAATGTCTGGGGTAGTGGCTCCTTTTATCCCAGAATTCGCTTTCTTCCTCGCTAGACTCTTCGGGCGAGTCCCTCTTCTCACCATTATGATGTCTCTTGTATTCAGAGGAGTTGCCCAGCCTCGGTTTCCTATGATAATGTCTTGGTCTGCGCCCTCGCTTCTCTGCATCAGGTTCTCTCCTCTCATAAGAGTCTTCATATTCTCGATGAAAGCTGTGGTGATATTTTTCGCTGCTCTCCTCATCTTCTTCCTCCTCAGCATCTTCCTCTTCCTTGCTTTCTGGATTCCCCTCTTCTAGACTATGTGTGTTTTCCTCCAAGTACCTTTGGCCTCCAGAACGTTTGAGGTCACCTTCAACCACCCTTCCTGCTGTAGGAGGAGACTTTTTGTCTAGAAGCTCAGACTCCAGCTCCTCACTGTGTTTCTTCTCATTGCTTTCTTCTTCACTCTGGTGATTTCTTTTAAAGCTACCTTCTTCCTCAGTTCTCTTCTCGGCGTCATCTTTTTTTTCTTCCTTGTGGGCTTCATCAAAAGAATAAGGACTCTCTTGGGAGATGACTTGTGGGTTGACATTTCCCCTGTGGATTTTGTCCTCAGATTGCCACTTCTCACTTCCTTCTGCCTGTCTTTTCAATTCTTCTTCATTCGGTTCTTCTCCTCCTCTCACAGTTCCTTCTGGTGGCTTCTCTAACTCCTCTGATTCTGATAAATGCCTCAGCTCAAGTTCTGCATCTTTGCCTATATCTTCGTCTTCTTGCTTTTGTCGATTGGCTAAAAACAAAACAAAACAAGTTGTGGATTCTTTAGGAGGATGCCATCATGTTTGCACCCTCTGCCTGCCCTGTTTTCCATCCCTGACTGCCTCCCATTCCTGTTCACTTCTTACAGCTCATCTGGGAGACTGAGGACCAGAAAAAAAAAGAGCATCAGTGATTCTCCCAATTCAAGTTGGAATGCTATTGCTCATGTTGCCAAAACGGCATCATTGATGCACAAGAGTTCACACTATTTTAGTGACAGGCCTAGGTTGAATATATAAAGGTAAAGGGGCCCCTGACCATTAGGTCCAGTCATGGCCGACTCTGGGGTTGCGGCGCTCATCTCGCTTTATTGGCCGAGGGAGCCAGCGTACAGCTTCCGGGTCATGTGGCCAGCATGACTAAGCCGCTTCTGGCGAACCAGAGCAGTGCACGGAAACGCCATTTACCTTCCCGCTGGAGCGGTACCTATTTATCTACTTGCACTTTGACGTGCTTTCGAACTGCTAGGTTGGCAGGAGCAGGGACTGAGCAACGGGAGCTCACCCCATTGCGGGGATTCGAACCGCTGAACTTCTGATCAGCAAGTCCTAGGCTCTGTTGTTTAACCCACAGCGCCACCCGCGTCCCTGGTTGAATATATACTACACATTTAAAGCATGTGACACCCCCGGCATAATCTTGGGAACTGTAGTTTACCCCCTCACAGAGCTATAATTCCCAGCACCCTTAACAGAGATTCTTTGGGGGAAGTCATTTGCTTTAAATGTTCAGTGTGCATGCAGCCTTAATGTGGGAGACTTTTCACTGCCCACTGTTTCAGTAATTATAATATAATTACAAGGGAACAAGTAGGACCACCAATAAAATGTTGCCTTGTGGAATGCTCCTGTTCATTTCTCCCATCAGCCAGCCACTTCCCCTCTCATCTGGTTATCCATTGCCTCTCCTCAATATTCCCCATCTGTGACTTAAATAATCCTCCTCATGGAAAAGGCTATTGAAAACAAAACATGAAATGTTATGGCCACAGATGCACTGAAAAGAGTCTTAGTTCTGTTCTACTCTAGTTCTTCGCTCACTTTTGCTTTTGCCCTCTGACTCATTTGTCAGGCCACTGATGGGCCTCTCAAAATTAACCACAGGTGTACATTTGCAAGCTTGGGGTGTCTTAGGTACAGGGGCACTTCTGATGACCTATCTAGGATCCCGTTCCTGCAGCCCATAAATTAATAAATCCAGAACAACAGTCAGTTACTGATTCTGTATTTACAGTGGACCGATTCAAATATTTAATCTGAAACATATAGGCTACTCTCACAGGCTGATACACATGGTCAGTTGCGTCTCAGAGAACATGTCGATGCCAAAACAAAAATAAAAACAAACAAACAAACACATGAAATGCTTGCCATTCAGGAGGAAACTGGGAGTAGATGCTTTTTCTCTGGTTTGTAAGCTTTCTATGCAGGGCCTTGAGTCAGCCTCACACACCTCATAAGGTTGTTGTGAGAACAAAAATGGAAAGGAAGAATACTGCCTTGAGCTACTTGGAAGATAGGTGGAATAAATATGTAATACATAAAGTCATACTTATGTATTGCTTACCTGCTGCCTTGTGTGACATCTTCAGGAGAAGAAAAGGCTAAGGCAGGGATAGGCAAACTAAGGCCTGTGGGCCGGATCCGGCCCAATCGCCTTCTAAATCCAGCCCGCGGACAGTCCGGGAATCAGCATGTTTTTACATTAGTAGAATGTGTGCTTTTATTTAAAATGCATCTCTGGGTTATTTGTGGGGCATAGGATTGGTTCATTCCCCCCCCCAAAAAAATAGTCTGGCTCCCCACAAGGTCTGAGGGACAGTGGACCAGCCCCCTGCTGAAAAAGTTTGCTGACCCCTGGGCTAAGGTATAAACCCTAAACAAATCAAGAGCGGAGTCCTTAAGGTGGTTAGATCGCACCTTGTATGCCTCTTTCTGGCAACTCTTGCAGCCATGCTAGTACAGTGGTACCTCGGGTTACAGACACTTCAGGTTACAGATGCTTCAGGTTACAGACTCTGCTAACCCAGAAATAGCATCTCGGGTTAAGAACTTTGCTTCAGTATGAGAAAAGAAATCGTGCAGCAGCAGCAGGAGGCCCCATTGGCTAAAGTGGTACCTCAGGTTAAGAACAGTTTCAGGTTAAGAACGGACCTCCAGAACGAATTAAGTTCTTAACCCGAGGTACCACTGTACCAAATGTATTGCTCTGCTTTCCTCTGGACCACATCAGTGGAGCCAAAAGTGGGGGGCAACTTATCAACTTTATCAAAAGTGGGTGGCAGCAGTTACGAGCTACTGGTTTCTGCAGCCGCAGCAGGCGCTGTGATTCTCAACTGGTTTAACTTCACCCCCATAGCAGCACTCCATTGTCTCTCAAGACACACACCTGCCAACATTTATACACTGCAAAGACGGGAATCGAATCAACCTGTTGACCATAATCTCACTACACTGATGTGTGTGGTAAGATGGTTAAAGCTCTTAAATCAGCGGTCAGCAAACTTTTTTTGGAGGGGGCCGGTTCACCGTCCCCCAGACCTATTGGCAGGCCAGACTGCGTGTGTCGCAGAGAGGGCTTCTCTCTCTCCCCCTCTCTTCCCCAGCCCCTTCCCTCCCCCTGCCTACCTCCTCCACCGCTCTGCCTGCAGTTGGGAGCTGGCAGCAGTGGCAGCGCCTCTCCTTTTCGGGCCAGCTTTCCTGGGCGGGTGGCATGGGGCCAGCAGGCACGCCAAGCCCCAGCCCACAGCGCAGCCATGGGGAGAGGTGGGCGGCGGGTGGCGAGGCTTCCTATCAAAGCCCAGTCCCCTTCCTCTGCAGGATGGGAAGAAGCCAGTAAGAGGGAGGGAGGAGGCACCGCCACGGTGAGGGAGGGAGAGGGGAAATTGCAAAAAAGCGCCCGGAAAAAAAAGAAAAAAAATGGCGATCACGCTGATCCAAGCGGTGATTGTAGAACTATTTGCAGGCCGGATCCAGAGGGCAGTTGGGCCTGATCCAGCCCATGGACCTTAGTTTGCTGTCTCCTGTCTTAAATCTTCCAAAAGCATAATCCTCCTTGAGTTTCCCATATACACAGCAAGTTTGCCACATTTGATTAAGGGCCACTTTGATATGAATGGGTTCTTGGACAGTCATGACAGCTTTGCTTGTGAAATTGCATCATCTACCATATTATTTTCTTAGTGTAAAAACGGAGCAAGATGAGCTAGGTCGGATTCCCTTAGGCCCTGAGCACTTACTTTTCTTCAGAAGCTCTTTGCACAGTGGATTGATAGGTGGAACATTAGCTTTCGACAAACCGTTCAAAAGGACTTCTACAATGCACCGTGTCACCTAGAGTAAAAACAGGAAAGGAAGGTCAATGTTTCTTTATTTGTTTTTATAAAATACTCTACTCCAACTGAGACCTTCAAGAGAGTCAGAATAGGATCAGAACACAAGTGTTTGTTTTTAAAAAATACAAAAGTGAATTAATACACATCAGTCAAAAAAATAAAGCACAGCAGAAGCCTAATTTCCAGGGTTGTTGGGGTTTTTTTGAGAGAGAATGCTCTATACACAAACACCCAACTCAACAACAAGCGTATTCATTTGTCACCATAAAGGAAGAGGAGATCCAAATATTCCAGAGTGAGAATGGATGTTTCCTTTGAACGTAGTGGGTACAAGATTGATGTACTCTGTGCACAGCCCATTGCACTAATTTGAAAGCAAACAGTCATTTGAAGTGGTATTTAATGCCATTAATCTTTTGTCTTCTAACGCAGAGGGAATTGTTGACCCATGCACTTCTATGAATATTTACTCAAAGTAAAATCTCACTGAGCTCCAATAGGCATACTCAAAAGTAAGTGTGCTCAGGCAATGTACCATACAATGCACCCCACCCCCCCCGAATCAGATGTAATTGGATGATCTGCTTGGCATAGCATTAAAGAACGATTAAGCCAAAGCTTTTCCCTCATTCCAGATGGAACACTGCCAGACATTATTGTGGGCCAGAGGCATTTTCGGGATAGAAGACAACATTTGCGTGACACATTCTTACCCACTCCTCCACCTAGTGTTTAATACTCTTAGGTTCTTAAAGTGGAAAGACATCTATCTGAAATAGGCCTCTGGAGTTGGATCGGAGCAGAAGGCAATATAGATGAGGTGCTACCAGACATATGTCAACATATGAGTCTCGGATTCCTCTCAAAGGAAACAGAAAGAGATTCTTCACCCCAGCCTTGTTTAGTAAAGAGCATTTCTTACTGCATGCAAGGAGCTTTAATTATCCGTGATAGGCAATTTAATTCACTTATATTTTAGCGTAATAAAGAGTTTTCCTACTCACCATTTCCTCAACATGATCATCTTTTTCCACCGGTGCTGAATGAACACCTTTGAATAAAAACATTTCCAATGTCAGAAACATGGGAACCCCAATGGCAGATTGTAACAGGTGAAAACAAGCCAACATTATAAACTGCAGCAAAAATTGGTTTGGTTTCAACAGACAATTGCTGCATTCCAAGACGTTTGTCTCCAGACTAGCAAATATGTCTTCCCTTAGAAAGCGGTTGCCAAACCTTCTAAATAATGGCACCCATAAGCAGAACAGACTAAATTGGTTGCACTTAGTTCCCATTGAAATCAATGGGATTTAAGGCATGAGTAACTTGACCCATTGATTTCAGTGGATCCTACACTTGCAGTTGTCCTGCACCTAGAAAGCATGGGTTTAGGCAGTTTTCTGCTTGTCCCATGCTTCCTAGGCATGGCTTCAAGCAGTTTTGCCCTTGCCCCACCTCTTTCCCCTGGAAAACCCACTCTTTACCAATAAATTGGAGCAAACTTCAATCTGGAGAAACCCCAATTGGTGTTTGCTCGGATTCAGCGTTTTAAGATTGGGTTTTTCCAAGGGAAAGTAGTGGGGGCAGGGCAAGTCTGCATGAGCCCCAAAATTTATTGTTTACTCGTTTAGTCGTGTCCGACTCTTTGTGACCCCATGGACCAGAGCACGCCAGGCACTCCTGTCTTCCACTGCCTCCCGCAGTTGGGTCAAACTCATGCTGGTAGCTTCGAGAACACTGTCCAACCATCTCATCCTCTGTCGTCCCCTTCTCCTTGTGCCCTCAATTTTCCCCAACATCAGGGTCTTTTCCAGGGAGTCTTCTCATCTCATGAGGTGGCCAAAGTATTGGAGCCTCAGCTTCAGGATCTGTCCTTCCAGTGAGCACTCAGGGCTGATTTTCTTAAGAATGGATAGGTTTGATCTTCTTGCAGTCCATGGGACTCTCAAGAGTCTCCTCCAGCACCATAACCCATTGTCTTTGTTTTACTCGCAGATTCTGGAAGCCGCCCAGAGTGGCTGGGGAAACTCAGCCAGATAGGCAGGGTATAAATAAATTATTATTATTATTATTATTATTATTATTATTATTATTATTATTCCAACCTTTGCACCAGAATTAAAATGGTATATTGTGTGATGCTTGACTCCTGGAATCCTAACTATGTGCTTTGCATATTACAGCCTTCCTTCTTCACTAAGAACACGATTTTCCAGTCTTTCCTGGTACCCTGAATAGTTTATATAATGTCAACCACTGGAGCACATAACAGGAATGCTGCAGGGTCTTGTTGCTTGCAGTACTTCCCTGGTTTAACGCTTCATTCAGATTCCCAGTCCCCATTTCATTCTTGATCCTTGATGAAAGTCAGTGAGAAGAGGAGACACCTCTTTACTAGGATGCTAGACAGCAGGGTGGTGAACCATACTGGTTATCCCTGCTTTACAGTCTGCAAGTTCTTTGCAGATTTAGAACAGCAGACCTCTGTTGTGCCTGCTGCTTCTGAGTGCTTTTGAAGAGGAATCTGCAAAGAAGCCCAGACAAACTTCAAATGAATGAAATCCTTCCACATACTGGTTTCCTATGCTTGCTACTCATTCTGTTTCATTCTCTAGGTATTTTGATTCCCACGCCCCCTTGTAAAGTTCTGTTGCTGTACATGGGTGGGAAAATGGTTTACAGCCTCTTCCCAAGCCCCTTTCTGGACAGATTTATATCCAATGTGAAATATGAATTTAATCCCATGATCTTTCATCATCGTTAAAAGCTATTACTTGTTTAGCTCTTGGATATTGCTTGCTCAAAGTGATTGGATTTTTGTTTTGTTTTTTACATTCCCTAGATTCAAATGATAATAAAAAGTTACGGAGGCATAAACGTTAAGCAGCGATATCATTTTTTAAATGCTTGCTTGGTGCGTGAGTTATGGCAGTAATAAAACGAATATATTCACGAGAGCGAGTCGTGTGCTGGCAATGGGAATAGGCATTTCCCTGCCCCCATGAGTCAGCTAGATCACGTTTTCTGTCTCTGTGAAAATGCCCCATCATCTGACTCACAATATTCCCTGACCCCGCTCACTTCCATGACTGTGCCTGACTTATTCTGCGGCGCAGCCAGTCCAAATCCAGAAGAGTGCAGGGCCCTGTTGCTGCACCATTGGAAGCAAACTGTTTTTGCTGAAGCAGTTTTTAATAATGAATGAATAACTCGAGTGTGCAGCAATCCATCCAACACTACACTACTGCAAAAACAGCAACAGCCACCCATCGGTGCAGAAGAGGCTCAACATATTAGATGCCATAATTCAAAGTGAGCTAGCCAAGATTGAGCTTTGGTGCCACCAGGGCCCAAACGCACTTTCATTCAGGAAATGAAAAGTGAATTTACTGCCTGTTTGCATAATTCCAAAGTTCCAACCTCCTCAAAACCAAGTGTGCTTATTAAACAATAATGCTGTGATGGGGATATATGATCTTCAATACCTAATGAAGGTAGTAGCAGCTACGCCAGAGCAGAATGGAAGTTCACTGAATAAAACAATGAAATAACCCTTTAGCACTTAAGCCCGCATACAATTTCTGCAGCATTTTTCATTGAGGATAATTAGTTTAACCGCCAAGATGTCCGACATCCATCACCACATTATACTAATGACAGATGCAACTACTCTTTGATAGATTTTTGCATACCTTAAATTATTACATCTAGCAGCAGCCGAAAGGAGACACAGGGAGACTTTTTCTGGGTTTTTGAATCTAAGAACTCATGGTCTGAACCAAAACATGCACAGCTCTGCACCAGCATGCACCCTTTCAGCTATAATTAACTGTATACTTCAGCTAATCCCTTGAGTATACACCGGGGAAAAGGAATATGTCCAGATATTGCTGGATCAGCTCTGGATTTAGGATGGTGTGGGCACTTTCCCTGCACAGGGTTCCTTCTTCACTTGTTCCAGGAAGCATGAAGACAAAGACTGAGAAAGGGAGGGGAGTAGTGGCTGCTAAGTGCTTGCTAAGCCACACCCACCTGCAACCTGAGCTCTGGGCTCAGGTTAACTCTTTCATAACTGCAAGTGTGAATCAGTAACTGTATATTACAGCAAAAGTTTCATTCATTGCTCTGGCTACTTTTGCCTCTGGCCCCAGCCACTGCTGTCACATGGCCCCTGGAAGGTTACTCAGAAATGAATGCGGCCCTCAGACTGAAAAAAATGTTCCCTATTCCCTAGCCTAAGGAGACAGAGAATGTAATGAAGCCAGTTGCAGCACCGCCAGTTCTGCCTAGCATAAATTTAAACGTCAAAAGCAGCCATCAGCCAGCTGGCAGAGGACCACAGAGGACCACCTGCCTGCAGAAAAAGGTAACTAAAACAACCAAGGGGTGGGGGACCTTTTGAAAAGCAAAATTGTTCAGGACTTTTTAGTTTAGGGTGGGAAAGCAGCTGACTTGAGGCAGGGAAAAGGATAATAGCTTTTTAATCATAATGTGCGGTCTAGAGGCAGCAAATAGATAGCAATTCTTCCACTCACTCTTCTATCAACATTTTACAATTCGGGATTCCCCGTGAGATTAATTGACTGTAAAAACTTAGAAAGAGCCCTGCTGGGTTGTACTAAAGGCCTATAAAGCCTGACATCCTGTTTTCCATTGTGGCCAAGCTGGTGCCTCTGGGAACACTGGAAGGACAGGAGAGCAATAGCATTCTCCCCCTCTTGTTCCCTTGAGGTAGAATATAACCAGTGCTTTTTTCCCTAGGGGAACGCAGGGGGACGCATACCCCTAAACATTTTGTGAATCTAAGTTTGGCCTCATTGAGGGGCAGTATTTCAATATGAGTAGGAAAATGAGAGTACCCCTAAACATTTTTTTTTTAGAAAAAAACCACTGAATATAACCATAGTGACTAGGCCATGGGTTTAGGATAGGCTAAGTGTTTAGCCTGTAATCCTAACCCCACATATATGAGAGCAAGTCCCATTAAACTCAATGAGACTTACTTCTCAGTAGACATGATTAGGATAGCTGCCTTAATCACAGATCACACAACAGCTTTGTGGGATGATGTACCAGAAGATGCAGTCACTGACACCAAATTTGAAGGCTTTATAAAAGAGCTAAGAATTGAGGTCTGCCAATGACTATTAAACATGAGAGCTAAATCAGTCTTCAGAGGCAGTATTCCTATGTGAGCCACATGTTCAGAAGTGGGGAAGAGAGAGTCATCACCATTGTGTGAACTCCCCATTTTGAAAACAAAATGGTGATCTGGGTGGACACTCAGTCTGATATACTGGAGAGCCAGTCAGAGTAAAAACTTGGCTAGATGCATCAGTGGTCGGAATCTGTATGGCAGCTTCATATGTTCAGAAAAACGGGCACCCTCCCCCCCACATCGCAACTTGTTTAAGCAAAAGGATTTGTGCCTTTGACATGCATGCTTCATACTTTTGCATATAACAATAATTTGTCAACGTGAAGAATCATAGAATCATACAGTTGGAAGGGACCCTGGGGGGGTCATCTAGTCCAACCCACAGTGATGCAGGAATCTCAGCTAAAGCATCAATGACAGATGGCTATCCAATCTCTGTTTAAAAACCTCCAAGGAAGGAGAGTCCACAACCATCCGAGGGAGACCGCTCCTTTGTCAAACAGCTCTTACTGTCAGAGTTATTCCTGATGTTGTCTGAATCTCCTCTCTTGTATCTTGAAGCCATTTGTTCAGATCCTATCATCCGGAGCAGGAGAAAACAAGCTTACTCCATCCTCCACGTGACAGCCCTTTAGATATTTGAAGATGGCTATCATATCTCCTCTTATCCAGGCTAAACACACCCAGCTCCCTCAACTGTTCCTTATAAGGTGTGATGGCCTGGGATTCGGACTCGGATGCTAAACCTGAGGGATCCCAGCCTGCACAGGATTCCCTGCCTTTAGAACCAGCTGAGCCGGGGCTGGGCATGAGCCTGAAGGGTCCTCACCTGTGCTGGTTCCCCAGGTGCAGGCATCAGCTGAGTCTGCTCTGGCTCCTGAGGTGATGGAGGACCCATTGCCTGCAGGTGCTCCATTCTCAGCCCCGTCAGAGGAAGCTGAGGTTGCCTCTGGGTCCGGTAACCCTCCAGCCTCTCCTGAGCTGCAGAGGCTCAGGGCAGAGAGGCAGAGGGAACTAAGTTCCCGCAGGAGGTGTGCTCGCCTCCAGGCCAGGAGAGGCGAGTCACCAGAGGATTGGGGCCACCCTAAGCCTCGGGGCAGATAAAAGCCGGCCAGCCCTAGTCCCAAGTTGTGGGAGCAACATTGTTGGTTGCTAGTTCCTGCCTGAACCCTGTCCTGCTTTCCTGCCTGAGCTCCTAACCCGCTCTGGCTCCCTGCTTGCAAGCCTGTCCCTGACTTCACCCGACTCCCTGCCCTGCACCCAGCTTCAGCTACTATGGACTGCCTCTACATTGCACCTTTGACCACGGACTGGACTTGGACCTTGTCTCTCGGGTAACCCACAGGACCAGCACATAAGGCTTGGTTTCCAGACCCTTGATCATCTTGGTCACCCTCCTTTGCACATGTTCCAGCTTGTCAATATCCTTCTTAAACTGTGACACCCAAAACTTGACACAGTACTCCCAAGTGTGGCCTGACCAAGGCAGAATAGAGTGAGACTATGACTTCTCTTGACCAGGACATGATACTTCTGTTGATGCTGCCTAGAACAGCATTAGCCTTCTTTGCTGCTGCATCATACTGTTGACTCATGTTAAGCTTGTGGTCTACTAAAACCACCATTCTTTTCACATGTACTATTGGCAATCCAGGTGCTCCATATCTTATATTTGTGCAGCTGGTTCTTCCTGCCTATGTGCAAAACCTTACCTTTGTCCCTGCTGAAATTCATTTTGTTAGAATGAGCTGACTGGGGTGGGGAAGTTACCCCTGAGACAGAATCACATCTCAAAAAAAGGTGGAATGGGAAAACTGACCCTTTTCTTGAAAACAGTGGCAGTGAACATGTGGCCCTCTTAGAATTTTGGATTTTTATATCAAGACACTAGGAGGACAGGAGCAGCAGATTAACAAGTAAAGGGGGGGAGCGGGAATGGGTAAAGTGTTACTGAGATAATAAAGCCACATTGTATTATTATTATTTCAAAACAAAGGCAATACCTGCCTGCCCTGAATGAATACTGACTAAATACTGACTAAATTAAGCAAGCAACATTAAATATAGTTTGTGTTGTCTGTTGCAATGTTACAGCATCAAAGGAATATTTCAATTAGATACAGGAGTTCCATTTGGGATAAGGTATTATACCACATGATGGATGTAGAGCCATATTGCACAAAAAGGAGCACCTGTGCATTACAGTACAGGCTGAATTGCACCAAATGGATCACTGCTGGAGAGCACAATCTCCAACAATGTGGGCAGCTGTCCATGAGATTGGCTGGGGCAATAAGGTCTTAGACAACTTTCTGCCAAAGGGGTTTAAGAGCTTAATACATGCATTGATGACAATACACAAAATGGCAATGAGTTTTGTTTCACCCACCACTGAACACTGGATGGGATGTATGCCACCCCCAAGAATAATTCAACTGGTTTAATATATTTTGCGTTCAAAATGTGTTTCACAGTAAAACAGGGATGGGGATCCTTTGGTCTTGAGGATGAAATGCAGCCCTCTCTATCTGGACCTCAAGATTCTCCCCAGGCTACCTGCCTCTCCACACTGACCTTGCTTTTGCCTCTCTGGAATGCTTCCTTGAACAGTGATAATGCTTCTTGCTTGCCTGGAAGGAGGGTAGAAGTGGTGTGGGAGTGTGCGTGTAGAAACTAGACTACTCTACAAAAGTAAAATTCACATTCATTCCTCTTCCATTTCTTGCCTTTGGCCCACTAAAGGCATGTGATCCTCAGAAGGTTGCCCAGAAAAGCTGAAAATGGTTCCCCATCTGTGCTGTAAAAGGAAGGAATTGCTGGGTGGTCCTGGTCTCCCAGTTCCTAGTCTCTAACAACGGCACTATACTGTCTCAGTGCAACTTGCAGCCTTAATTATCCACCCAGGATTGCAGCCTTAATTATCCATCAAGGTGGTGCGGTATTGCAGTTGATTTTATAGAAATCAATAATATATAGCTATCACTTTTTAAAATAGTATACATCAGCTGGTCCATGGCACTTAAAACCACTGGTTGAGTGTTCAGGTTTTTCTTCATGAGCAGTATTACAGACCAACATGCCCACATATAACACAGCACATTGCTTTTGTCAGAAATAAACGTTTTGAGAATTAATGGGCTTTTCCTACCCTTCCTACAGCTCCAAGACTTGGAAAGCACTCGCAGGTAAGTGACTCATCTCAGGAAAAGGCAACACACACCCTCAATCCAGTTGCCAGAGTGGAGGGAAAGAACAACAAAACTTCAGCAGTGGGTGCCTCATTCCACAATGAAATTGTTCTCTTTTACTGGCAAGTCAAGTTCACCCCAACAGCACTTATGTTAATAAGGCAAGTTTTAAAGCAAGGATTTCTTAAAACATCCAGTATGTTGTTAAAATCGATAAAATTGATATGGAATTTTCAATTATCCTTGCTTTCTGATCTTGCCAGACATTGAAATGCAAACCAAAGCAACTGCTTCGAGGTTTCTTTCCTTTGTCTTTTTACAGTCAAGTGGCATATATACTTTTACAAAATGGACTAATAGCAAATGTGTGAAAAGTGCTGGCTGTCACTTTACCTTTCAGTTTTATACCTATAAAATGCCCGTTTCTAGAAACATGTCTTCAGCATTTTAACAGTCTTAATTTGAGCTGTCTGGTTCCATTCAGGCAAAAAACTGAATGAACAACCAGCATGTGGGAGTGCTTGTTCACCTACAGTGGATTTGGTACATGCCCTCAGTAACTACACACAAATACTGAGCATGTATATATTACTCCTTTCCTCCTCCTTCCCTTACACACATGGGTGTGTGAGAAGAAAACACACACCGAGAAGGTATATTTTATATATCTTTCCCTTTTAATGATCTTTTCTCCTCTTGCTGTCATGGGGACCCTGATTCAGGTTATGCACACTTGAAACCCAATGCACTTCTGACATGGGCAAGGAGCCCATCTTTTGGCTTGGTCTCCCATCGTATGAGATGCTGTTGCCTTTGAAGAGAAGCTAGTGCAGACTGGCTCTCCCTCTAGGGCGCTGAAGTGAGCATAACTGGAGCTGGAAGCTGTTGAATGAATACTCCCTATCTGCGTTCAAGCCTATCTGCGTTCAAGCCACGGTTCCTCTCTTTTAGGTGCGTAACTGAATTGGGGTGGGTATGCGGATGGATGAATGGAAGCCTGACGAGATACAGGAGATGGATCCCTTGGCAGACTAAGAGAGGGCTTTCCCGTGCCCAGGCGAAGTGCCTGTCACCCGGTTCTTGGCTATGGTGCATTGACTCAGCCGTAGGTGGGAGAGGGTTAGGAAAGCACCGCGGGCTCCGCATCCCTGTCCCGCCTTCCCCTCCACTGTTCCCTGCGGTCTGCCGCGCCCGCGCCGCTCTCCGTGGTGCTGATCCGAGCCGCGCCGCTGTCCACAGTGCTGATCGGACCCCGCGCCGCTCTCCGTGGTGCTGACCCAACCCGCGCGGCCCCCCGCGCCCTCACTCACCTGCCAGAGCTGCGGCTCCGAGGAGACTGAGCAGCGCCACGGAAGGTACCATGGCCGGCCGAGAGGCAGGCACGCAAGCAGGACGGACAGACTTGCTTGCAAAAGCTGAAGCCGCTTCGCCACCAGCTCGCCTCCTGGCCGCAGCTCCACGCTATTTAAGGGAGGGTGGGGAATATAGAGGAGGAGGGGGCGTCGGAGCCAAGGCGGGGAAAGGGGTTTGCGTCAGAGGTGGCCCCCAGGGGGATCGGGGCGGAGAGTCCCTGGGATCGCCAGAAAGATCCTGCTCCAGAAGCTGCCGGAGACAGCGAGACTTTCTCTCCACCGCTGCCAGCCGCCCACAAGGCTTCCTTGCCACCGCGCAAAGCCACCCCCCAGACAAAACTCCTCTCATTAGCTTGCCAAGCCCGCTCTCGCCCCCGACGCCCCTTCGCTCCCCCTAGCACACCACGGCTCGGTGGTAGAGCATCTGCGTGGCATGCAGAAGGCCCCAGTGTCCAACCCAGCTCCTGGAGAGCCACTGCCAGTCAGGGTAGGCAAGTGGGGCGCAATGGTCAGAGTCAGTAGAAGGCAACTTATTATGTTCCTTCCCAGAAGACCACTTGGATAATGTCCCTACCCTGCTATGGGTAGAAGAGAGAGCCTCACTTCCATCTTCAATCCTTTTTTCACTGTCAACGCAGTTTTATCTTATGATTCTCTGCAGCTCCCCGCGCCCCCAGAGAAAGATCGTTTCCGTGCCCACCTCCACCCCTCCCATTATGACAACTGAAGGCTCCTATCCCGCGTCAGGGCACAGGGATCCCCCCCCCATATTATACACACGGAGCCAACAAGATGCCTGCAAGAAGATCATGGTCCCCACTGCCCTCCGTGACAGTAAAAGGTGGGTGCAGTGGTGGGGTAACTAAGTGCAGAACTGACTTGAACCTGCTGGAAAAAGAGCCACTGTTCTTATTTAAGGGCTTCGATGCTAAGGGATTTCCAGCTCCTCTCTCTAAAATAATTTATATTCCCTCCTCCAGCGTCATTCACAGGCAAATACGCTTGCATTCACTCACGCCCCCACACACGCCTGTTCTCTCTCTCTCCCTGCAAGACATCCCTGTCAAATGAGCCCTATTTCAGCAATTAAGTTTCCTCACCTTGTCTCATCCCACTGCCGATTTATCTAATGAGCCGATAAAAACTCACAACACCTCGAGAGATGCTAAATGAAAAATGTTCCACAGCAACATCCTCTTTATTGAAGTGCTGGTAATGATTTGGGGGAAATGGAACAAACCCAGACCGGGGGGGGGGGGGACCCTTGACGTAAGAATTTATCCAAAGAGTTCCCCGGGATGGGGGTGTTTGATTCTCTCTGAGCAGAATGAATGGACCCCACACTCCTTCCCATTGTCTCGAAACACTGCTATGGATTAGAGAAATCTGCCCACATTCTTCACTCCTTTGCCTCCTTTCTCCCTGCTGCCTTCTGTTGCTTTCCAGCTGCCTGTTGGAGACTGTCAGCTCCTTGGGAACAGAGATTGCCTATATTGCCTACCTAACTCTGAAAGACCACACACATACCGATCTTGCAGTATGCCTCAATCCATCTTTCCATGAACTCTTTACAGTGCTAAATGTGAGGTGGGGGCAGCCGTATAACCAGCAGAGCTACTGAGCTCACGCAAAGCAAAATATGTAGTTATAGCTGGTATTACTAATGCAAGGCAGGACTAGGAAATTTATAGCACTACATGTATTTATTGTTAGTACTATTTCTGCTAGTAGCAGTTTCACATATAAGACCATCATATGTACCGGGGTCCCTAAATGTTTCTGGCCCAAGTGTACATGTGGAAATCTATGCAACTCCCATGAGTGTCACAGAATATCTATTTCAGAAAAGAAAATATGGCATTTTTCAGACCCTTGCCCCAAACAGGCAAAATAACTGCACATACTCCAAAACAAGACAAAAAAGCAGATACACCCCCCACCCCCTAGGCAAGCCCCTCAACCCTGTCAGTGAGGGAAACAGTTGAGTGGGAGCTTGGTCAGTTGCAGAGTTGGGACAGAGCAGAGAGAAAAGCTGAGAATACTTGTCTGGTGGTGACCAGAACCTGTAACCGAGTTGCTCACAGGCTAAATCTTTTCTCTGCCTGAGCATAAGTAGAGCCCTACTGGATCAAGCCAAAGGCCCATTTAGTCAAGCACTCTGTTCTTCGAGTAACCAATCATGGAAGCACCCAGTGCCTGCTTCTGAACCATTACATTTTAGCTCATCTCAGTGGAACATGGCTATTGTTCTCCTCTGACCAGCACAAACGATGTAGTTGCACAAATCTCTCCATTATAAACGATGCTAATTATTTTTATGGACTGAAAATATTCCCCGTCCCTTAGTTGCTGAAATCATCCATTGTAAGTAAATGAAGCAAAGCCAAGAAATACTTAACGGTAAAATCTACTTTCGTAAAATGAATAAAGAGAACAAGGTGCATTCATTATTTGGCAGTCTGGTGATTACACCAAGCATCCCTCTATTAATTATAACCCAAGGGGGTTAACAACTCACCCTACTAGCCCCCTTACAGCTCTTCCTTCCGGTCAATGGCAAATCCAGCAGACAAAATGATTGCATGGTCTGTGCCATGTTTTCATGCTTTTCATTAAAGAGCAAACTGCCAAACTTCCATCAGAATCTCAGGACTTCCACTGACAGGGTTCAATGGGTGAAGCCTGCCCATAACATCAAACTCCACTTCAACTACTGGGGGTGCCAGAATAGAGCACCCCAAACAAGCAAGGGAAGTGGAGAACATATGGACAACCACTGCAATGGTCTCCCATTTCTTATTTCCCACCCCTTTGCAAGATGTGAATGTCAGAACTGTCTTGTCCTAACACTCCTATTTTCCCCCCCAACAGCAGTGGGCAATGTCTCTCACACACGGGAGAAGCACTCCAATCTGTTGGCTCTGCAGCCCAAACCCTCCCGGGCACTTCCATCTTGCCAGAATCGCAGTCCAGATGCATGGAGGGCAACACACAGCACTACATCAGCTAAGGGGTCTAAGGTGGAGTGCACAGGCTTGGCAGTACCCCTCTCACACCCATGGGGGTGGGGAGGCTGAAACATGAGCGCCCAGTTGGCTGTTTGCTGCAGTGGTGCTGGAGTTGGTGACATGGGCTGCCACAGCTCCTCCTCGTTCACATTTGACTCCTCTCCCTCCAAGCTGCCTCCACCCAGCGGTGGTGTTGCTGCTGGAGAAGGGGGTCTGTGGGGCACAGACTCTGGGGATCTGCTGATCAGGTCTGGTGAGGAGGACAACAGGAATAGGATGGGAAGAAATGGACCATGCAGCTCCAGGTGTCATGGAATCTCAGGCAAGGGTGAAGAGGCACCAGTCACCTGGCCATACCACTGTGGGATGGAGCCAGCAATGCCAAATTATGTCTACCCTCTCCTCCCCTGTATAGTCCAACTCTCTGAGCATGGAGTCAGGGGGTGGGTGCGTAGGTCACGGATAGCGCCCCACAACAAGCCCTGGGCTTATGCTCCCATAGGCAAGTCAATTTCTGCAGTGCTGAGCAGTGATGCTCTCATGGCACCTCCAAGTCATACTGGCTCAAACCTTCTCCCCAGCATCTATATTCATCCTCTGGAGCTCCCCAGCAGGTTCAAGAGAAGTTCTGCATAGGAAGCTGCCTTATACTCAGTCAGACCACACTGGTCCCCTTAGCTCAATATAATCTACACTGACTGGCAGTGGCTTTCCAAAGTTTCGGACAGAAGCTTTCCCCAAGCCAATCTGGAGGTGGAGGAGATTGAACCTAGAACCTTCTGCCTGCGAAGTAGGGATTCTACCACTAAACTATGGTCATGAGGTGTGGACTGTGAACCGTCAGCCTGATAGGAGATCCTACAGTCTCTGTGTACAGAGCCAGTATGGTATAGTGGTTAAGAGCAGCAGACTCGTAATCTGGTGAACCAGGTTCGCGTCTCCGCTCCTCCACATGCAGCTGCTGGGTGACCTTGGGCTAGTCACACTTCTTTGAAGTCTCTCAGTCTCACTCACCTCACAGAGTGTTTGTTGTGGGGGAGGAATGGAAAGGAGAACATTAGTCGCTTTGAGAATCCTTTGGGTAGTGATAAAGCGGGATATCAAATCCAAACTTCTCCTCCTCCTCCTCTAGGGCCTGATGGCAAATGACGACATCCTCTTCCTGTTGCCAGGCACATACAGGGGTTATAACCTCGCCAGGAAGCATCCATGATGGCAGGGTTGTTCACAGCCCTCTCAGGCTGTCCTAGAAGTGTGTAGCGGGCTTCTCCATCATGGGGACATGCCCATTAGGTTTCAGGGATTGTTGAATAGCAGGTGTCTCTGGACAGCTGTTTTCACTACAACCAACCCTCTTGCACTGTATACATAACTCTGGGGTTGTCCAGGGGGGCCACTAGGGGGTGCATTGGAAGATGGCCGACAATACCATCTCTCCGACCCACACGGGGTAATTAAGAGGCTGTTATGGGAGTAGGCAGCCTCTCTTGTTGCCCCAAGGAAATGGGGAACACTGCCCTTGCCTGCAGTGCCCATAAATCACCCCCTAATTCGAAAGAAGGGGGTGAGGGCCCTGGGCAGAATGCCCCCGTGTGGACATCGGCTCTCCTGGACGCTGTCTCTGATCGCGCACTAGTTGCAGCAATTTGGAATAATTAATTACAAAAGAAGCAAATGCACATATTTCAAGTGAAGAAGGGGAGTGAAGTCTGCTAATTTAAGTGACGTCTGCGAAAGAAGACGACGGGCTGGAGAAACAGGAATATTTTACAATGAAGATTCACCAAAGGCGGGGTATGTTGACAAAGGGGCTGAATGGGGGGGGGACCTTTTTTACTTTCCTTCTATGTGATTTACAAGAACCCCTCCTCATTAGAACCGTTGGTTGAACTGACCCAAGCAGGATGATTAAGGTCTGTGTGGAGATAAACTTTAACCAAAAGTATGCTTTATGGAGACTGAGAAGCAATAAGAGCTTTTGGGAATGGTGCAGCAATTAATT